TTCAATTGCAAATTTTCAATGGCCAGGAACTAACATTTTTGTGAACTTAGCCATGACAATTCTTGCTTAGTGATTTCTGCGCCGAGGATTTGTTCCAGAGCACTGCTCTTAGTGGCACTTGCCACGGTGAGGGGAGCATATGTTACAATTGAGCAACCAAATTCTTCGTCTATGGTTTTTTTCCCGGACCTGGTCATGCTGGCAAGCCGTGTCAAAAAACTGCTTGGTTTTTGGAGATCCCAGTTTTTGCCAGGGGCCCAGAATTAGTATAGTGAACACTTCAAAATGGTTGGCCTTGCTATCAAGACTTGAAAACAATGCAGTTTAGTCGTGTCCAAATTCTTTCTGAGTTGGATGGCTACATGGGGATCGCCCACACCAAAGCCGAGCAGGGTCTGGGGAACCTGGCCAGTGCCTCAAAACAACTCACCAAGCTTTGCCGCACTATCCTGCGCAATTGCAAGCCAGAGTGAATGCAATGCAAAATTCAGACTATGGAGTTCAATCCATAACTGTATTGAAATATGACATAAATCTTCCATGATCTTCCACTGGGGCCAGCTTATGTGCTGAGGGTGGATGTCAAAGCTCCGGAAACCGTTGACAAAGCTTCATCGCTTAAAGCTCAAGGAAGCATCCAAACACTTGAAGGTTACAGTCAAGAAGAAAAAGGCTGATGGCTCTGTATCAGTGTCGATGCCTTAAATTCAAACGATCAGGTTTCACAATGCAGCGTTCACATGGGAGAAATAGTCATAATTTCAGACTGATCTGATTTTGTACTCCAAGGACCGGAGGCCCAGATCTAAAAAGAACACAAATCTATCCAGTTGGCTTTGGTTTACGATTGGCACAGCTACAGAAACAACACAAGGACAGATGTTGTTTTGAACTAACTGTAGTCTAGTATTACAATCCATTGGGCTTCCTGCCAGGATGCAAACGGGTTACGGCTGCAAGCAGCTGTGAAATCTGCTTGGCACAAACAAAAGGGGAAAAAACCCGCATTGGCCTTATGATGCCTTATGATGAGTTGTTGCATTGGCTGATTGCTGTATATATTTGTTGAATACATACATTATACCAGAATAATCCACCCCCTTGGCCCAGGTACGTGCCAAAGGAGCTTGGAAAGCTGCCAATTTGAAACAGCTCCGCAAATTTATTTCAAAGGCGAAAACCAAATATGGTGGCAAATTCGAGTAGTGGCCAAGAAGGGCCAAGGTGACCACACACCCAGGCCCGTTCCTGCCCAAGGGCCTGTGTTGCAGCCTGAATTCGCTGGCCTGCCAGCGATTTAAGCGGAAAGGTCATGCAGAATGTTCTGGTTTGGAAATCTAGGGCATACCAAACATAGTACCAACACCACTTTCAGGGTACTTGGGTAATGTTCAGCACTGCTCGCAAAAAATCCATTCAGGAACCCTCGCGTGAAGTTTGCGTGAAGTTTGCGTGAAATGGCAAGTTTTTGCGTGAACTGGCAAGTTTTAGCGTGAAGTTGCGTGAAGTGCGACCTTTCAGAAATTCACTATTTCTGATGGATTCAAACTCGGGTCTCACACCAAATTGTGGGAATCTCTGATGCAAATGTAAAAAATGTACCAAACAGCTGTGTTCACATACACTTTATCATGCCATATCATGCCATATTTTGCAATTGCACAGGTGACAAAGGGCGAAATCGAAAGAAAAACAACTTTGGTTTGCAGCCATTTGAAATTTTTCCAGGGACTTTGAAATTGGACGCGGAACTAGCGGGCCGCGTTCGGGCAGCAAGGGCTCTTAGGGAGAAGCTGGTTGCTGAAGAGATCCAACGAGCTCCAACACTTACACTTGGGGAGTGCATCTTGCAAAGTTTAAAACGTTGTTCACAAATGAGGTCACTGTAATGCGGATTTTGGGGCGGCTTTCAACGCGCCAGGACACCAAAAGAAGAGCTAAACCATGTGCCTTCTGAACCAGCAGAAGGTGTATATACTGAAATCACCTGGGTTACTAGGGTTTTGTCAGATACCAACTGTAGAAACTCTTTTTGTAAAGTTTTGGATTGCAAATTATGCCATCCTACGTCTAAAAATCAATTGCATCAACTACTTTTGGATCCATCACAATTTTTGAAGGCAGCTGTTGCACTATCTACATTACCAGCTTGTGACCATAACTGAATTTGGCTACTTGAACCAAATTTTTCAAAAGCGGCACCAAGTATTGCATCTTTTGCAGGTGAAAAGAAGAAGAAAGTGGTCAAGCGATTCGTGAAGAAGAATAAGAAGGTCAAAGGTGAAACGAGACCAGTCAGCACTGCTTGCCCAGGTTCAGGTAGTGATGACTGCCCAGATACCCTCCGTATCGATTCGCCCGAGGGAGTAGATGATGATCCCAAAAAACGTGAGTACTATGAAGGTGGATACTCTCAGTGGCGTGAGCATTGTGAGGACCAATGGCAGAGTTGGAACTGGCCCCCGCATGGGTGGGTACCGAGCACTTGGCAAAATGCCTATTGGGATACCAAGGACCCATACCACAAGTACAAAGAGTTTGATTGGAGTGCCCAAAAAAAAGATGATAGCACCCGTAGCACTTCACCACCTTCAGTTGCAAAGACTGTGTTGAGTAGCATGAGCAGGTCCAGCAGCTCCAGTTTGACCCAGAGTTCAAGCCAAATCAGCCTTGTTGCAGAGCAATTGCGACGCAGTTCTACGGGTGATCAGCTGTCTTTGCAGGAAAGGCTTGAGCTTGTTGCTCTGGAAGAGAAAGAAGATACACCACCGCTGGCCCAGCAGCTGGTTTCCCAAGCAAAGACGTTGTTGAGACAGGCAAAAGCTATGCAGAGTCCCAGCGCAGCAACACCAGATGATGTGATGACGAGGGCGGTAGAAAATGAAGATCCAAAGGATGAACAGAAGCAACCCGACAGCATGAAGAGCACCCAGCATGTGGCTTATCTGCAGGCCATTGAGCAATCCGAAAATATGATCCAGAAATTAAAACAAGAAAATTTTGACACCAATATTTCACTTTTGAGATGCCAAGAACAAGAAAGATATGGCAGATATGAATGTTGCAGATGCCATGCGGCAATCTAATCTTGCTATCCATGAAGCGAACCAAGAGGCTGGTGGGCCCTTTGCTAGCACATGTGACCGCATCAGCAAGTTGGGTTCGGAAGTGGTCGACAAGATTGCTCTAGCAGGGCGATACAAGCAAGAATGCAAACTGCACAGCACGCACAAGAAGGTGTTGGAGAAGCTATTTGACATGGAGCAACGAAAGCTACAAAGGTTGAAGTCGGGAGAGGTGGAGACAGACGATGACGAGCAGAACTACAAGGAACTTCAGCAGTTAAAGAAAGATGCAGAGAAGGCAAAGGTCCACTATGAAGATGTTTCGATGATGAAAGCTGAAGGTGAAACACGAAAAGCTGAACAGAACATGAAAGAGAGTGAAATGTATGAGGAAGAAAGACGAAGGGCCCAAGAATTCAACGAGGAAATGATGGACCTGATGCAACAACAAGCCGATGAATATCGCGCTCGGAGGATCCAGGAATTGGCTGACAAATTGCTTGCTGAGGAGATGATGAAAGATCAAGCAGAGCAGGCTGCAGAAGACGCGAAGAAGGCAGAGGAGATGAAGAAGGCAGATGAAGCAACCCAGGCAGAGGAAATGAAGAAAGCAGAGGAAGCAAAGCAGGCTGCAGAAGATGCGAAGAAGGCAGATGAAGCAAAGCAGGCTGCAGAAGACGCGAAGAAGGCAGAGGAGATGAAGAAGGCAGAGGAAGCAAAGCAGGCTGCAGAAGACGCTAAGAAGGCAGAGGAGATGAGGAAGAAGGCAGAGGAAGCAAAGCAGGCTGGAGAAGACTCGGAGAAGGCAGAGGAGATGAAGAAGGCAGAGGAAGCAAAGCAGGCTGCAGAAGACGCGAAGAAGGCAGAGGAGATGAGGAAGAAGGCAGAGAAAGCAAAGCAGGCTGCTGAGAAGATGATTGAGGCAGAGGAGATGAAGAAGGCAGAGGAAGCAAAGCAGGCTGCAGAAGACGCGAAGAAGGCAGAGGAGATGAAGAAGGCAGATGAGAAAAAGAAAGCTGCAGAGGCCAAAGAGACCAAAAAGGTTGAACAGCTGAGCAGAGCGCAGGAGTTGCTGAAGATGGCTGAGCAGCTAAAGAAGGAGGCTGAGGATATGCAAGAGGAAGAAGACGAAGAAGGAGAAGCACAACCGGCCAGCGAAGAGGTGAAGCAGCCAGACAAGGCAAAGACTGCAGCACAAGACACACTGGCTAGTGAAGAAAATGCCACTAAAGAAAAGACAGCTGACGAGAAGGAAGAACAGAGCCAACAGGATGAATCGCAAAAGTTGATGGCCCAAGCCCAAGAATTGATGAGGAAGGCACAAGCGATGAACCAGAACACCGGCAATGATGGTGGTGGGGGCAGCAAGCTGACAGAGACACCAGAAGAGGAGATGGAGCAAGCATTGAAGTTGGAGAGAAAGAGACTGGACGCTCATGCAAGGTATATGAGATATTACAGAAACATCCGCCGTTGGTGCCTGAGCTTTTGATGTGAATGCATATCTGCATTGTGTACATAATATGTGTGCGTGTGTGTGTGTGTACCAAAAAAGTGCTATGCAGCATTCTGAACCCCTGCATTTTCAAGAAATTACTAGCCTAGCGCCTGCCTAGATCGTGATACGGCGATCGAACTACGCAGAATGGGGGCTGAGGCCAAAGGAAGTATCTGGGTTTGCATTGTGTGGCTTTAAAGGTAGCATGCCAGCAAACAGTTGGCATCAGCAAGTTTCGAAGTTTCGAAAATGTTTCATCTCCTTGTTCCTTATTCTGTTGGCCCATTCGCTGAGGCAAATCCCTCAACAGCATTTAGTATGATGCTTGGAATGCTTGTGGTGAAGGAAACTGGTCAGAAAGCAAGTTTTATCTCAGCGTGAGAAACCGGTTCACCAAGAAAAGAAAAGGAGTGAGGAAGTGGCTTTTGCCAAAAGAGATGGATGCCATTTTTGGCCACAATGTTGCTGAAGAAATCAGAACCCGCAAGCTCATGGTCCCTGAGCTAAAACAAAAAGAAACGCGGTTCCACCCAGAACTGCCTGATGTTGAGGCCAAGCTACACGAACAAGCTTCCATGTCTAGCAACTGATGGAATATGTTTCATGTGTCTACAGGAAATCATTTTTTTAACCGGTTTTCTTGTTCTGGCAGGAGCACCGGCAATTCTTGACGCTGGTGGAGGATGCTGAGGAGGAGGAAAACTGTGAGGAGATTGACCGACTCTTCAAAGCAGTGGACAAAGATCAGGATGATGAAAGCGATTCTGACAGCAGCAGTGCCCCCAAGAAAAAGAAACGCAAGGCGCTGTTCTGTGTAAAGTCAGTGTCTTTGCAAGTCTTTGACACATCCATTCCAGCTATCCATATAGTTTTCCGACCACTTCCCTGGCCACCTTTCAATTTTCAGTTTGTTTTGTAGGTAGTGTGTATCATTGTGCCTGCAAGGTGGCGAAAGAATCGAAAAAGAGATTGAACAGTGATTCCAGAAAGGAATCGAAAGAAGAGAAGTCTCATGATGCTGAACCAGAAGAAGACAAGCCAGCCAAGAGCCCCGAGAAGAAGGCGAGCAAAAAGGACAAGAACAATAAGAAAGAGAAGAAGGAAAAGAAGAACAAACGTGAGGAGAATGCAAAGCCTGAGACTGAAGAAGAGAAGCAGGAGCGAGAGAAAAAGGAGGCTGCAGCGAAGTTGCAGAAGGAAGCCAAAAAGGCAGGCTAGTCAATCAATTTACTCTAGCAGTTTATGGTGGTTTATCCTCTCCGACATTTTGAGGCTGTCTCTGATGCCAGCTCGAAGATCAAATGGGCAATTGGCTTGGAACCGAACATCGCACACTTGTACAGCCCTAAGCTTTTTGCTTGGGACAATGATTTTGGGCAATCTTTTTGCAACAAAAGCAACTTTTTCAATAACGCTGAGGAGTGAGAAGTTTGCAGCATCGGTGAAAGCTGATGTGGACGAAAAGAAACACGCTACTGAGGCCATTAAAAAATGTAGCAAGTGGGACTTTTTGGATAGATCAATCTATAACTTATCTATCTACCCTGCCACATGTGGAGGAAAAGCGCGGACTGCTGCAAAAGGCCTTGGACCTTGGCAAGGTGCTAGTGTGGTTGTGTCTGTGTGTGTGTGGGGTTGGAAATGTGATTGCATGTGTGGATGTGCAGTTTTTACACAACATCTGCTTGTGCTAGTGCTTGTCTGCATTTCTGTTGTGATTGTGTGGATACCCTGTTGCAGGTGCTATCTGAGCAAATCAGAGACTTGGATGCTTCTCGCAAAGAGCTTGAAATTGCCTGTGAGCCTTTGAAAAAAAAAGGCGAAAAAAACGAAGTAGGATTTTCACAAATGACAAAACTTGCAGTGTGACACCTAGATCCTGAGATGCAATTTCTATTTCACTTGTCGGCCGAACCAACTAATCAGTCTTGAACAAAAATCGACCAAATGTTTTACAGGTTTTCATCGGTGCATTTCGGGTGGGGTCGCATTGCAAATATGTTGTGCAGTTCAGAGCGCTCGCTGGCATAGATCAGCAGGCATGTCTGTTGTGCAGTGCTTGTGAGGGTTGCAGCCACAAAGGCTGCGTGGGATCCACAGGCATCTATAGCGCATACAATACTTAGGTCTGCTTCAAACTTTCCCAGCGAGCTGCTTTCCGCAAATCATCAAACCAGCTTTGGACGAAAATCAGCGGAAACACAGTTGGAGCAGGTTTTCATGGTGCATGTAGGCACAGGGTTAACTGTTACAATCCCAACGCGCACGCAGGTGAAACTGATGCTGGTCCTTTTGAGAGGGATGTCACAGAGAAGCTGGCATCTGGTGATCCTAGGCTCGCATTTTCCTGTGTCAAAGATTTGTGGGGGCACTTGCACGAAAAAATGTTTGTAAAAAAAACTTACATGTTGCTTAGATTTCTCCAAGGAAGCATCAGCTGATAGCGCAATGCGTTCTGCAAAAGCAACTTTTCTGGAAACTTGACATTTTTCAGCACAATTTTGAAATGATGTGTGTGTGTGTTTATTTAGACACGCTATGGCACATTGGATGGGAAATCAAATCAAGGAAGCAAAGGGGCACACAGGAACTTGGACAGCGAAGTTGGCCAGATATGTCCCTGGCAATTCATCCAGAGATTTCTTTCGAAATGCTGACTTGCCCTTGGCCCGCTAACAACATTTAGCAAATTCTGTCTTTTCCCACATGGTTTTGAAATTTCTCCTGAACTTGTGGGCGCATTTAGGGTTGTTGAAATTTCTCCTCAATGTGTTTTGTAGGTACCTTCAAAGATCAAACTGCCTGTGAAAAAGTCAGATGGGAGTTCTGGCGAAGAGATTTTTCCACTGCAGCTCCCTGAACATGTGCTGGAGTATTTGATTACAAAGTGCAGGATTCAAATAGATGATGCTTTGGTAGAACGCTATTGGAGACACCTTACTCGCGTTGGTGATACTTTAGCCGTGAGCAGTAAACAATTTCGGGAAGGTCTGGAAAAACCTGTGTGGGCGCTTGGCCTATATGGGGATGAAGCTTGTATGGGATTGATCAATGCACCCAAAAACCAGATCTTGGGGATCTACATGTCCATTGTCCATTTTCGACCTACAGCAACCCGTTTGTCGCGCTGGCTTCTTTTCAGCATTGAATCCGAAAAGTACCTTTCGATAGAAGCAACAATTTATCCAGTGCTGGAAAAGATCGTGGAATCTTTCAACTGGTTGACTGACGTCGGCATTGAGGGGAGACACTGTTTGGTTTCGGAGCTGAGAGGTGACCAGAAATACTTTTACCAGGTTTTCAAACACAAATCGTGGTGGAAAGACACTCAACTTGTTTGGATAGTTTTATTTTTTCTTACTCTGTAGCTGTCGTCCTTTTAAGAAACAAACTTCCAAGTTGCAGCATGTGTGCAATTCAAAGTTTAGAGGCCAACTTCCGAGTTACAGCACGTGACAAAGTTTAGAAGCAAACTTCTGAGTTACAAGAAAACAAAGGATGGGATGGAGAGGACAAAAACTATACACTTGTGCACATGAACAGTAGCTGAGGCAAACAACGTGTGCTTTCGTTGCAAAGCTACTTGCAAAGTGAATAACCCAAACAATTACTTGCTCTATGACGGCTCCTGGTCTGGCACTGTTCGTACAACCCAGGAGTTCATAGACCAAGAGCTCAGGCACAATCGGCAAATTTGCTCTTTGGCCGTGCTTCATATGTTTGCAATTTGGAAGCCGGTTTGAATGAGTGTTCACTCGAATTTAAAGTGTGTGTGCGTGTGCCTGGATGTGTGCTGCATGCCTTTTGTGCAGTCTGTCATTTCTAGATGGGAATGATTCAAAAATGAGGTACCAATAACCCCACAAAATTGTTCATATTCTTATCATGTTGACTACTCATGCTTCAAGCCATCTATTTTCAGTGGCCATATTTTTGATCGATACCCAAACAGAACAAAGGCCCTTTGACGAGTCTACGCTTCTTCTCCGTAGATGCCATCAAAGCCTGTACTCTACACATTCTCAATTTGGGCCTTTTAGGTGTTTCAAATGGATCTGTGTTGCAACATGGCTTTAAAAGTGTTTTATTTTTGGCGGGGGGAGTTGGCAATATTTGTGGTTGATTCATTTGATCCAAATTTGTGATTGGTTGATGTTTAGCCCCTAAAACACCAAGGAGAATGCTTTTGGACATGCACGTGTTTGGGGATGTTACTGATGACTACAAGCCAGCGATCAACACAAGCTTTGACGATTTTTCCTCATGGTGCAAGGCACATGGAATTTCTACCTCACAGAAAAGATGGTCTATTCGATCACTTACCCGAGATGGCTATGGCTCGTATTTGAACTGTAAAGGCTTTAACGCACGCGTCATGACTGAATGGCTCCTCCACAAGGTCACCCAGGTTAACTGTGAAGTAGATCGCTCTCAATTGGTGGAAGATGAACGGGCTCCTATTTGTGAATCAGCATTGATACTCAATTTGTTTTGATTATATTTTAGGGAAACCCCCAAAGTACAATGTACAATGTTCTGGAACTATTCCATACTATTTCGCTTGGAATGGGAGCCAACTAAATTATCAACGTCACTCCCATTCCAAGGAGGGGCATCAGCCGCTACTTTGGACTGTCAGAGCAGGCCTCGCGTTTCTTGATGCCCGGCTCAATGGTCACAGCATGCAGCGGCGGAGGTTGTCTTCAAAATTGGGGCTAAGGGATATTTGGGGTTTGGGGATTGGTCACTTCTTTGACATAATTTCTCAGAATAGCATATCGGTGCAATTAAAGGTCCATCAATCTTAGATTCTTCGCCCCAAGATCCTAGGACTCAATCTGAAGCTGATGACATCGAGAGGGCTGGAAAGGCATACTTGCTGGCTTATCGTCAACTCAACCATATGAGCATCAGGCTGGATTCCAGTGGTGGCTTAACTCCTGAAGTTTGAACCCTGTGTAGTGTAGTTGTTGTTTTTCCCAATTCGGGATTTCCAAATCTATCCTAATCACTGGGGGATCCCCAAAACAATACTAAAATGGTCTTTCGATGAATTGGGAGTACTCCATTTTGGAAAACCGCTGTTTGGTGGACAACCCCCTAGCCCTGACAGGTCCAGGAAACTCGCATGGGTACTTGTACCCAAGTGGCATGTGTCTTGATTGATTTCAAAACTTTTTGACAATATTTGCATGCACACATGCATGTGCAACACTGAAACTATTCTGATGTGTTTGCGTGGCTTTTCTGTTGCCCCTTGAGGTGATGTCACATGTGCTGAAGCATGACGTGCAAGCCCGACGATGCAACCCACGCTTTTACCACACTTTCTGTGATGAAGATGGCATGATGGTCTTGAAGAAATGGGCTAGAAGGGCTGATCCCAAACACCGTGAAAATGGTATTATGCGGATTGCCAGGCTTAGGATGAAGACTTTGTCTTGGCGATTGAGACATGTGAACCAAAAACGCAAGAGATAAAAAAGACTGAGTTCTCTGATGGGGGATGATGGGTACATGTGTGGTCTTCTGAAACTGTATACTTAACAAATCTTAGCGTTTGTTAATAAAACTTAGGCTTTACAGAACGTGGAAGTTTAACTTCGACATTCAACAACTGCCAAGTAAAACATCGACTTTGGAAGGCTAGGGTATATATATAAATATATATACACATGAGTGAAGTCATATATAATCCCGGATATAAGTGAGGATATTCCATATGTTTATATATATATAGATATGTACATACACCTGTTTTTTCATGTTTTTCCACCCATTTACTACTTGGTGGCGAAGTACCCACGAATCCGATAATGGTTAGTTCACCCTATTTTTTTTCTGTGGATTAAGCCTACCTATCCCACAAAACCAGGCATAGAATCTTCTTAGGATTCGTGGAATGAGCAACCAAGTGCCTCCCTGTAAACGTTTGAAGTCACAGGGATTTAACGATCCCCGAAATTCGTGACCCCCCAATAGATGGCTACCCTGTGGTAAACACGTTTACCCTGTGGCAATTGATGGTAATTCATGGCACCATTCGATATAAATGATGGGATATAATTGAATATAATAATGGTGATTTACTGGGAATAATGGTTTATGGATATAAATAACGGTGATTTATGGTGATTTATGGATTCGATAAATAATGGTGATTTACTGGGAATAATTTTTTATATACCCCTTGGTAACAACGATTTGTGAACTGGAGAATCAGCTTTTTCGGAAACCGTTGATCATCAGAATCAGTTTTATCATGTATTTCTATTCGCCATGGCTTCCATAGCTAAAGATTCATAACTAAAAGGCAAGAATAGGGATTTTTCATGGGAGATTTTCATGGAGATATTATATGGATTTCTTTAAATTTAATAGAAAATGGAGATATTATATGGATTTTACCCTAATAATATCTCCATATAATAATTTAAAGTAAAATCAGCTGCGCGTGGGTATTTCACCCAGAAAACCAGAAGCGGATAGCCAGGCGGATATCAATCCATTGTGGGATTCCCATTGTGGGATGACCATGGCGGACAAGCCGCAGTTCACTAAGTGAATCTATACATAGTCTAATTATATATAGTCCAATTATAGATAGTCTAATTATATATAGTCCAATTATAGATAGGTTTTTTGTTGATTCTAAATCTAGGGCTCTAGGGGGCACCGCCTTATACAAGAATATATGCTTTACATGAGGATGGCAACACCTGCCGTGCCAAATTTTGTTTAGCCCTGCACCATGATGCGAATGCCTTTGTGTCTAACAATGGAGATACCCAAAGCCATTGATTTCCAATTTCTGAGACGATCAATAGAGGGAATTGAATATGGAGGTTTCCCTACGTATATACACATACACATATACTTGTTTACACCGTGTATCATATGTACTCGTACAGTGTATATATATACCTATATATATATTAATGTGACATGTATATATATATATGTATGTACATGTATTATACGTAGAGAGTGTATCACAGCCAAATATCCATGCCTTGCCATCACCAGGCCATGGTCCGAAGAATGAGGCGGGGGAAGACTTGGACGGTGGATGGAGCAGCTGGTAGCTGGTGCACCCCATGGTATGGTTTGTTGGTGCATCAAAGATGGGATGATCATGGGATATTCCATGATATATTTCATGGTATTTAGTGTAATGGGATTTAATGCGATTTAATTCTGATTTCTGGGTATTTCATGGGATTTAATAGTTGATGTAACGGCATGATCACCTATCCGGTGGTGAATGGAGCAGTTGCAAGCTATGGGGAGCGATCCTTCCGAATCCCTTCCCGAAAAGACATGGGGAGCCAGTTGGAGCTACGAACTGAGTTTCCCGACCACATCATAGTTATTGCGGGATGATAACCGGATAGTCGAAGGAAGTTTAGAAGTCAAACTTCCGACAATATGGACAGATAAAAGCAGAGGTGGGAAGAGCCAGAGAAGAGAAGAGAAGAGAAGAGAAGAAGAAAGAAGATCCGAGAAGAGAAAGAGTCAGAGGAAAAGGTAGAAAAGTCGCGATCCACTGTGTTTTTCCAATGATTTGTGGCTCCGGAGGGTCAAAAAGTAGGCTCGCTAAAGCGGCGGGTGCGGAGCCATCTTGCCAGATGAGAGATGAAAAATTGCACGCCCTTGTGGGCGCGAAGCACATTTCGAAGTCAAAAGTGTTAAAATTTGAAGGGGTCGGAGCATTTTTGGAAGTTGAGACATTGAAAAAGTGCACGCCGTTGTGGCGCAAAGCACATTTCGAAGTCAAAATGTACAAAACACTTCAGCCTCGGAGCACTTTTGGAAGTTGAGATGTTTAAAAAGCGCACGCCATTGTGGCATGAAGCACATTTCGAAGTCAAAATGTACAAAACATCACATGTTCGCGCCATTTTTGGACGTTGAAGCGTCGTTTTGCGTGGCAGGCGCCAGGAATTCCGCACTTTGCCGAAAGTGAGCAAAACGTGAGGGTTTCTAGCATGTCCAAAAACGGGGGCAGGCGTGGGACATTTCAAGAGGATCTGCAAAGATGCATTTCGCGTGGCAAGCGCAGTACAAGAGACATGTTCATCAGAGATGTTAGGAGGTCAGGGCGCTGATTTCCTGATTCCTGAGAGAAGTTGCATTTTGGAGCATCAGATCTTTAAGTTTTCTAAGATGATTTTGCGCCACAGGTGCAGCACTTCGAATGACCCGGCATCACTTTTTCGTGGCAGGCGCAGTACTTTAGAGACATGGACTGGAAAAATCGCAAAACGCATTGGTCCGAGGCCGTCAGCTCTGCACTCCACTTTCCATTTTTGAAGGAAGTCTCGCAGAATAGCTTCGTTTTTGATGTTGTCAACTTCGAAAATTGAGGAAGCCTTGCAGAATTGCTTCGTTTTTGACGCTGTCAAGTTCAAAAATTGAGGAAGTCTCGCAGAGTTGCTGCGTTTTTGATGTTGTCAAGTTCAAAAATTGAGGAGGTCTCGCAGAATAGCTTCGTTTTCAAGCCTGATAGATAGCTACACGACTACAACCACAACAACCACAACTACCACTGCTACTACTACTACCACCACAACTACTACTACTACTACTGCTACTACTACTACTACTACTACTACTACTACTACCTACTACTACTACTACTATTACTACTACTATTACCACCACCACTACTACTACCACTATTACTACCACTATTACTACTACTAGACTACTAGTGTATGCGTACGTGCATGCAGCATGCACTCGTACACACATTTGTACACGCAGACAGACGCAAGTGGTACAAAGCATGGGCAAGCCATCGCTAATTACACAACATTACAGTACACAAAACTACACTACACTAATTCAACCACACTACACTACAACTACAACTACAAGACATTTCACTACAACTACAATTACACTACTTCACACACACATACTACACTAGACTAGACTATACTACCCTATACTACACTATAGTGCACAACACGATAGTACACTACACTACTGTACACTACTATACACTACTGTACACTACTGTACACTACATTACACCACATTACGCTACATTACACTACATTACACTATACGCTACTTTACAGCTACAACTACATCTACAACTACACTAATTACACTACACTACAACTCCACTTCACTACAGCTACAACTACAACTGCACTACACCACTCTACATCCAGCAGTTGTGGGTGAGGTGGCCACTGAAACCATTGCAACCACTCCAAAAAACACAACTCCAACCACCTTTCGGTCCATCAGTGGATTCGCTCTGCCATCCGTGATTCACAACAACCAACCTCTCCTATACGTTTCCTATTTTCCTATGTTTGAAATTTCCGCCATCGCCTTTTGCGGTACTACTGGTATAATCATCAGAGAGAGGTGATCCAACCCAGTCCAGCATTGGCATTAACCTAATGGCTATCTAATGGAATAATGGGAGAATTTGGGATGATAATGGGAGATCATGAGCCAACACGATACAAGGCAACCGATTCTAGAAAAATGATAGCCACGTTTGAGGGCCAAATGGGTCATTTTACATCTTTATTTGGCCGATTCACCCCCCCCAAAACGTAGTACCTGGGGTGTTGGGAGCAACCCTGATCAGATTGGTAGGTTTTACTGTAACAATATTGCAAACCAGTCACGGAAGATCCTTGGTTATATTTGGCATCTAAACCGCTTGCTGTACTACCGTACCACCTGGCGGAACACATCCAAGTAGCCCCTTGGGTCTTGAAATTCGACCCATATCCAATTTGTGAAGAAACTACATGCTTTGCCCCAACAAATATATGATGGGCAAAACACTAAAAATTGTTGTCCAAACAACAGAATATACATATATATATATATTATAAATATAAATTTATATATACATATATGTCATGAGTGAATCATGATTGTATATATTATAAGTCAGAACTGACATCATTTTTTAAATAAGAGGCACTATGTGTAAATGGGGCCCCCACAAGGTAGCGTAACAATTTTGGTTCGGGAAAGGCCCATAAGAGCAATCTGTTATCTTCTCTTGGTGTCTTAGAAATCTCAGTGTATCAATCTACCAAGACACTCAAATGACCTATAAAGACGGGTATAAAAGTATGTAAAAATCCTAAAACTAGAGGGGAAAACAACAATTTTCATGTGTCAATGTCTAGGTACATATACTATTTGCTTAGTGAAAGGATTGGTTTGAGCGCTCCTGCAGATGTGCCCCAATAGTTCCACATGATTCCAATGGAATTCGGATGTCTCATCATTTCTTGATCGTTCTCTTCATTTAAATGGCCATTTAGATCCATTTGGGGGTTATATCATATTATATCCCCATTCTCAGACACACCCATATTTCATCAATGCAGTCGATTTTTTGTGTGATATTTCGGGCATAGGACAATCGTGAGTCCTCAAGGAGCTGCCACTCCCATCAAAGCACTTCGGTCCATCAACGTAACCTAGAGAGGGGTGTGTCCACCAAAGGTGGAATGCATTTGCTCGGGTCGGCACCGACAGGTAAGTTTGCTCGTGGCCTAGACTAACGTTTTGGTAAATAGGATGCCCAAAGTTCCACAGTTTATTGTCATCGTCCTTGTTACATATTCCATGTTTGGCGTATTGTCCTTATTTCCAGACACACCCATACGACAGGAGAAGAACGCCTGAATTTACCTTCCAGTAAATTCACATAGACCTGCCAAATGGTGGTTGAAAGATTAGTTTCCACTATTGTATTTTCTTGGCCTTGTTTCAGGGTCTATGTTCATTTGGTGGAGGGTATGGATGATACATCGTGGCTCATCCCACTTGCTAAGTAGGTTATATCATGTTATATCCCTGGTTTTGTTAGTGGGATAAGTAGGGTTAATCCACTGAAAAAGTAAGGTTACCCTCTGGTAAACTAACATAGCTATAGAAAATCACAATCTTTAATAGATACATCAACTATAAATGGGCCATTTTTGATAGCTATGTTAGTTTAACAGAGGGTATATCTACTTGGGATTCGTGGCAAGTAGTGCGCCACCTTGCAACATCCAAAAAATCCCCAGCATCGCCAGTTCGCTGCACACATCGCGGCTTCGCTGGCCGCGTGCTGCGTGCAGCGGGCCAGCGAAATTAGGACGGGCAGACTGAAGAACTTCAAACAGTTGGAAGATTTTCCGATAAGTGACCTCACTGCAACCTTACTGGAATGATGGTTAGTAATTAGGGGGAATCAATCCAATATAGCCTTATGTTTGATTAATTAGTGAATCATTATGATTTATCCAGATATGACACATAGTACATGTACTTTTAAAGATTAAATGTTTATGTTGATTACATGAAACAACCAGATGTTAAACGGAAACTGAGAAGGTCTGGCTTTTGAAAATTAATTTTCCGTATCTGGATATGGCCAAATTGGTTCCACGTAAAAACAATAGAGATACACCAACACCTACGAGGAGATTGCCAATATATGAGTTTCGGAGATTTTGATTGTTTTGGACAATCTTCCTATTCGGGTGAAAGCAAATGGGAGTTGAATCGAGCTGAAATCCTGCGGGTAGTGTCTATGGAGGAAGTTTACATGCAGCTATGAACACTCTCCATGTGCAAGAGGTAATACCTTGCGAGATTAACGACCTCAAGTTGCCTTTCTGGAGGGTATCCAAATTTGATCAAAATCAAATGTTGGCAAAAAATAACAAAAACGATGTCGCTATCGTGTGGTATCACCATCCACCATGAGAGGTTGAGAATGCAAACAATACTCAGCACAACTGACCAGTGACGAAGCAAGAATGTCTGCCCAGCTATAAACAATGGCATATGAATATCATCGACTATATAGACAATAGTACCCAATAGTATCCAACTATATGATCATTAAACAACAAACACAGATATGATTTCGAAACACAATTTGCAGCACACCTCCAGATCTTCCATAGTTCCATAGAAACCATTTGGTTCGATCCGATTAAGTATTGGAGCTATTCATTTGAAGGCCCAGCAAAAAGGTTGTATTTCATCAGTGCGATGATTTTGGAGTCCCTTGATGCCCCACAAGTTCTTCGTGAGGATGTGAAGAATCTTCGAGTAGTTAGTTGCTGCTTTTGCAGCTCAAGACAATCGCAGCCTACATTGTTCCGCTGCAGTTGGTCATGCGCTGTTGGGAAAAGAATGGTGCTGCAACAACTGGGGGGTTGCCGCTTTGACACGGAACGGGTGTGAGCTATTGCCGAATCCCCCAAAAAAGGTGCAGCTCCAAAGTCTAGGGATTTTCGAGGCAGAGGACACACTTGGCCTGATCCGTGAATTGTTGATTTGCTGACGATGATTACGTCATTGCGGTTTATATTTTTTCCATTAGTTGCGGAATCCACGGAAAAAAGGATCAGTTTCGAAGGTGATCCCAAGCAAATCCAAGTCTTGGCACAGGGGCAGTTACACCAGAGGAGCTTAGGAGCCACTGATGCTCACTGGTTGTTTCTAAATGAATCTAAATGAAAGGCTAAAGAGGCTGTAGTTGTACCAGGAACGAATGGGATCGAATGGGTAGATTCCACCCTAACCAAAATGCATAGTTTTTTTCGGTCAGCCTCAGCTGTGGTGGCAGTGGTACAACCATTGTTCCAATGGTCTTGCAAGACCCGGGCAGTTGCAGTAATTGTCACACCGAGTGGAACTTTTACCATTGCCTACCGGGCCTACAAAGCACAATCAATATGTCAGAAAAGTGGCCCAAGAATAAAGATACGATAAGATACGTATATAATCAAGTCTGACCATCCGGTCTTGAAAGGGCCTTGATGTTGACACGCAAAAAACGGCTCTGCAGCTGTATAGGCCTTTTTCTTTTGACGCAAAAGAGCACATCCATCCGATCAAGCGGATCGGCGGCTTGGCCGGGGGTGCAATGGTTGACCCAAAGCAAGACGCTGATTTGTTTTCACAGCAGTAACAAAACACAATAGTGATTGTTTGGCTACAATTTCCAATTATGGTGATTTATGTTGCAATTATTTCTTACCTCACAAATTCAGTCAAAATCATGTAATTTCCAGATGTTCAACTTAAACTTGTTTACTTTCGGGGTTTTTGGATGCTTTTGGGGTATCTATCCCAGAGTTGGCTTAAGGGAAACATTGCAGAGTTGCCATCTTCAATGATAAATAGCGAAGCTTTCGACCTATCTGGGTGTGTCCAAGAATAGGGCAACCCGAAATACACTGCGCTTGATCATGTTAATCTTTATTGCATTGGCAGTCAGTCTTGCGGGTAGCACCAATTTTCAGACACACCCAAATAACCCGCTATTGTCAGCTTTAGTTATACTATGTTTTATTATCCCATAATATAATATTGCCCATTATCATAATATATTAATGAATATCCCCATATATCCCCATGACTGTCATTTTATCACCAATATTACCATCGTATACCAACTTCCCAGCGATGATTGGTTCAATCCATCCTGTTCACCATTTTATCATCGCGTTGCTAGGCATGTCTCAGAACCTAGATTAAAGATGATTAAAGTATATTCCATTTTTTTACATTATAATTCATTATATTACATGATATTAGATCATATTAGATCATATTAGATCATATCAGATCATATCAGATCATATCAGATCATATCAAATCATCTTAGATCATATTAGATCATATTAGGTCATATTAGATCATACGAGATCATATTACATCATATTAGATCATATTAGATCATATTAGATCATATTACATCAGATTAGATCATACTAGATCATATTAGGTCATCTCAGATTATATTAGATCATATTAGATCATATTAGGTCATAGTAGATCATACTAGATCATATTAGATCATATTAGATCATTTTAGATCATGTTAGATCATATTAGATCATATTAGATCATGTTGGATCATATTACATCATATTAGATCATATTAGATCATATTAGATCATGTTGGATCATATTACACCATATGAGATCATATAGATCATATTAGATCATTTTAGATCATATTACATCATATTACATCATATTAGATCATACTAGCTCATATTAGATCAAACTAGATCATTTTAGATCATGTTAGATCATATTAGATCATATTACATCATGTTAGCTCATTTTAGATCATATTAGATCATATTACATCATATTACATCATGTTAGATCATTTTAGATCATATTAGATCATATTAGATCATATTACATCACATTACACCATATTAGATCATACTAGATCATATTAGATCATTTTAGATCAAACTAGATCATTTTAAATCAGGTTTGATCATTTTAGATCATATTAGATCATATTGGATCATCTCTAATTATATTAGATCATATTATATCATGTTACTTCATATTAGAGCATATTATATCGTAGATGGCATTATCTTACATTGCATTACCATCTTTGCTGTGCTTATTCACAGCCAGGGCATGACCCACCCCACATGCGATGACCAGTCCTTTAGGGATGGGAATAGTCGGGATTTTGATCTACTCATGATCTGTGGATTCCCATGGAATGGGCTGGATAAACCATAAATAATATATATATATACATATAATAAATATATATATGTCTATAAATATAGACTTACAAATCATATTTCATACCTCATACCCATGATATTCCCATTGTTGTTGGTTAACTCCCATGAAAATAAGGGTTCATATACCATTTATTGTTAAGTTAGTTCGATATCTACAGAATATTCTGGCAATGTATGGGAATATCCCATTTGAGCCATTCAAAATACTTCTATATAGGTTCCATACAATCTCATGATACTACTCGGTTGACAAGTTTCCCTGTGGATTGTCAAGATCCCCAAGAAATTAGGTAGTATAATTCCAAAATGCAATCTATATTTTTTTGGTACTATGACAGTTCCCGGATTGTCAGAATCCCCAAGAAATTAGGTAGTATAATTCCCTATCAATAACCAAGGTATTTTCTTAGCACTTCCGGGGACAGGTCATGCGTCCCTACATCTTGGTCCTGGCCCTTGTGGCCCAGACCTCGAAAGGGACCGAGACGTTGGAGGCGACGCCGATGGGGGGATCAGTCATGGGTGGTGTCATGGATGGCCTCCTGTTAAACTTGGATGATTTTGAGGCTACCCCTATTTTAAGAAATCCCCAAATACATGTATATATATATATACCAAATATGTATATATATATATATATAGGTAAATGTACGGATGTACTACTGCATGATATGTAATTATGTATATGTAGAGTGGACACGAACAGAGTGGAAAAAACAATGGAACAAATACAGGATAAATAATTGTTCTGTATGCATACAATGTGTAATATGGTATATACTCATATTCATATGTATGTCGCTTTCAAACTTATAAAATGTGTATATACACACACATATATATATATATATGAAGTTCAATCTGATTATATACTGTGTATAGATAAATGATGGACGTACCCGGACGTAGCTTGATTAAACGACAGCACACTCTGCCCAATGGACATAGGGTAAACTGACATAGATATGGAAAACCTATGGTTTCCCTTGGGAAGGAATCTACAACCGGTTGGTTTTTCCACATATTTTTGTAAGTTTACCGGATGGTAATTGATGCTTAAGCCGTCACTACAGTAATGGTTGTTGGTGGTCAATCAGCCATGGAATTGTGTTTTGGAATGGGATTTGGGGAATATAGCTGGTCACGCTTGCAAAAGACACAGATCTATAGGCAGGGTCAATTGCTTACTGGGAATTTTCGGGAATGATCCACTGGCTAACTATCAATAATCATCCCAGCAACCCCCAGCAACCCATACATTCCCTACATTTAGCACCAGTAAGATTGGAGTAGTGGACTTCAGGACTAAGCCGATGTGGAAATCCTGCCAGCTGTTATTGCTATTGCTCATAAGTCTCATAAGGAGGCTATATATGGACTTCAAGGCCCACCAAAAAACAAATCCAATAAATTCAGGTTTGGATAGATTTGTGTGGAATTGTTAGACGCTGCGCCAACCATTTACCATGGAATGAAATTGATATTGTCATCTTTGGAGTTGACATCTTATATTTATCTTGTCACAATTGCTCGGAACCTTTTAGGTAGAGTAAAGAGTTGTAAAGCATCTAATCCACAGTTGGCCAAGAATTCAACAATGAAAATTACTTTACTTCGAGTTATCCCCATCATGACATCTATACGTTTTGTTACTGGCAAATCTTCTGGCATTCTATCTGACATATCTTCTGGCATTTTATCTGGCATATCTTCTGGCATTCTATCTGGCATATCTTCTGGCATTCTACCTGGCATCTCTTCTGCAATATGTTCTGGCATATCTTCTGGCACTCTATCTGGCATATGTTCTGGCATATCTTCTGACATTCTATCTGGCATTCTATCTGGCAAATCTTCTGGGGCTCTACCTGGCAAACATTCTGGCACTTTATCTGGCATACCTTCTGGCATTCTATCTGACATTCTATCTGGCATACCTTCTGGCATTCTATCTGGCATATCTTCTGGCATTCTATCTGGCAAACATTCTGGCACTTTATCTGGCATATCTTCTGGCATTCTTTCTGACATTCTATCTGGCGTTCTATCTGGCATATCTTCTGGCATTCTATCTGGCCGTTGAGGGCCAGCGGTGCTCACTGAGCTCGGAGGGTCCCAGGTTGAGGTCCAGCGGTGCTCACTGAGCTCGGAGGGTCCCAGGTTGAGGTCCAGCAGTGCTCACTGAGCTCGGACGGTCCCAGGTTGAGGTCCAGCAGTGCCCAGTGCGCTCAGACCCTTGCAGTTGAGGTCCAGCAGTGCCCACTGCGTGCGGAAGTTGGCGAAGAGCTTGGCGAAGAGTTGGCAAGGCGGAAGTGAACATGGAAGTGGAGGCAGAGGTGGTGGAGGAGGAGGAGGAGGACGAGGAGGAAGAGGAGGAGAAGGAGAAGAACAACTCTGATAAAATCTAGCAACCCTCACCTGGCAGGTGGGTAATAAAACATATTTGAAACCAGCTCCAAGTCATTGACCTTATTAAACTCAGGCGTTTGAGGCGCTCGAAATCATGACCATAGGGGCTGACCCATTCCTGGCCCCAGCGCTGCGCACCTCGGCATAGGCTGCCCTCTCTTCAAATGATGAGTGCACAGGTGGCCCCATGCGAGATGCTGCAGGGTAGACATACAAACAATTTTTTTTACATTTTTTAAGCACATACATATATTATATATATATATGTATCTATGTATGTCTACAATTGTACATAAATAAATATAAATAAATAAATAAATATATATATATATATTTGTATGTGTAGATATACAGTATATATTCGCATTGATTCAAAACAAACATGGGTGAATACTGTTTATTTGTCACTGGGATATTGGATTATATCATATCCTTTTGCCTTTGCCTTTGGGTGTAGGGGGACGCTAGGCCGCTAGGATTCTGCTCGTTTGACATCGTGGAACTTTTTGGTGAGCTCGAAACCTGCACTTGGGTATAAATCGCCTCAAAAACTCCTTTATTTTACCATGTTGCTGGGGTGTATTTTGAGATCCTGTTTATATATATATATATAACAATTGTCCAATGAATCTCTAGTAATTGTTTCCTGCGATAGCTGGACTCTTCATGTTTTTTTCATACAAAAAATGCATGCATGCTGTTCCAGTTTTTGTAGGCTGAAACCACCTGCGTAGGCGAAACATGCGCCTTCAACGCCCTCCAGACACGACAAAGGACGCCCAGAACCCTGTGAGAGTCGCTGGATGTGAGTGGCGGATGGGTTAAAATCTGAGATTTTCCATACAAGGTGGTGCCCCCCAGTTATGAGTGAGTTTCTAGATCCCATTAAGTAGTATTCGATATCTCTACTATAAACATCTATAAACCATAAACTAGTTATGTAAACCAACTTAGCTAGGTATGGGGCACCACCTTATATAGGGAGGATGAAATAGATTGAACATCCAATTACTAGTTATTTTGATGTGACCAGAAGCGTACCAGAGTTTTGACCCATAGCCATATCGGAATATACAGTATTGGAATATATTGTGATAAACCAAACAATGAACCATCCCTGTACCAGGAATGGGTGGTAAAATACCCTAAGATTTGAGGTTTATCACTGGGTTGATACCACATTTTATAACGGCATGATATGTTGCTTAAAAAAAGTCGGTTGGTTTTGGCAGAATATTATGAAACTCTTGGAGTCTCTTGGATACATGACAAGACTTCTGCAGATGGGAATACAGCACAATGTATCTCAAAGTATCTGATGTAGTGGGAGTACGAACCAAAACTTCTTGGGATGTGTATGCGAATGGTTCAAGGTTGTTTCCAACAGGGTACCTATTGGTACTGAAGGGGACAATTTTTTGGCAAGCTAGATCAAGGTATATCAAGATCACCAAATCTTGACCTCAAAACGAACACAAAAGGTCATCAATGAAGGCCCCAGAGGCTACATTAGCTAATGGGCTGATTTCAGCCTTGTGACCTATGAGTATTCAGCCAGCTTAGCGAGACAGATTTGAAATTAATTTAGTATGAAGCATCAAAGTCTTGGTGTACAGACTCTTGACCGCACACCTTTCGTCAATGGTAAGGGGGACACGACCACCAGTAATTTGGATAAATATATGGATATGGGTCAATACCTATAGATACATTTTAGTGGGATGAACATCCATTTACCAGCTATTTTGGGGTTCACTAGGTACCAGGGTTTTGACCCATCCCCATATACTAAAAAATGTGTATTTTATGCTCCATGGGGCAGTCCATTTTTGAGCCACTCTGGATGTGTTTTTATGGATGGGAGAAGGAACTCAACCTCCCGGTAAACCGATAGCAATCTCCATGGGAGTCGAGCACGAACGTTCGGAAAGGCTCGACTAACAGTACCCCAAGAATGGATGGTCTCATACAAACAAATGAGTAAACTTGTGGGTGCATTAGCACTCTATTCTTGAGCCATACTTAATATTAAAAAAAACTTGCAGTTGATATGCATGATATGATATGATATGTACATATCAATTTGGGTTGGCTAACCCCCCCACATTTCTGTTGGTCCATGCCCATTACCTGTTTTGCCACTGGTTTCAGTCGCAAGACTAGAAGACCTGGCTCTTTGGTGCTGCACAATTCAACCTTTGGGGTGTTTTAAGCATCAAACTATTCAATTTTGGATGTGTTATCCTACCCTCCCACCCATTTGCTGAGACCAAAAACCCTGGCAGGATAGAACATATGGACCCAGAGAATCCATCGGTGGGGGATTGGGGGATGGGAGATAGGGATGGTTAGCACAGGAGACCCAGTTTGAAACAGTCACGATTTTGGAGGAATTACCCAGTTTGTTTACTCAACATTGATTTCTTATGAATGATTTATTCTCAATTTCTGCTTAATTTCTTACGCAAAACAGGTTTTCAACTTGATGGGATTTTGGTGCACTCAAGTCTTGAGACATGCCCATGAATGATAGGTCAATGTCGTTCTTCTTGGCCATATTCACAGAATTGGTTGAGTGGTGATTTACAGAAAACTCCAGTGTTTCAGAGTATGAAACACTGTCTTTGGTATTTCCGCTGGTTAACCAACCCAGCCAATGGCAGTCAATCTACTGTATTTACCTTTTGGGCTGGAGGCTGGAGGTATTGAACAATAAGTGTTGCCATGGGGAGGGGTGGACACTTTTGACACCAACAAGTCCAATGAGCATAAATACCTGTCTCTCCTGCCCATCTTTGCGATGTCTAACTGGGTGGAATGATGACGTAAATTCTCAAAGTTTTGATGCTGTCGTTGGACTGTAGAGATCGGCATGTCTACCCTCAAAAGCGGGAGGTTGCACTGCTTTTTGTCGCCGATTGCATGCATTTTAAGGGTCCTGGCACGTGTTAGGACCTAGGATACCTTCTGCAACATGGCAGAGGAACACCATCCACCATTTATAGATGATTTTCCCACGTTACCGTTAATGCCGGTTTAAAGAGAATTTCCCATTGTCATGTTTGATTGCCTAAGTGCATCTAGTCACCACAAATTCAAAACATAAGAGTCATTTCTGATTGACTGAAGTGAAGAAGACCTATATGTGCAACAGGATTTTCAGGTGGGTAGAAAAACACCAGGAATCATGAATCCTGGATACACACAAACTCATTATACATTCATTCAGCCATTCATAGTATGCACATGTAAACACAAATACGATGCGGAAAAATGTACCTCATGTATTATACATCTGGGATCATCTGGGTAAATTATAACGACCTCACTGCGACCGAACCCTGAATTCATAGTGGGACTCATCCCCAAATAAGCGGTGCTGGATGCAGGCGGAGGATGTGAAAGCAGCGCAGCTGGTTGGACCTTTTGCCACTCGGAAAGTTTGGAAAGTAACGTAGGGAAAAGATGGTGCCCTCCAATGTGGTAAAGTATATTAAAGTTAATAAAATATCAATATTATAACCAATCTCCCAAATCACATTTTTTTTGTGGGTGCTATTGTTTTACCATCCCTTGGGTTTATGGCGGTTTCCCAGATTAGTTCTGTTTGTTGCTTGATCAACCCATATTCGTGTTTGCCCCAAGTCTTGTGTGTTTACCCCAGCAATTTCCAGGGGTAATGTGGATGGCTTGGGTCCATCCTAATGGGACTGGCATGGCATTTGAATCTAAGTGTCTATGAGCAATCTATTAGCATCAGCTATTCGACATTATTTGCCATTTTCAATTATCATATATATTATATATATATGTACATATATCCTCTATTATTTGCCATTATTTGCCGTTATCATTATTTGCAATTATACATATTAATATATCCTCTATTCACCATGAACAAATCCGCCATTCTATTCCATTCTTCACCAAAAAAGACTTGAAGATTCAACTGGGTTTTTGCATCATTTCCCAAATAGCCAGCGTCAGGTCACTTGTGACCCTCTTTGCCATGACGGTACTGGTTGCCATGGCGGATATAGATGGCCGGATGGAGGTTTCACCCACTACGGATTCATAGTGGGATAGAATTGGGATCTGGATATATCTGGATTGGGATCTGGCGGATTCTATAATGATACCATCATTTAATCCCTCTTATTGGGATATATCATGATATATCTGCATATAATGGGATAATGGGATGATATTGGCTTTCACATTGCTGGAGCTTGAAGATGTTGAAAGTTTTAACTCAAAACGAGTCTCAAAATTAGCTGGGCCCATAAGACTGGATGATCAAAAGCCATGGCGTGGGCCGTTTGGTGCTGTTGGGTGGTCTCTATTCACGGTTCTACCTTTTTTTCATGGCGGGCTGGCGGGCTGATGTCCATTTTTAGCCCCAAAAGATAGAACAGTGATAACAACCACGTCATCGGAGGATAGAACTTTACCAACTTCTCTAGGCCCCAAGGGTCCTAAAAAAAGACATTTAAGCCACGTTGTAAGCCACGTCATGACTCTACCACCCATTTTTACCAAAAACGACTGATTTTTGTTGAGGTTCCTCAGCGGCTGTAGATTCGGACAAGTCCTTGGGAAGCAGCTACAGTGGAAGATACATCCGTCACTATGCAGCGAACTGCTGGCACCCTGGCGGGCCATGGGGTGCAGCTTGCATGGGCAACTTGGAGATGCCCGAGGTATCTAGGCCATGTATATATAGAAAACACATGAACATACAAGATAGACATAATTATGTGACGTAGTATATTTATTGGTTCATTTGTGTTTAGATTTACTGAACTTCAAAACATATGTGTATATATATATACATACTACATACTAACATATATACAACAATGTGAAATATAAGAACGCTTCATGAAGGTTCTGTCCTAAGCATTTTCCATTTTCCCTGTATCATTTTGTTGGGTCAAGTTTCACATCAGCTTTTTGGGATGCTGTGCCAGAAACTTCCATGAATGGTAGGGTATACTTCATATTGTTTATAGTATTAAGCATCCATTTTTGGGTACCCAATTTTGACTCCCACATTGCTGAGTGAGTCAATTGTTGGCATACCCCACAGTTGCTTTTTGTGCAGGTCCTCCTTGCCCTGTGTGTGTGAGTTACTTCCTGAACCTGCATCTTTGTTTCTTCGTCATGGTATGAGCTGCTATTCTGCATGGTCCTGCATGGTGATCATTTGATTGCGATTGTCTAGTTTCCATTCTGATGAATTGGGGGCGTTCATAGGAAAAAAACAAATCCATGCGAACATCAGGTGACTACATTCAAACCACCTGCGAGATTTTGGATTAATTCCTTAGTTCTTTGTCATCTTGTCTTCATCAGCTACAGCTATTCAAGCTTTGGGGCGTCCCAGATCATGATCCTTCCGTTAGATGCGTACACCAGCTGGTGTCACAGAGATCCCGACCTCTTCAAACAGAAACAACAACGAAAACACCAAACATATTCCAGTTCTTTGAATGATTGAAAAAACAAACTCCTTAGATCTTCTTAGATCTTCTTAGATTCTGTTGGACCCTAAACAAATCCATCAGCCCCAAGTTTCCTTTGACTTCGGTGACCTTCGGTTCCGAGCCCCCCGCGCACATCCCAAGCCACTCCAGGTACGGCTGTGGAAAGCACGCAGGCAGCTGTCCAGGCTTCTGCGGCAGTGGCAATGCCTGCTGCCGCTGGAGGGCGCACCATGACCCTCCAGAGACTTGGAAAATGATGATCTGATGATGGTTATACAATGTTTTTTGTGCGGATATGAACCATTGGGAAAACATATTGTTTTTTTTTTAACATGTAAAACATATAGATGAATCTGGTTATATATATATATAATGTTACCCTTCGGTAGTCAAACGTGGCTAGCTGGGATATCCCCTATAAATGGATATGTTGTAGTATTTTACAATATCTTCATGGGAAAATCATTTGTGAATGGAACATGTTCCATAGCCATAGCCTTGATTACTGGACAGCGGGATGGATACCCTCTGGGACTCATGGCTAACACATCAGGGGAACGGGAAACTGAGGTTATATACATTTCGATTCTCATATGTATCTACTCGGGTTAGGGATAATTGAAGGTTGGAATTGGGCAACCGGTAAATGTATATATATATATGTATGTATATACACATGAACTGATTATGGTTGTATAGGGATAAATCTCAACCGTCATTATCATATATACATCTATTAACTGTACATATTGACCATCTCTGGTCGTACAGAGTAGAATATTATATATATATATATTTGACTACATATAATAGGGTTAACCGTCAAAGCTGTGATTATAGATAAATCAACCGAGAGAAGCATCGGATACAGGGGATTGGAGGAGTTTTATCCTGATTATTAGTGGTACATCAAGCAGTGAAAATGTACCAATCCTCAATGATTGTACAATTTTGGATTTAACATATATATTCTCATAGGTATGTCTATTTTAGGTACCTGAAATTCCCCATCTTTTACTTCCTCTTAGTAAGAAGCTGTGATTTTAGGCAGCCGTGACTAAGGAATGTCGAGGTGTTCGCAAATGGCCAGTAGTTCCGCCCTCAATGCGATGTACGTGCGACATGTCAGGCGTCACAAAACGATGGTTCGTGTTATTTGATTGTTAAAAGACACCTGAAACATCAAGATGTACAGCATATATGATTATATAATATAGCAAGACACACAGTATGGTTATTATGGGATGTACGAAAAAAAGAGCAACTGAATTCTGTGTACAGAAATCTGTAAATATGTTCGCAAATTCTCAAGAGGTATACTAGTGGACCATAATACCACAGACCAAAACAGCCTTGAGTCCTGCGTTTATAGTCACTCGTACATTTACTCTACAGGTATGGGACTAGTGTACATATATTGGTGTATATATATATTATAATATATATATATATATATATATTTTATATATATGATATTGTAATATGTATATATATAATATCACATATATCGCAGAAAGATCCCAGGCGGTTAATTTGCAGTTCCCAAGACTTGAAGATCAGCCCCTCTTGGTCTCCCAATTAAAAATCGGGTGAGATTTGCAGAGTACCGGAGATATGGAGATGACTGGGTCAGTGATTTCATCTGATATTTACTGGTTGGTGGTTTACTGATATGGTTAATGGATGGTTAATGGATGGTTAATGCATGGTTAATGGATGGTATATATGGTATATATGTTCTATAATATCTGGTTGGTGGTTCGAAACATGAATTTTATTCTTTCCATCTATTGGGAATGTCATCATCCCAACTGACGAACTCATATTTTTCAGAGGGGTAGGTATACCACCAACCAGATATTTATATCTTATTCAACTCACTATCAGATCATCATGAACCTAACTGGGTTACATATTTCATATTGACCTCAACATACCTCAACTATATAACCCCCTTTCCATCTCGGTTCCACCCCGGTTCCATGCCACCGCTGAGATTCACTGGCACACCTGCGTGAACACGCCAGTCCAAGCGTCGCCCAGCCAACCGCAGCAGGGCACCGGCGGCAACTGTAACACGCGTAGCATGGGTGGTGCGCATGGCCCAGACTCCGTCGATTTTGGCAGGGAAGTGTGATCAGCAACAAATGGCCGATGGTTTGTTTTTGGGTATACCACTAAAAGGTATACCACCCTTTATATATTGGGTATTACATTAATCCATGAACTGGGAATCCCTCTTAGCCAACTAGTACAAATAGATGAGTTGAACACGGCTCAAGTCTTGGTACTCTTGAAAGTCGAGGGAAAGGTTGACTTCCTGTTGCGTGTCATTGGGAAAGATTGTTCGTCCTGGCAAGTTCGATACAATTCTAGCTAATGCTGCTGCTTTCTTTGTGTCGGCATGTCTTAGAGTCTCCGTGTGTATGTGCCTCAATAGTATGGCAATTTTCTGATAAATTAATCATAATGGATCTGGAAGGTATTCTAAGTGATCCACTTTCCGGTGCTCTAAGTGATCCCTTAACCTCCTTGGAAGGGGAATGTTTCAAAAAATGATCCAATCAGACGGTTACGATGCTTCAAGTCCACCCCATTCGGGCAGCAGGCGATGGGCCATGCAACTGCAGCAAAGCGTTCCACTACTCATTTACTAATTATTGGTTGTGTCACTTCAACTCTACTGTTTGGTGGTTTCAAACCGTTTTTGTCTACTTCCATTCTGAAAGAAGACCCCAAGTGACTCTATTGTCTTCCACGTTTTCCTAGATTTTCTGACTAAACTGGCTGCAAATCCACTGGTACAACAAGGGCTGGACCAGGCTGTCACAGGCAGTCACGATGCCCTCGAATCCAGGTGGTGTGATGACCGTCTATCATCAAACCGGCTGCGACATAGGCGTCTGTCGTCGGGACCGGAAAGTGTTGCGGTGGTTGGTTCTGTGCTTTTTGATGGAAAAAATACCGTAATTGTATGCGAAGATGCTCAGTGACTGTTTATTGTTTTTTTCAGGTCGACACTTATGGTTATAATACGTATATATATATATATATACATAATACGTATATACATATAATATGTATATATAATACCCATGAACATATCCTCTATAAAATGAGAGGGGTCAAGGCATGCCATATTTCGTTTTATGTACCTCCAGCTGCAGCCCTTCAGGGGGTCACTCACCCTATTTTATAGTGATTTTAAGGTTGTAGGTGAAATCTGTCGAGATTTGTTCAGGTTTTTGCAGTGCAGCCATGATCCAGGTTGTTCTTATCCACAGCCATTGATCATTTGATCAAAGATGCCTCGGGTGGGGGCACAACCTCTGAAAGGGAGCCCGGCCCTGTGCCATGTGAAGACATGCTCAGGGAAGATGGGCAAACCATTTCTTTGCATTCCTTCATTTTGGTTCCAATGCCGCCCAACTGCCACCACACAAAAGGCTGGCTTCAACCTTTCAACCCACTATGAAATTGGTGATTGAGCCAGCATCTGCCATCCTTTTGCATTCCTTGATGCCAGCCCTGGCGTTTCAATGGGCCATTTTGGAATAGTGTGTGGCTACTTGTATGATTTCCAAGTGCTGCCACTATAAAATGGCTGGCCTCAACCTTTCAACCCACCATGAAGTTGGTGATTGAGCCAGCATCTGCCATCCTTTTGCATTCCTTGATGCCAGCCCTGGCGTTTCAATGGGCCATTTTGGAATAGTGTGTGGCTACTTGTATGATTTCCAAGTACTGCCACTATAAAATGGCTGGCCTGAACCTTTCAACCCACCATGAAATTGGCGGTTGGGCCAGCACCTGCCATTCTTTGGGGTTGAAATTGCCGGGGAAGCTGGGTATTCAACCCAATCACCAATTTGAAATTGGGTTGGTGGGTTGAAGCTAGCCATTTGATAGTGGCTAGATTTGGGAAATTGTGCAAGTAGCCCACATTAAAACACAGTAGCCCACATTGTGCTATCTTGTGGGCTACTTGCGCAAATCTAGCCACTATCAAATGGCTAGCTTCAACCCACCAACCCAATTTGAAATTGGTGATGGGGTTGAATACCCAGCTTTCCAGGCAATTTCAACCCAAAAGGGTGGGAGGTGCTGGCTCAATCACCAATTTCATGGTGGGTTGAAAGGTTGGGGCCAGCCATTTTATAGTGGCAGCACTTGGAAATCATACAAGCAGCCCACGCTGTTCCAAAATAGCCCATTGAGAGGCCAGGGCTTGCATTTGGAGGCATTGGAAGCAAAATCCAGGAATACAAAAGGATGGCAGGTGCTGGCCCAATCACCAATTTTATGGTGGGTTGAAAGGTTCAGGCCAGCCATTTTATAGTGGCAGCACTTGGAAATCATACAAGTAGCCACACACTATTCCAAAATGGCCCATTGAAACACCAGGGCTGGCATCAAGGAATGCAAAAGGATGGCAGATGCTGGCTCAATCACCAACTTTATGGTGGGTTGAAAGGTTGAGGCCAGCCATTTTATAGTGGCAGCACTTGGAAATCATACAAGTAGCCCATGCTGTTCCAAAATAGCCCATTGAGAGGCCAGGGCTTGCATTTGGAGGCATTGGAAGCAAAATCCAGGAATACAAAAGGATGGCAGATGCTGGCTCAATCACCTATTTCATGGTGGGTTGAAGGTTTAAGGACAAGTAGCCCACACTATTCCAAAATTGCCCATTGAAAGGCCAGGGTTGGCACTGGGCGGCATTGGAAACAAAATGAAGGAATGGCAAAATCAAAATGAAGGAATGGCAAAAAATGGTTTGATTCTAAGTGAGGTGCTGAAAGCTGTTGACTTGCGCCTTGACCATTTGTAAAGGGAACCAGTCATTTTATAGAGATTTTAAAAATAATTTCCAGGTGTTCTGGAGTCAGGCCCCCTCAAAATATAGTGTTTTCATTTGGGTTGGGGCCACTCATTTTATAAGCAGTGTCTAGTCATTTTATAGTGAAAACCATTTTATGTCTATAAAATGGCTTGCAGGACCCCCTCCCGTGTATGTTCATAGGGATTATATATATATACACATGCATCATGTTGCATATATATATGATTATATATATATATACATACATAGTTATATATATATATATATACATTGTATATAATAAAAACACCCAATCAAAATGAGATGCGCGGTAAGTTTTTAACTCATTGAGGGATTTTGTTGTGTGAGCCTGTGAGCTGCAAACAATGTACGAGGGAGCCAAGATGGACCAAAAAACGGCAGATCTAATGCAAATTGATTCATTCATGTTCAATGAATATTTGTGCAGAAGGAGTAGGCTGTCAGGCAGTATTGAAATGTTCTCAAGGCTTTGTGAAGATTCTAATTATACTATCTTGTAGCCACCATGTTAGTGACTTAGTGTTAGCAATGGCAAGTGCCCATCTTTTGCCAAATCCATGTCAGTTCTTCTTCCTTCCATTCTTCAGATTATTTGAAGCATGCATGCATTAGCATCATTACCATCCGGTAATCGAACCTGGCAATAGGAAATCCCCTATAAATGGAGGTTTCTAACTACATAGGGAATTTCCTTGCACACCATGTTTGAGGACATCGGAGGTTAAACCTATGCGTTTTCTGCAGTGTTTCTATGCGCGTTTTCTGCAGGTCCTTTGATCCTGAAGGAAGGCTTTCACCTAGGCAAAGTCGGTTGGCTGGGACCCCGGACACCGGATGGATCCGGAAAGACTCCGACCGGACTCCGACCGGGAGAAGGGCTGGATCAAAGATTATAGAAGATTATTCCACTAAGATTATAAAATTTTAGGCATTTATAGACTTGAATGAGGATAGTTTTTCTGGATTGTCTTTTTGGTGGATTTGTATGGAAATTGTATGGAATATATTGGGATATAACTGACCCATTTGATATGTTACGTGCCTTGAAAGATCGTAGATCTGCCATATCCTACCATCCTGGGTCTTCAACATTGCTAAATATTTTGCACCTTTTGCCTTGTGACCTGCTTTTCGGTAAAACGACCCAAAAAAGGCCAAACACGGCAGAAAGGGCAGAAGGGGCAAAAGTGGTGTAGAAGGGCACAATCAATCACAAATGTTTTTGAAACATATTTCCCAGTGGAATGTCCAATAAATCAAGGGGTCAGTGACGGCCAGTGCCCTATTTGAGCCTGGTGGCTCAAAACATGGCCCTGGTTTGCGGCGGCCTTTTGGATTGGAGGTGCCATCCCTCCACCCTGATTTTTGGCAGAAGTACGATTCTTTTGTCAGCTGCAGTCGCGTTGAACTGATTTCTTTTTAGTGTGATCACTTTGAACCTTTCTCGCTTCACTCCCATTTCTCCAGGCATCCGGCTCAGACCATTAAGTGTGACATATGAGTAAAGGCAAAACATGGGAACACATGGAAGAAGTTCATGAGAATCAAAATTTCTTGGTGGTTGGTAGTTTTTGTGCTTGCCATTAAAAATGGCACTGGTCCCATATGACCCTGAAGACAAGAAGTGTGCTTCAGCTCTGGCGGAAGCCTGGGAGAAAGTCACTTCTATAAGGAGAAAAGCTCAGTGTTTGAAAGCGGCCAGGGCCTGGGATTGCTGTCGGATTGAAATGGGGTTGCAATTTGGTTTCTCTCTCTCTCTCTTTCTCTCCGTCGCTAGTCCTATATAGCTGCACATATACATGTACAGAATCTGTTGCCTAAGGTCACTGTCCTTGGAAAAGCTATGACTCGGGAGACCTTGGTCCAGAACTTTGAAGTTTTGGCGCTAGCCATAAAGTACGTTGGTACTCGGGTATCTGTCCCGGCATGCCAAGTGCATGTTGGTGAGCTTTATTCCTGGATGAATGTGAGAGCCCCTAGCAACTTGATGGAATTGTCATGTTTAAGTCACTTGATGGTTTTTTGCGGTGGGCCCAAATACTTCATGCCATCTTAGGCACTGTGATCGAACTGCAGGGATGGGTTCTTCGTCGCTGCCTGTCCTCTATCAATCGTGTCTGTGGGCGACCATACAGACCCAAAGACATGCACGTTCGAAAGCTATGTGAGCTTGCTGGGGTTGTTTGGCCTGACCCACCCAAAAAGAGTCGAGAAAATATGGAGGACGAAAGCGATGATGAGGAAGAATGGGAAAGTGAGGAGGAGACAGATGATAATGAGATGGAAGTAGGCTAGTTTCCTACATATGCTGCAATGCTCTTAAGTAAGACTTGGAAATGCCAATCTGTTCAGGTGAAGACCCTCGTCCAGCTCTTGCTGCAGAGCCTGCAAAGTCAGGCACCTCTCCCACTCCTGCCGCAGCAACTTCCGAATCCCCTCAGGAAGAGACTGCTTTGGCTTCTCCGAAGACAAGCTCGCCAATGTCAATGGCCTCACTCAAGACGCCGGAGCCCAGAGGCCTAATGGAACAGGGATATGCACCCTGGAGGTTCAGGAAAAAGTTCCAAACATATATTAATATATATATATATATTATAGTTATATTATATATATATATCTATATACATTATAGTTATACATTATATATATATAGTTGTATTGTATAGGATATAATAGGATATAACCCACATATTTCATGCTGGCCTATTGCATTCATGTTTCGGATACTGACCAGGCCCACAGGAGAAACTTGCATTTACACCTACGCCTGTCCATGGGCCAGACCATGTCATGCCCTCAGTGGTGTTAATATCTCACTTTCTGACGCAGCAGGTTTGATCATATTATCTATCAGCCCAGGCTGCAAAGAAGCAGTACCTCACTGGTCTTTTGGTGGAGTTGCAAGCTGAAGTAGTGAATCTCAAGAAGTTGCGACTGCTACAGTTGAAAAACCAAGCAAATGCCCTTGACAAGGTACCTTGTGGGGGAGGTCAGAACATTGACAACATGGACACGTTGCCAATGGACGAGACCTTCTATGATGCTCCACTGTCGCAGCATCAGGCAGGTAAAAAACATCCAGCATTGTACTTATTGAAATTGCAACATATATAAACTGTTTGTCTAGCCTGGGATGAGGCAGTGTTCCATAAAGTGGAAAATGAGTTACGAGCAGAACTGACCCCGACTGCTTCTCCTGGTTCTTGTTGGGAAGACTCTCCATGGCATGACCCTACTGGTGATCCTTGTCATGTTCCTACCGGACCCACTGCAGGAAATGATAGCCCACAGGAGTGGTACTTACTTGTGGTTCTGCCTGTTTTTCCCTCCTTTAGGTATTTTCTACTTGCTGCTTCTGGTCAGGAGCTCCAGGGAAAGAGAAGACTAAGGAGGCCGAGGGAAAGGAAGATCAGAAGGATGCAGAGCTGGGGCCAAAAACGACATTTGAGGAGGGCAGCCCAAAGGAAGATCAGAAGAAACCAGTGCTTGTGCCTGAGCCCACAGAGAAGAGTAGGGAGGCTGAAGGTCAGAAGGGCGAAGGGCTCAAGCCAAAAGAGAAGATGAAGGAGGCAGAGGACAAAGACGACACAGGTGGAAAGGGAGTTCGAAGTGCAGAGGCTGAGATCAATCAAGATGATGGCAAGTTGACAGAGAAGACGAAGGGATCCAAGAAGACTTTGCCAGGACCAACTTGGCCCTTAGACTCTCATCCGGACAGGGTGAGGGAATACTTGGTTAAGTGGAACATGCTGAGCAAAGTAGAGGACAAGCCGGTGGAGGCAAATCTAGCGACAGCCAAGGATGAGAAAAACCTACTTCAAGAGAGACAGAGGCCAGACGGTTGGGCAGAGGTTGGTGACTTTGTCCAGCCTGGAGTCCAGGCCCCGCAAAAGCCGCGAGGAAGGAAGAAGAAAACAAAGAATGATGATGGCAATGAAAATGATGGCAGGGATTTGAACGATTCCAAGCCCAAGCCAAGCAGCAGTAGAGCACCCAAGAAAAGACCAGAGAAGGATGACAATGAGGATGGCCTGGGAGCCGGGCCTGAGACGAAGAAAGGTACACGCAAGAGAGCGCCCGAGAAGACTGAGGCAGAGGATGGCGACGGAAAGGAAGCAGATCAGAGGAGTCAGAAGAAAGATGTGGAGGCAAAGAAGACGACCCGACAGGCAGCTGTCAACAAGAAGGCACAGAAGAAAGATGAGCCAAAAGACAAGAAGAAAGAGAATGAGGATCCAGGACAGAAGGTGGAGGATTCGAAAGTCTTGGAGCGCCAGACAAAGAGTGCAAAGAGAAAGAAGCAAAACAATGACGATGATGATGATGCTGAGGCATCCCACAAGAAAGCCAAGAGCGCAAAGGAAAAGGAGGCTGCAGAGAAGAATGGAGATGGGGACAAGAGAGATAGTCCCGGGCCTGAGCCGAAGAAACGCGCATGCAAGAGAACACCCGAGCAGGCTGAGGAGCAGGATGGGGACAGAAAGGATAAGAAGAAAGATGCCAAGACAGACAAGAAGACAAGAAAGGCAGCTGAAAAAAAACAACAAAGAAGAAGGCTGAGTCAAAGGATCAGGACAAAGATGAATACAAAGAGATGGAAAAGCAAGAGCAGATGGACACACAAGAGCAGAAGGACAAAGAGGAGGACAAAGAGATGGATGAGTCGCAGCAGAGCAACCCACATGAGGGCAAACGCCCATATGAGCCAGAGCAGAACAACCCGGACCCAGGAGTGGCAAAGTCTGAGGAGCCAGAGACCGCAGAGCCAGCAGAGCCAGAGAATGAAGATGGACGTGACGAGGAGCGAGGCCGACGAAGGAGCAGACAACCCCGGGACCTGACAGTAGCACAACGTGAGGCAAGAGCCAAGGCCAGCCGCAAGAGCTCAGCTTACCATGTGGCTCGAAGCCGAGCCTTGAGGAATGGATGCTGTGAAGAGACTGCAAAGCAGATCGGAAAGCGTGTTCGAAACTCATTTTTCCCAACACAATGCCATACCATTTCTGTTTCTGAAAGCTGAGACTCTTTTACTTTATTCTTCCAAACATTTTGTTCCCTTAGGCATATGCCGCCACTGAGTGAAGCCTGTTGCCTGAGCCCATTTTGGGTATCGGATCTGGTGAAAACATCAGGTTTGAGTGACCTTACCCTCGAAGCCAAGGGTAAATGTTGGGGTTCTTAGCTATACCTTTGACCACATTAGCTGTGGTTGGTATTCGCTGTCGTGTTCAAAGAGCACAGCTTAGGGTATGTGTTTTGTGGACCCACTCAAGATCATATGCCATGCCGTGCGGAGACAAATGTGACAATTTCCCGCATGTGAGCCTAAATAGACCTTAAAATTCGATCAAGTCTTGGCTTTGAAGGATTGATGCAGAACATATCTACTACTTTCTTTGGCCCGATTTTCAGAAACATTTCCCTGAATGGGTATTGATGCTACTAGTACTGAGTGCTTCCTATTCACCAGGTCTCAACTCCACTTCTGTTGGGCCCCCGAAAAGGTGCATGGCGAATGCCTGAAAAATGGGCATCTCAGGTGGCCTCCCGGAGTGATGCTGCCATGATTTAGGAATCGGTCGATTTTTTTCTCAGGTGCAATCTGTCTCTCAGACTAGTGGGGGGGAATTCCGTGCTCATGTGCATACCTTGAAATTTGATTTTGAGAAAAGTGTTTGGCTGGAGTGCTTCCTAAAGACAAAGCGCTTGAAGCATGCCGGTTCCACGGCAAACTTCGTTGATACCTCCGCTGGCCCAGCTTCAGTCACCAAAAGCTTTGGTCTCAATGTGTGTGGTCTGTCTTCTTTCCAGTTCGTAACCTAGCTGGGCGCTTTCTTTGCTGCCTAAGGTCTTCCTTGCCATAGCCCTGCTCTCAATGAATGTGCTCTTGACTGGTTTGATGGTGTGGATATAATGATATCATGATTCGGGCAACTTAGGTGCTTCTCGTCCAATGGTCGCAGCCTATCCAAATGCAATGGCAAGCTGTGGAGCTATTTTGCGGTGTTGGCAATGTAAGCGCTGTCCTGCGAGAGTCAGGACTTTCTGTAGCTTCCTACGACATCAAACTTGGTGGTGATACTATGAACTTTGTGAAACCTGCAGGGTTTCTGCTTGGGCCCCAATATTCAACACTTATTTGTGTTTTGTTGGCTTGTTCCTGGCTGGGCCCAAGGCTCGCGATCTACCTTTGCATGTGCCTAGGACTGGCATTTTGCTGAATGAGTCCACCAGCTAAAAGAAAGTAATCGACATGCCTACAGCGATTTCTGGTAGGACCCAGCTCCCTCGCATTGCTCGCTCCAGAGTGCGGGAGCTGGGGCCGTGTTTGTCGAGGGACAACGGAAAGATCTATTATAAATCCACTTGGTGCTGCATATTCGTTTGTTCAAGAAGCTAATCTTTGCATAAGCAGGCCAGGTCGGAAGCTGATGTCACAAGTATGGACAGCCCCTTCTGTTTCTTTTTGGAGGTTGGTTCTTGTCATCCTCCTACTTGAAGCAGTCTATGCAGTATGGTTGCTTGAGCAGCCAAAAGGGGCCAATGACATGATTGTCTTACACCCCCGCCTCAACTGGTTGTTCAACGACGTTCTCTATGCTACTGGGTTGCTTTATGGAATATGTTGTTTTGCATACAATACTAATATCCACTCCTTGCCCCAAAGTGTATTTGAGGTTTGGCGAAATGACTTTTGGATGGGTCATCACGGCGCTCCATGTCCGAAGAGGACATCTCTATGGTGCAATGATTGGGAAGTCGTTTTGCCCCTTGTCGGGACCTCAACTAAGACTGGCATCGAGGGCGATTTGGAAGTTTATATCCATCGATACGCATGGCTTATATACTCCACTAATATGATATTACAGCCCCATTACAACCCCCTGGAAAGTAGGTGCTTTCATTTTTGGAGAAATTGGATCAATCAAGTGGCACCCGTACTTTGAACTATACCATGGAATACCAAAACAAATTACTTTCCTCGAGTGATCCCCATCCTTACACACTACTGTATTCATAGTTTCTGACATACCTTCTGGAATGTATGGCATATATATATATATATATATTTTTCTGACTTTCTATATGACATTTTCTCTGGCAGAGACTCTGACATTCTATCTGGCATTCTTTCTGCCATTCTATCTGGCATCTATTCTGACATACTCTTTGACATGGGCACTGCCGGACATCAACCGCAAGCACTAGATCTCAGCTGGCAGTGCCCACTGAGATCTAGCGGTTGAGGTCCGGCAGTGCCCACTGAGATCTGGAGCTCGTCGTAGAGGCCCGGGTGGGACCACTGCGATCTAGGGGCTTGCAGTTGAGGTCCGGCGGGGAACACTCTGATCCTAAGCTTGCTGTTCGGGTTTGGCGCGGACCACTGCGATCTAGCGCTTGCAGTTGAAGTCCAGCAAGGACCACTCTGATCCTGGGCTTGCTGCTTGGGTCCGGCGGCAATGGCTGCGATGACGAGCTTGCAGTTGAGGCCCGGCAAGGACCACTCTGATCCTGGGCTTGCTGCCTGGGTCCGGCGGGGATGACTGCGATGCGGGGAAGGCTCTGATCGTGGGCTTGCTGTTCGGGTCTGGTGGGGACCACTGCGATCACGAGCTTGCAGTTGAGGCCTGACGGGGAACACTCTGATCCTGTGCTTGCTGTTCGGGTTCGGCGGGGACCATTGCGATCTTTAATTAGTGCTTGCAGTTGAGGTCCGGCGGCGGAGGAGGAGAACGAGGAGGAGGCGGAGGACAGCTGACATAAAGTCTAACAACTCATCTGACAGCTGGGGAATTGTCCATTTATGGGGGTACATCTGGGTCTGCTCAGGACCTTGGCCGTTTGGTGATGGAGACCCCTTCTCTTACCACAACCTGTTGGGTGCTTTGCTAGTTGAAAGTTATTTCATAGATTCCTGAGCATGTGGTGTATTCATGATGAAAAAAATGAGTTTCGAATTCATGGGAAAATGAGGCCGTTACGTTGATTCAGAAGGGCGGTCTCGATTCAAAGGATCTGACCAATTGAAAGCAAGTGGGTCTGAACCTCAATACACCAAAATCGAAACCAATTGCGGAAATTGAATGTCAACATTCGGTCTAACCCCATAATCTGTTTAGCCCTTCTGGTCCAGGGTCTACAGCCGCCACTTTGGCAAGAGCCTGTTGGAAGCCTTCAGGTTGCACCGGCCTCGTCCGACGATGAGGCAAAAAAAACATGTGTGCCCCCGAAAGACGGATCTAGAAATATTTAGCGAACTCCACGTCCAAGACCTGTGGGAAGATGCCTGTTTAGTAGAGGCCTATATATATATTCGTCGTGGTACAAAAGAACATGTCCCAAGTTCATGGGAGACTGCAATGGCATCTCTCGATTCAGAGCTTGCTTCCATGGGGTATCAAATCTGAACCCCATGGTTGTATTGAAAATTCGTTACTTGCACATTGCCACACCCCTGAAGGTTTTTTGATAACCAAAATGATACTTTAACGAATTTTTGGGACCAGAACAGGCGCGCAAACGAGGCGCAAAACCCCGCAAACGAGGCGCAAAACCCCGCAAAAAGGCGCAAATCAGGATTTTTGCCTTGTCCAAACCTTTGGGGTGTGGCCAAACGGCAAAATTAGGACTGAAATTGTAGATCGTCGCATTTGGTTTGCTTCAAAACGACTTCTTCTGAAGATTCTGAAGGTTGCCATATACTTGAAAATTCTGAAGCGCACATGTTCCCACTAAAATTGACATGTAGACTTGTTGGATTTTTGGAATTTGGATCTCAGGTGGCTCAAACCTGACGATCTAAGGCTTCACATGAGGCCTTGCAAAACTTTCTTGGAAGGCATTCGTTGTGTTAGTGCCCAAGTTCCCCCTGCATCTGCCATGGGGGATTTCGATGCTCAAATCGAGGCAGTAGATTGCCATCGCATTCGTCATATGTGAATATATAGTGTTGCTGGGGCACCTCCTTGTTGAAACAGGCTGCCCAACGTCGTATAGACCAGCTGACCCGAGAGATTGGAGCTCTGGATGGGGTGCCGGAGAAACCACAATCTGGGGAAGGTCAGTGCTGGGACATACCATGTGCTTTTCACAGTTGTACCTTTATGTCTCCACAGTGTTTTGAATGCCCCCATTGGCATAGCTCTCCTGCCCCCTTGCCCATGTGCCCATGGCAGGAACTCATCTTCACGAGCCTCGATCGGCTGGCAATTTTGTCCCTGGATGGGCACATGCCTCAGCAGGTGAGCTTACAGAGCGCCAATTGAGGCATGCCCCTACTATGCGTTTGGAAGACACCTTGAGTCGGGACAGCTTGGAGGTGGCCGCAACCCCAAAGAGAGTTGACAGCTCCCCAGCCCAATCGCCAGTTGAACCAGACAATCAGACTACTCCATTTGATCAACGTCAGGTGAACCCAGATGCCCATTTCACAATTCGTTTTACCCCTGGTTGGGAATATGTTTTGGATGCCGCCTTGCACAACATGGGGGAGCCATATACGGACTTTGTGATTGAGGACAAATTTGGTCATTCCTATCCCATAGATGGTGAAGGGAAATTGGCCCGTATGCCATCGGGTGCCGATGTGTTTCCCTTGAGCCTTCTGTCAGCCCCACCTCCAGAAGAAGTTGAGCCCGGTGCCCCGCTGGAACCAACACATGAAACGCATGAGAGTGAAAAGGAGAAAGAGGTTGATGATGTGCGTAAGGAGGATTCCCACATTGACAAGTCTCCAGCTGTGGCGGTGACCCCGCCTGCCCCTGGTGTGAACAGTGGTGGTGACCATCCCCCCTCGATCCCTCCGGGTGGAGATATGTATGCTGACGGATCATATTGGAAGAACCTAGGTGTGAAATTGGTTTCCCATTTATTCTGTCAACTAGGTTTCTATTTGATGATCCCCTGAATGGTCCAGCGTGCTTTGCCCTGCCACGGCTGAGGATGAAACGATATGCAGAGCAGGCGTCCAAGGGAAAGGTCCAGGCCTCCCCGGAGATTGGAAAGTTATGGGGTACACAAGCTGGTCGTTCCTTGCTAGAAAATCAACAGTTCAACCACTTGAAGAGGTGGAAGGTGAGTTAGAGTAGTGTGGGTTTCTTGTGGTATATGGTGATGGATGTCCTTAAGGTACAAAACTGTATGATCTTCTTCGTCAACATGGCTCGATGGAATCTGTGAATGCTATCATCGAACGTTCCCATGTCTCAGAATACACTGAAGATTTAGAGGGAGGTTGGCACACAGAAGGGTCCCTTGCTCTTCAGCCTGGGTGGAATGAGTTCCCAACTCAGCTTTTCAATGCGTGCGTAATCCGCTTGATTGGGCGCTTCATGTTCTAGGGTTCTGCCCTACCTTGCCTTTTAGGACAATGGTCACCCATGCAGTCAAGTGGGCCACGGAGAAGGGGTTGGTCAGAACCAACCCCGTTCATGGAGCAAAAGAGTACCGCGTTGCAGTGTTTGAAAAGTTCAACAACAAGGAGCGTGACAGAACTGCGACATCGGCGACTGTCGGCGCTGAGGTGCAGGGCCCACTTTATATCTCTAGATTCATTGTCGATATTTTTCAATCACATGATAGATTTACCAGGTATATATCAATAAATGATAAAAAAATATTTATGATATATATTATTCAAATGATATAATATATATGATATACATATGTGTGTGTTTGTTGCTCCAGGCACATGCTGGGTCCAAATTGACTGGCAGGATGCCTCTGCCATTTTCACTGATGCCCCGCACTTGACTAACGAAAGGGCTATGATGCAACATGACTCAGACGAACCAGTGACATTTGCAATACATCCCATAACCCACGTTCTGTTTTATTTTCGTCCCGCCATCCCTCCTGGCCTCAGGCAAGGATCGACGAATCCTGGTTGTGGTGTGGCACCGGCTCAGCTACCTGGGGCCACAAAGCGTGACATGTTTCCGGTGCTTCAGCAAGGGCAATGCCCATGCAGTTCCTGGGCTAAGTTAATCTGAATGCAGCATGCAAGGTACTTTATCCCAATAACTCATGCATGCCATGTGGTTATTTATTGTTTTCCTGAGGTATGATTGGTGCCTTTGTCGATGTTGGTGGTCGAAAGATCGATAAAGCTGAAGATACAAAGGAGCTTTACATGGATCCTCAAAATCACTTGCCCCTTTTGGTTCCAAAATCGTTACTTTTAATGGCAAACAGGGCACCGTTTTGGAACCAACAAAAACGCATATCTAATTTGAAGACGTCCCTGCATCAAGTCCATCAGCTTTGGGCTACATGTTTGGGCAGACGGATCTTTACCGTCCCACAAAAGTGGGCTTAGGGGTGGGATGGGGTGGGTTGGGGTATTAACCTTCATGTACATGTTCATATATCATCGATCACATGTGGTTATCTTGGACGGTGTGGGTGGGGTGAGGTGGGGTGGGGCGGGGTGGGGTGGGGTGGGGTGGGGTGGGTGTGGCATTAACGTTCATGCACATAGGTACCTTAGACGATGCGTCAGGGGAACGTTGGGGGTGAGTGGGGTAGGGTGGGGTGGGGCGGGGTATTAACGTTCATGTACATGTTCATACATCATCGACTTCAACATTGCATGTTAGTTATCTTAGGTGATGCGTCAGGGCTATGTTGGGCGTGAGTGGGGTGGGGTGGGGTATTAACGTTCATGTACATGTTCATACATCATTGACTTTAATATCACATGCTGGACCTCACCAAATGGAGGTGGGAAAATGGCCAAGAAGACTTTTTGAAGAAGACGACAGCTGATGAGCTGAGACGGGGAGAGCAAAAATGCCCTTTTGCAGATTGCCACGTTTTGAAAACAGAAATGCTGTAAGGGTTCTCGAACCCAAAAAAACATACAAATGACAAAAACGTGATTTTCGTAAAATTGTGGGACGGTGAAAGATCCGCTGGGATATTTGACTTGGGAAATCCCCATAAACATTGGTGCTTCTTGTCCCAGGAGAAACTTTCCAAGATCGATAGTGAGAGGGCAAAAGAGTCATGGCCTTACACAACCTTCATTCACTCATGTCAAACACAATAGTTTTTTCAAACATCTGTATCAACCACATTGGGGGAAAACGATATATCGTCCAAATCACCTAGGATGTTGAAAGAGGTGGCCGACAAGCTTACAGCTTTTCAGACGTCTTACCAGTCCGTGTTGCAAGCACAGCTGGATGCCTGCAAAATGGAAGCCCCCTCTGAGTTTGGGTCTTAATGAATCTCGCTGACATGGATCAGATTATAGCTTTGGTGCATGACTAATTTGACGACCGTACAGCTCAGTAATTTCCAAGGTCTTTCAAGAAGAAGGTTACAGGTCTCCTGGTTGGCCTTCAGAAAGAGGAATTTACCCTCAACAACACGTTGAAGCGTGCCAGGCACGGCGAAGTCGCTACAGTATGGTCTTGCATCATGCCTACAGGTTACCCTCATCTCAAAAATTGTTTGCTTGACCGCCATGTCGCTTCAGGGCTGTCAAGCCGCCTGCTGAACCGAAGCCGAAGTCGGGACGCCGTCGCCGTCCTGGCAAGACCCCGAAAATTGAACCGGATGAGAACCATGATGACGCTGCAGATGAGGATGATGAAGCCGAGATGCCTACTCCTGCTCCCAAAAAAAAGGCTAAGAAAGCCAAGTAGGTTTGTGGCCAATTGAGCCAGTCTTTTTGGGTTTATGTCTAGCATAGATCAGCTTTGAAGCAAGCTGCCAGCTAGCTACGCAGACAAAACTTTCAGGGACACCCGGTGGAAAAGAAGCCCTAATTAGATCGTATGCTTGAGCATGTGTTAAATTTCCTGCAACCCTGCGTGCTTCAAATGTGGTTTGAACTTTGACAGCTAGATTGGCCAGGTCAGGAAGGTGAACTTGCCCTGACACAAGGCGGCTTCCCAACGTAAGCTGATCCTCAATTCCATCCCATCCATTCCCATCCACCCCCGCTTTGCTTGCATGATGGGCCTTGAAGGCCATGAGCTTGGAGCACTTCGTGATGGACAAATCGAGGACGCCGAACTGGCAGATGAGCTTGCCAGAGAGGTTCTGTCAGATTATCTCATGGGGGTAGCTTGGATGCTTTATCTACTAAAGATCTTTCGGGGAAGCCCCTCCATTTAAAAAAGTGGAGCCATTCAAGATCTTAGTGATTGCGTAGTCATTGCGTAGAGCTGAGGCTGAATCGGCCCATCGGTCGGGCAAAATTGCCTCAATGATGTGCAGATTACGGAAAACCAGTTCCTATTAGAGTTTGGTCATTTTGTTTTTCATTTAGTTGGGGCAAAGAGTATATGGAACCAAAATCCAACCATATGCTGAATGCTATTGCATCCTTTAGCTTAGGATGGTATGATCTCCTTGAAAAGATTTCTGGCGTGCACAAGTCCCAGAAGAATGCGTGCAGAGCTCTCCACCGCCTTGTTGAAGAGGCTGGTGTCTCATTGCCTCTGCACCTGGATGCAGTTCTGATTACCATCAAGCGTCGGCGACCACTTGGGGAGTTTCAGGCTTGGTGGCCATTTTTTTCTATGAAAACCTGGGCGACTTGCATACTCAAGGACTACCCAAAAATGTTGCTTGCTGGCTTCCGCTTGGAGGAAGCTTCCTCGTGGCAAAATGTATTCAAAGATTTTTGGGAAAATTATCAGCACATCAATCCGAACCACCCCATCTACAGTAGCACTGCTGCATGGGAACTGACAATTCCATATTGCTTCCATGGAGATGAAGGCCGTGGCTTAGCCAAAGATCCCTTCTTAGTTTTGTCATTTCAACCGATTATAAGCTACCTGGGCATGGATGTGTGCAACGACAGCTCGCCCCTCGAAAATTGTTGGCATATTTGTGGTTCTTACTTACCCTTCAAATGTTTGGATGTGCAAGATATTCTATTTCAAGTTTGGGGTCATCCTTGGAGTAAGGCATTCGTTCACTACTAGGATGCTTCTGACTTGCATTCGGAGTAAGCTTTATTGGAATGAGCAAACCACTGATGACCTCTTTGCAGAGATTGCACGTCAAGCTCGGGAGCTATTTGTTGATGGGTTGCAAGTGCCCTAACTGTATATTAAGTAGTATGTTGTTGGTATTTCTGGATTTCTGGAACTGATTTTGGTTCTGTAAAATCCCTCCTTAGATTCCCACTGGCGCCTCGTTGATAAGGTAGGTGTCAACGGACCAGTGCTCCGCTTTGCTGCCATTGCCTGCAAGGGCGATTGGGCATTCGCGAGAAAGGTGCTTGGGTTGGACCAAACATAAGGGACACTACTTTTATGATCGATAAGACATGCATGCCAATTTTGGGTTCAAATAGTTTGACCCAACAAAGTATGGAATTATGCAAACTATGTTTCGTTACTTTGGTTTGGGGTTGGAACATGTTGGAACCTACTGATATCAAATGACATTTTTTTCATCATAATAGATATGTTTCCATACAGCCTGAACTCAATTTTTTGGCTCCATGATTTGGACCCATCAGGCGTACCATCTTGAGAGTGGATGGCAATGCAAAAGGATTTGCCACATTTGCAGTTCTGTAGACTGGCACAATCCCACGGATGAAGCAGAGTGGGTGCAGGAACATGAGGCTGGGAATGCCCCAACTGCCATCAAAGTTGGGAACCCCCCGCCCTTCTTGGAGATCCCGGGCTTGGCGGATGCCAAGAGCATGGAACTCGACTACTGTCATGCCAACCATCTTGGCATTGGGATTGACGCAGCTGCATCTACAGTGGTCTTACTGGCACGACTAGGCCATTTTGGCAATGACAGTTTTGAGCGCAGATTGTCAGTGGGCTATGGCGGCTTCATGTCTTGGTGCCATTCAGAAAAAAAGACCACATCTATCAAAGAATTCAGCAAATTGGCATTTGACATGGCTTCGATACTTCTCTGTATTCATCGAAGCTGTAATAAAATCTTTTAAAATCTTTGGGGATTTCTGGGCCTTTAGGTTGAGGACCCACACAAAACTGACAATTTTTCTGGGTTAACAACCTCCTGCCCAGGACGAATGACTTCCCGACTAGTCTGGGTGGCAAGGCGTATGATACGGCCTTGATCCTGTCATGGCTGGAATCGGAGATGTGTCAGCCATCGGATATTTGGCGGCAGTTGCGTGAAACCTTTTACCGACCAATTTGGGTAATGTATTCTCAAGAAATGGGAGCCAAACAATGGAAACCAAAAAAATGGAAACCATTGACATTGATGTTCCTCAATGTTTTTGACCAAGGCTGAACCGCTGTATATGATGGCTCGCTACTACGTATCGTGTGCCAACGCTTTCTTTCGCATCTGCCGATCTTCTGGAATCTTTCTGCGCGGCGAGAAGCGGCGAATGGCTCTGAAGCATGGCATGGACATGAATGTGGCTCGGACAAGTTTAGTGCAGATTTCAACCATAAGAATCCATATTACCCTTGACAAGGCAGAATATTTGGGTCGTCTAGGAGTCGAAATTTTCAACAATCAACCCTTGACAAAGCAAAAACAAAGGGTCATCTAAGAGTTTTGCATCGCCACGTAAGGAAGCATACGCGAAATGTGCAACGCTGGCATATAGGAAGCAGTGGCGCCTGTATAAGTTCAGACCGAAGTATCACCTTGTCTGCCACATTGTGAGATCTTTGAAAATTTGCGAAGCACGAGGAGCTGACATAGCTCTCAATCCCGTCTGTTGCTTTCCTTCTTTATTGCCATACTATGCCTTTCCCCTTAAAAGATTTCCCTCCATCTTAAATTGCCATGTCCATTTCCTCTTAGGCTTTGGATGCTGGCAGGACGAGGACCACATAGGGCGGGTGTCACGACTCAGCCGATCTTGTCATCCACTTCTGTGCTCAACACGCGCGATGCAGAAATCTCTGCATTTATACATGCAACAACTCAAGAAGTTGAAATGACTTCGCGGCAGAAAAAGTCAGGACGCGGCAGAAAAACTCAGGACGAGGCAGAAAGACCCAAAAAACTCAAACGAGGCAAGAAGGCAAAACGACCCAAATTTTCTGCCTTGTCGAGGGTCGAGGATGATAATTATGTTGGTTGCATCTAGTCAGAGCCATGGAATATCAGCTGGGTCAGGCAACAGCAATCTGAAGCATAGGCTGCTGGGAGAACATCAATGACCAACAAAAGCCCGGTTTGATTTGGGATTGAGCCACAAAATATCGAAACCCCCAAGATAGATCATGATAGAAAAATTAGAAACCTGAAACTTAAGGGGAACATATATTCTCTATACATCGAATCTATATACATTTATATACCGAGGAACACTTTTCGACATCGGGGGTTGCCATGCAAAACATCCAATTTGGGATGCCGGATTGTCGGCCAAGTGACAAACATTCCCAATTCTTGATGTGCCAAACGATAGTTTTCTTGTCTAAAATCCAATATTTTGTTAGAATAGTAAAATCTGTTTTTTTTGGTTGTGAAATCCCCATGTTTGCTGCTTAAATTCCCCAGTTTTCTTGGTGAAAACCATGTTTATTAACCTGCGAGGTGCGGTGGAGGCATCTACTTCGCCATGAGTCCTGAGGCAACGCAAACCAAAGCGATCCTCGGAACCAGTCACGACAGTTGCGGGGCGGGAGAGAAACTACTGATGCAACGTGGATACATGTGGATACCACTATGGATTTATGATACAACTATACTGTAGCTAACTGATGTTGAGGCTTGAACCAACTTATGGGATTTTAATATGGGTATGGATCAATACCTATTAATACGATTTTTAGGGGGATGAACATCCATTTACCAGCTATTTTGATGTGAACTACAGGGGTACAAGGTTTTGACACACTGCCATATAATTATGCTTTATAACCAACTTTGAGCACAAGCCAACTGTTGGTTTGGAATAGGGCCAGGAGATCATCAAGAACTGGACGAGCATAGCTATGGAAAATCACAATTTTTCATAGGCAAACCAAAGGTAAATCATCAATTTATATGGGCCGTGGCTTCGATGGCTATGTTAAATTACTGGAGGATAGATACATATACAATCATATACATATTATATATTTTTGTTACAGTAACTGATGTGTTTTGCCATAGTTGGATGAGTTGGCAAACCAATGAAGGGATTGGCCATGAGAAAAGGTATGACACGCGGTCGCTTAAATTCAAAATAGAACAGTTGGAAACCTGGAGATTTGTGACATAAGTATCATCTATAACGTCCTGGAACAACTTCTATCATTTTAAATCGAATAATATCTCTAAAACATCTAGAACATCTAAAGTTTCTTTAGCTTTTTGGCACCCCACATATTCCAGTACCTGCCAGTACCTTCAGTGCACCCCTCCCATGGGTAACGGGTTGTTCACGGGTCATACTTTGTAAAGTGCTAAGTGGGACGATAAGCACAACTGTCTGGTGGTTTTATTTATCTCGTTGGGAGTTTCACATATTCATTGTTCTTCAACTAACTATACCTGGGATGATTGGTTGAGATGACGCAGCTATTTTCGGGATTTGTTATAGTCCCCATCAACCAGATATGTGTGTCATTATTATTATTATTATATTATTATTATTATTATCATCTATTATTATTAGATATTATGAAGATTTTCAAGCGTCTTCGGGATGATCCGCAATGGGCATATGTTATTTTTCGATGGGCTGTGACAATTAAATCTTTCTGAGGATTGGGCCAGACTCGCACAAAGGCCAGGCTGTTGGACTGGGCGACTGAGATTCGACCAAATTCAGGTACTGAATAGATAGAACTTATGTACTGTAATGAGGTACATTTCTATGTTGTTGTCCTACTGTGTTCCTGTTTTGCTATCTTATTATCTTACTATCTTAGTGTCTATTTGTCCATCCACCTGTCTGTATGTTTGCCTTCTGTCTGTCTCTCTGTTTACCTGTATCTGTCTATTGTTCTATCGTTCTATGTTCATGTATGTAATGTAATGTAATGTAGTGCAATGTAATCCAATGATATCTAATCTAATGTCTAATGTAATCTAATCTAACATAATCTAACGTAATCTAATGTAACTACTGTAAATATAATCTAATGTAATCCAATGCAATGTCATGCAACGTCGAGGGACTCCCCCGAAGACCATGAATTGGTCCTGTGGGGCATTGTTGAAGATCTGTCGGAACCAGACTCGATGGACATCAATGTGCCATCGGATGGATGGGTGTTTTTCAAAAGTGGGGTATGCAAAACCATTGGTTTCCCAACTTTGATGGATAAGTTAACCAATATTATAACCATGGGGTATCCAACTTTATCGGGATTTTCCCTTTTATATCCTTTTATAAGTTAACCAATAACTTGGATAAGTTTTTGTGTTCGCTGTTTTGAGAAACACCGATACTAGCTTTATCACTTACCCACTAGCAAGTCAACGATAAGAGAAATTGGCATATCCCAAAACAACAACACGAGGAACAAACCAACAACATACCAACAACAAATCCGGATCAACATAATATTAATGGCTCTTTACAATATCAAGTATGTAAATGTATATGTATATATAATTATATATACTATCTATCCAATACGAATTGTTTACATATTGTAACAACCATGAGTTTTGTTCAAAAGCCTACGACCAATGACCTCCGCGAATCTCTGTTTTTCGAGGCTTCATGATCGAGGCGCAGGTTTCCATAGGCCAAATGGCACATGCAGACAAAGAATGCGTCATGAACGGGTGCGGGCGCCCTGTGGATTTCTTGGCAGAAAAATGCTGATTCTGCTGGGCAGATGGTTGCCAGGGCCCAGTTTTTAGATGTGAATAGAAACAGCAATCCGTTGGTGTTTCTTGAATTTGGACCCAAGAATCAAGAAATGACCAAAGGTGCATTGTGTTGGTATGAAATGATTGTTTCTTTGGGCTTACAAATTGATGAAACATGGACATTATTCTTCTGTGGCGTCAAGTGATGTCGAGTAGTGATCATTTACAAAATGCCGAAGCTGATTCTAAAATGATTCTTCAGGGAGTCAGCGAAGAAGCCAATCAGACATCATTCAACCTCCAAGCACCTTTTCCTGGGTAAATCTTGGATGGGCTAGTACGAACTTATTTGTTGCTATTTTCACGGGAATATTTACCAACATTGAGCATCTAATATCGTCTATGATATCATATAGTATAATTCAATATACTCTAAGTAATATATGTTTGCGGGGTACCCATAAGGAAAGATTGGTCTTTGCCTTGTATCATGGTCATAATGTTGCAATCAAGGCGTAGGTCTCGGCCCACTGCCATAACGCCCATATTAACCATGGGTTTTAGACCAACCATACTAATACAATAATTGGGGATGTAGTAGGGGCGTTTCATGGTGATGATTTTGATGTTAAAAAAGCTACAGTACTTTTGATCCATTTTGATCCATTTTGCTGGGTAAAATTCCGAACAAGACTCCTAAGTCGTGGGTGTGACCCCATGACTGAGATGAGTTCCAACGCGGTGCACCCCATCCCAGGCAGCATCTGAATGCTGGCGCTGTCCATGGAGTGGGCACATGGCTCAGTACAGACTCAGTACAGACTCCATGGAGGATTGACCCCACAATTTTCATTTGTTGCAGCGTACCGAAGATAAGGAATGGTGGCTTTCTCATACTCAAATCAACATTGTTTGATGATATCAAACCATTTGTCAGAGTCAAAAACCCCTTGTTGATACATTTTGCATCTTAGCTACTGCAGTAGCCACCGGAACCCTTGCAAAAAACAAAAACAAGCACAGCAAAAAAACAATCAAAAACTTAACACCTTGTTTGTGTCGACCCTTTCTGAATCCATTTTGAATGGAGTGCATCGCACATCGACCATTGACCCCCCAAATTATTTTTAATGTTCAGGAATGAACTCGAAATCGATGAAACAATAACAACAACAGTTGATGTAGGTCTTGTAACATACCCAAAAAGTAAGGGTCAAACTCTGAGAGTCAAATCCATGTTTTCAACAGCAACAAGTTCGGATGGAATGACTATAACCATACGTAAGCCAGTGCATAGTTATCTATGCAATGTAATGCAATGCAATGCAATGCAATGTAATGTCATGTAAGTATGTGCGTACGCACGTATGTATGTGTAGGTATATAATTGTATATGTGTATACCTGGAAACATGTTCTTTTGGATGATTAACTTTCAATTTTCTGGGTAAACAACTTCAAAACAAGGATAATTGTTTTGTTTTTTTCAGGTATATAGCATAGTGAACATATTCATATTTGTATATGGGTATGGATCGATACCTATTAATACCATTTTTAGGGGGATGAACATCCATTTACCAGCTATTTTGATGTGAACTACAGGGGTACAAGGTTTTGACACACTACCATATTTGTATATCATATTCAATCAAATATCTACGGTATTCAAACAAATGACACCATATGATCCTATGTTGACGTCAGCTTCAGCTGAGGCCTGGACTCAGTTCTCTTTGACCCCGGGGCACCTTGGCATAGACAGCGGCTGCAAAATGTTGGTTAGTTGATGAGGGGAGCAATATATTGGTGATTATCAGTTGGTCAATGTTGGTCATGTAGTCTGACAATTTAGAGGAAACCCCCATATTCATCCATATTCTACGTACTGTATATATATATATACTGTAATTATATACATATATATCATATATATATATATATATTCTATCCACTGGTTTCTGGTTTCCTTACCATTTCCCTCTTGAAGATCCAGTTTCGAAGCCCAGGATGGAAACGAGCTGATTGTGTACTGCACGTCACAGGCGGTTTTCAGCTGCAAAAGCTGAGAGAAAGTTGTGTGAAGCAACGAGACTTTTTTTTAATATTTTTTCGGAGATTCGCAACTTTGTTGGGGCTTTAACTCTTTAAATCTCTTGAACCAGCTAATTCCAATTTTGGAGCCATTGATTTGAGCACCATCCAGGGCGATCATCGCCGAAGTGGAACAGGGCACAGCAGGATCATTTCACTTAGCAACCATGGTGATCCACATTCAGTGAATAAACCATAAATCATAAGGTGGATGATTATGTGGAATAAACCATTTATTTCATCCACATTAAGTGATCCACATTCAGTGGGTTATCAATGATTATTCCACTTTTAAAAGACCTATCAATATATTATGATTTGATGATTTGGGGGGTCGCTGTGGATGGGGCCCTGGGGTGGTTGAATGAATAACACGTGCCAACTGTTGGGACAATTCGTGAGGTCTTGCAAGTCGGATAAGTTGGGTCAACTTGGGTCTACTGTATCCCATTGCATTCCACTCAGAAAAATAACCCCGTTAACCAACCATAAACGGGGGTCAAAATGACATATATGTATAATTATATATATATACATCATTCCATTGCTAGGGGTATATTCAATTTCATGAACCTTTTTTTGGGGGATGGTTTATTCGGTTGTATCCTAATCATTTGCGTCAGAGGTTTCAGGGACCATCCAGGCGGTCAAACGCCGGATGACAGGTGCTTTCCGCCAAAGCGTATCCGTGGAAGTGCTCGTGAAATGCAAAATTTCAATGCGTCCGGCGTCCCTGGTGCAACATATGAAAATCGTCTTGGTTCATGGGATGTAGCTTTGCATATGAAGGAATATGAATAGCATGTATACACATATACATACATCATAATATTATGGTATATCTATGCATATCAAATCTGTATATATACAGTACATATTACACGCTCATCAAAATAAACCTGAACACCCCAGAATCGCCACACTTAATCTGAAATCATATTCCAGACTCCATTTATTGGGGTTCCATGTTGAATGTGTATGAATTTGTATGTTTTTAAATGATTTTGTGCCATGTACAAACTTTTGCAGATCTTGTTTTCAACATCTTTGTTCCATGCTTCGTGTTCATGGAGACCCACATCTGACCGTCCTGACCCCTAACCATCAACTGACCAGGGCCTTCAGGGATCGCAGCAAATCATCCAGCGAAAAATGGTCATGAACAGGGACACCTCCAATTGTAAGAAATAACATGAAATAACCATAGTTGATCATGATATATCATATATATATATATCATGATCATTTCTTGCAACGTCTTTTGTTCATTTTTTCTTCTGGAAAAAAATGAGTATTGGGAAAATCATGAGATCTAGGACTGAGTCATCCACAAACTCACCCAAAAAGAGCGCCCAACAAGATCATGGGGCGAGGGGAGTCAATGAGCTGCTCGTTGCAACTTCCAAACCTTTTTTGTGTTTCAGCCAACGTCATCAATCCATCAAGAGGGATTTGTATTCACCATGGCACATGGCCCGTTACCAATTGGATTTCAGCCCTGCCATTTTGGGGCATTTGGGGTTGTCCCTCATGGAACCTGACAAACCTACATCCCAGCCATCAGCCAATCGGCTCCGACTGAGGTGTATATAATTCATGTCCAATGTGGCAAAGCTCTCAAACTGACAGTCAGAAGCGGAAAATCTCGTGAAAACTGTGTTGCACTGTGAATCCGTCGTGATGTGAGAGTTCCATACACAATGCTGCACCATCGAGGACATTTCTACGGTTCTTGACCCATCGTTGTCGCTTTTGCCAGGTTTTTGCCGGAGGCTGGAGCTTTTTGGCTCGACAACATCGTAGAAATGCCTTTGGACAGAAACTAGTCTTATAGGAAGTCATGGCGGGCCGGGAATCTGAATTAAATTTATATACCTAAATGGAGCTGTATAGCTGGCAAAATCTGGCGAATAACAAGTCTTGGGGATTGTCCAGCTAGCCATGGAGGGGAAAGGACCTGAATGAAGGCCCTCTTTTGGCCCCAGCAAGTGTCCGCACCAAAGGAGTATTCACCCAACCCCTTTTCGCAAGACCAGCCTGCGTTTCATGCAGCTGGCATCACGGTTATTGTAGAACAGCAGTGATTTTCATGATGCTAACCACCCAGAAATTTTCACACACCGCACCGCTGGAGAAACAAGATCTACACTTGGAACTGTGCCCGAAACTAGTTCCATGGAGAACTGGCAGATAGGAGGTCTTTGCTTGCTGTTACTGGCTCTCTTCGTTTGGCCAGGCACCATTTTTTTTGCCGAATAAAAAAAGGGGCCCTGCATGCTGGATCTTGGGAAAATCCATGGGAAAATCTATGAACATTTAAAAATCATTAAACAATATTAAAAATCTGGGTGGCACATATATATATATATATATACATGTATATAGTACATATATTTATTATATAATATATGAGATAATATATGTATAATATACATATATATATAACACTATTCGTTGAAATTCAAATATAAGAACTTCCTTTGACAAGGTGTGGGGTCAGATTTGGCCGGGATCTGGGATCTGGGAAAAAACTCCTGGGAGAATGAAAACTGCTCGGTGACATTTTTTTTGAACTCAATGGGTTGAAACAAAGTTGAAGTGATCTTTCCAATAATTAATAGATACTCAATAGATATTCAATGTTTTATCTATTAATATCCAATAACCACCCAATAATTTTTCGCACCGGACCTGTATTCTGAAGTGATCGTGCGTGTGCCATCCTACCCTTTCTGAAATGTGCTGCACAGGATTTCGACGGAAAGTGGGTTCGAGATTTCTAGCAATTTGGCAGCAGAAAGAATGTATATTACTGAAGGCAGGCTTTTCCTACTGTGCGGTTATGTTCAAGGCTGTGGCTGATGCGTCTCTTCTTAAGATTCATTTCTTTAGAGTGAATGGAATGTCGCAGACCATGCACCTCTTTTGCACAGAACATTTGGGTATGTATCTGGTTGGTGGTTTTATTTCCCCATATATTGGGAATGTCATCATCCCAACTGACGAACTCATATTTTTCAGAGGGGTAGGTATACCACCAACCAGTTGTTGTTGCCCCCAAGCCGGGCTCAGGTTGGAATTCTAATGGCTGGGCTCTCAGCTGTCGGCGTCGATCCAGCGGGTCGTTTTTGGCAGATGATATGGCTGTGAGTCAAAATGCTCAATGGAGATATACTCTATGTTTACCATATGTTTACCATATATTGCAATTTTGTATGTTAGAAATGTAGAAACATGGAGAAATAGATCCACGAGCTAACTCCTCTAACAAAAATCTGTGGGGTATCTGAGATTTGCCATGGAGATTTGTGTTTGGTTCCAGAGATGTCAGGTGGGAAGTCACCATGACTGAATGCCAAATATGATCAAATATTGTGTTTGGTTTTCTTGGAGAATTTCAATACTTACCCTCTGGTAATTTAACATAGCTATGGAAAATCCATTATAAATGGATGTTTTATGGGGAAAATCATCTGCAAATGGTCCATGTTCCATAGCTATATGTTAAATTACCAGAGGGTACCCAGCAAAATCTTTGTCGATTTGCATCACCCAATTTCTCGTTTGTGATCCGATAGATATTTGATCACCGAACCAGTGGTCCAGGGCTGAATGACTTGGAGGATCATGTTGAGGAAACCATGGCTGAACAGAAGGGATATCCATGTAGGTCCCCAAAGCAGACACAAAGATCATGGTACTGACTGACAGTGACATACATATTTATTTATAAATATATATATATATATAACTATTGAATAACATAATATATAATGTATATATATATATAGTCATATTTATATAAATGTGACATGTCTTCTGTCTTCAAACGATCATGATGATGATAATTAGCATTTTCCGCAGATTTTCTCCACTTCATCTTCTTGCACCCATGTATGATCAATCCAACCATTTCAAGAGCAGCAACTTGGTACCCAGGTTTGGACATGCTACCGAAAATTCTGCCGCTGGTTGCGTGGAGAGGCAGCGCCCTACGGCGTCATGGCCATTTTTGAGTGGGAATGATGATAAGCAACCGAGGTCCATTTTCAGAAAAAAAGTGTTTATCCGTGTTTTTCCTATGAACTGATTTGGGTACTCTGGATCAGAGATGGATGGCTTGTTTATTGCTCGTTTTTTTGGCTTGAACTACTTGGGTATCTAAGATTGGCCATGTATACAGAAAGGATTACTCTCTTGTGAGCTTTAACCATACAGGATCGCCCAAACAGGTAATTGGACAAGTTTTCTGCAGAATGTCGGGATGGTAAAAAACCTCATGTTCTCTAGCCGAAGTTGCTGTTTTTTAAAGGATCAATTTCTATAGGTATCTTATTTACTGTATCTTATGATATCTTATGTATATATATTATATAAGACATAATTATGTATATAGGCAGGTTTCTATCAAGGGGACCATGCTAGTGGCTTTGGGTGTGTCTTCAAAAGGATACAACAAAAGGATACAAAAGGCTGTTTGATCTCACCTTAACTTGAACGTTTAAAGTGCTGAAAGTGGGCAAATGAGGAAGAAATGCACGAGATGATATGTCCAATGTCATTTTTGCTATAGCTATATACTGTGACCATCTATACTAAACCATCAAAATCACCATGGATGGGTGGTATATGATGGATTGATGGTTGGTAGGTTTAAGTCGGTTTAAGGTTTATTATTGGGTTTTCCACAGTATAGACTGTTTGAAGTGTGTTTTTTGAAAGCAACAGACATTCTTTTCGACAGATCCTGTCAGATCTCCAGGAAGTCTTACCTCCTGATGATCAAACTGCTGTCAGCTTACTGGAGTGAGTCCCCCTTAGTTGTCGCTACCCGATGTACAAATATATATAAGTATATATATATATATATGTATGCAGTACAATATATATATATATAATATCATATATACACATATGATATTCATATGTATATGGAACTATACTGGGGTCAAAATCATATTGTCACTTGCTAGTTACTCAGTGGGCTAGTCCTCCAAGTAGCCACAAAAAACGCCGTGTCAAAAAGTTGAGCCAGGCATCGTCGAAGGCAAGGAAGACTCAATGACAGGCTCGTCTCGCAGTCTGGGAACCCATTGATTCCATATCTCTGTTGGATTACAGTGAGGTATAGTGAGGTATATTTACTACCCAAACAGATAGCATATATATATATACATAATTATATTTATATATATGTGAATATGTGTATATATATATATGCATATGAATCACCATTTTAGTAGGATTTTACTTTTCAGTCGTTTTGTTGGCTTCCTGAAAAGTAATTGGCTAATTGGATGCCAACCAATAACAGTGGGGGAAAAGCGTTGACCCCCATGAAATCCATGGAATCCGCTGTGGAAGATGGCTGGGGATTCAATGGGACTGAGGGATTTTCCAGCCATGTTCGATTCTATTTGAATCATTTGAAGATATAGAATTGGGATTCCATCTCAACTGAATGTACCAGCGAAGACAGGATTGTCCCACACCAAGTTTGGGTCAAGATTCCGTAGCCATCGTCCCAACTGAAACTGTTCTGTTGAATAGAAATTCGTGGGTCCTGAGTTTGTGACGCACCCCTGCCCGCAAGAAATACTAAGAAATGTTCTTCGACTGCAGCCAGGAAAAGTTGCCGATCACCAGTCCAAGGACGCTGACTTTACTAACTAGGAATTTGTGACAGTTCCCAATTCACTGATGAGGAATTTTGTTCAAAACCCCTGGCAGCCATCCTTGGGGGAATCCAGTTCTCAGCCGCTCGGAGGCATCCGACTTCGGGCAAAGCGCGGAAGCCGCCGCGTGTCCTGTGGCCGTGCTGCTGGCTGGAAATCTTGAGGGATGTCACTGGGGTTGGCTGCGAATGTTTGTAGCGACTATTAGTGACTTGTATCACTGGATTAGTTTTGTTGGGAAAATCTACAGGAAACCATGGCTTTTCCGAAAGATAGGGTGAATTCCTACAGATCTTTGCTTAAAACCAACTATGGGACTGTAGCTATTGGATTATATAACAAGACAACGAATGATGAGTCCAATTTGTGTCCAAAGGAACGATTAGTTGGTGCTCATAGCTCGGCTGGCAGACCATGAAACTAAATCAACACAGACATAGATGGACTTGTGACTAGATTAGATGTGAAATTATAACCCATCATTTTGTGGAGTCTATTGCCTCCTGAATTCAAGGAAGGTATGAATTGGTACCACAATATAGTACAATCATGAATCGTTCAGTCCCTTTCTTCAACAACCGCTGCTAGGATTCCATTAAATTTGGTTCTTAGTTTCCGTGAAAAACAGTAAGACTTGTGATCACAAAATTCACTGCAAAATCTCTGAAGTTGTCTTGGAATGGTCTAGACATTCTAGACTTCATTTGTTGATAAGTCACTATGAGTGCATCATACCAGTTTGGGTTTTATCCAAAAATCACCAGTGGATACCAGAGACAAATGAGCCCCTTTGTACCATGCAAGAAAGGCTGAATCCGACAAAGAAATCGGTTTGCCTAAAAATTCAGGCAAACACCCAAAACATCCAGTGTTTCGATGGGATTAATCAGTGTTTTCTTCAAACAAATTAGCCAATTGTATCAATTCATGGGTAAAACGTGGTAACCAGATGTAACCAGCCCTTTATTTTCAGACCCAAATCATGGTGGTTCTGTATCCCATATCTCCATTTCCCTGGTGGAATCCAAACTGCTCAACTGTTCTGTGTGGTGTAAGATGTGGTACCCGGTAAAAATGAACATAACTATGGTAACTATGGACAATATTTACCGTTTTGAGAGGTCAATCATCTGTAAAGCGTCGGTTTTCAATCGCTATGTTAGTCTACTGGGGGGTATTTCAATGTATTTCGGCTTTAGAATTACAAAAACCAGGAGTTCATGGGAATTGCCTGTTTTCCCATGAAATTCCACATTGTTTCTGCTCAAATAGTCCCAAATCCATCGGTCAATGTTTCGAGCTCGTCCGTGACTCAAATGGATTTGTTCGAACATTTTCTACCCCTAAAACCATTGGATTATGATCATTTTCCCTACTAAAGTAGCCATTCAATTTTGTTGGTATACCCTATGTTCAGACGCACACACACACACAAATTGGTCCAGTGACGTCCAGAGTCCAGAGTTGGTGCAGCTTGAGCTTCCAATGCTTGCAGAATCACCTTGGCGACAGGTAACAGAAGTGCCACAGTTTTGGGCAACAGAAGTACAGCAACCTGCACCCCCCCAAAAAACACACTTTCTTCGAGTGATCCCCACCCTGACACTATTCTGACATAGTTTCTGACATAGTTTATGACATACCATTTGGAACTATATATACATGGATATATGGCATTATAATATATATATAATATATATATTCTATCTGACATTCTTTCTGGCATATACTCTGACATTCTATCTGACATTCTTTCGGGCATTCTATTTGGCATCTATTCCGACGCAAAAAAATAAACAAGTGTTTTCCAGAACAATATTGTTACTGTAAATTAGCAGAGGGTAATGCTTATCGCCCCCCTGCTTTTGCTGGTTATATCCCCAACTGCCGCCATGATGGCCGCACCAGAGAAGATGGAGATGAAGGCGCCCTTGGTGAATTGCGAGATGGGGGAACTCTATCCCCATTTCTCGCATTGAGGGCGGTACATTTCAGGTTGGTGAATTGGTGCGAACGCTTCCATTTATTAATTTACCTTGATATTTATGTCAATCCTATTCGCATTTAATTCACCCGGATGAAGATCGGCTGAAGATGGATTTGACGATATTTCTACTGAACTTTGAAACGGGAGCAATAATCGGATCGGTTTGTCGAGACAGATTTGACACATGATAAATCGCATGATGTTTGGGGTTCCATGTGTTTCTTTTGGTGGTGTCATAACAACAAACATTGGAGATCTCCGTCAAAGGGATAGAGGACTGCCATGGACTGCCACTGGACATGGAATCTAAACAAACTTTACTTGTAGGCCATTTAATTTGTTCTTGATTTACTGATCCACAATCCCAATCTTTTGTTGGTGGATTTCCTAGTAGTAACGTTCTTAAATCATGTGCATCCCGTTTTTTCATCACCACATCTCCACCTTTGAAGGTACTGTTCCCCTCATTGTTTGACCCGTCAAGTGAGTCTCAGCTTTCAACAGTATATGGGTTTGTCCAAAAATAAGCTCCCCAGTCATTTATCATTGTTGGATATTTTGCTATAGTAAGTCACCCATTTTCAGGCGCAGTTTCCATCAGTTTCTGTGAGATTCCAATCTTTTTCACCCTGCAGCCAGGTGATGTTCCCATTTTCTGTCAGTTTGTCTGAGGATGTCTAAGGTTCAGATGGTTTTCACACTGTTTTTCATCCAGCACAGGTGAGTACCAAGAAAGACCTGGGATTTTTCCTGCGCGCCGCGCGGGTCTTCCTGCAGGGTGCCGAGGCCAAAGAGGCAGGGTTTTGATGGGAAAATCCGTTGGAAACTCATAGGAAAATCTTGGGAACTCAGCAAAATCTCCGAACTTTTTATGGAGGTTTCAATGGGAAACCATGGAAAATCCACATGAACTTAGGAAATCCCAAAAACGAATGGAGGTTTAGCTGGAATTTCATCATGTGAAAATATGGGAAAATCCCCGGACGAAATGGAGTTGTGTTTTTTCTGTAAATGGAAAAATCATCGAACATCATCGAAGTAATGGACTTTCCAGCAAGCCATCATAAACCAGAGGTTGATTCGTGTTTTTTTTTTCGATGGAACATATGATTGAAATACATTGATAGACGCAGGGGGAAGTAGAGTCTATTTTTCTGAGAACGGCTACTGGTTGATTTTATCACATTTTAAAGGAAGAAATTGATAAACATGAATGAACATGGGGGATTTGGGGAAGACCATGTGGAATGTGAACAGCAAACGTTCTTAGCAACGATTTGGAATTTAAACTAAGTTGTGAACAAAACCGGGAGTTTTACTGTACCAGCAGATAGATCCAATACGGGATCCACAATAAAAAGGAACATGGTGCATGCGGGAGAGTTGGCATGACACTATTTGTTTTGGAGTGAGAAAGCACTGGGATTCAATCAACATTGGATTGGATATCTTGGATATCCGATATCCTGGTGAAAGGTCGTAAACATCAGATGTGTGACGAGGACATCAAAAGCATCTATAGTACATAGGTCAACTCAATGGTAATCCATCCCAGCAACCAACCATAGAAGGGGTTCATAATCATGAACCCTAGGCAGGTTCATGATTGGGTCTACCTTATTAATCAAGCAAGTTTACGTTTAACATACCCCTAAAATCCCCTAAATAATATTAAATTATATATATATATTAACTGAAAAGTGTTTTTCGTATCTGGATTATGGAACATGTTTTCATGATAATATATTATGTCAATTATGTCTATTAATCATGATCATATACGATTATATATCTGGTTGGTGGTTTGGAACATTTTTATTTTTGTTCCATATATTGGGAATGTCATCATTCCAACTGACTTTCCTATTTTTCAGAGGGGTAGGTCAACCACCAACCAGATATACGATTATCCATGATGAATCATTTCCATTATGAATCATTTCCAAATACTATTATATATCCATTATGAATCTTCCAACAGGATTCATAATAGTATGGATATATATATATACCAGTTTCCCCCATAATTTCCAAAGTTCACCATCAAATTCGTCTCACCGTGAGCCATCAAATTTGGGGTGCCAGGGCAAGCCCGCCAGAGCACCCGTGGATGAGCTTCAGGCGCCATGCTGTAAGGGTGATCGAATTTACCAGTATAGTAATATTATATTATATTGTATTATATTATATTATATTATATTATATTGTATTATATAATTATATTATATTGTATCATATTATATTATATTATATTGTATAAATGGGAAATGTTAGTTGAAGACTTGGAACAAAAACATGATTTTTAGACAAAGTAATCATTCCATCATGGATTTTTGGAATGGAATAATTGGGTCAACAACTCAGCAGTTGATTAAATGGAACATTGAAAGCAGAAACCATGGGTTTTGCCGTGTTTTGACCATCTAGTAAAGGGGTTTCCTATGGTTGCCTGCATATTCCCTTGAAACCATTTCTGGGAATAAAACCAACTATACATGGGTTTACCCAAACAAAATTGGGATCAAACCAACCTTAATAACGACATACTGGGATATTACTACAACCGATATTGCAACAATACATGGGGATTTGGATTTACAATGGATCAATGGTTCGTAATTTTTACTGGGACATATTATGATCAACCGTGACTCTTGGTGGATGATTACATGTGGGCAAATTGTAAGGACCTTGGAATCAGTTTGCCAAAGGGAATCATCTGGAATCTGGAAATTGGGTTCTTTCAGGTTTGGGAATTATTAGAAATACGGATAAATCTGGTATTCATGAACCATTGTATGTTTTAAAGTACGTCGATTATTGCAAGAGGGAAGGGGATAGATTTTTAACGAAGTCCTAGGATTCCAAGCCAAGCCCACCACTTGCTGATACTTGCTGCATGGTACTGTGTGGTGGTTTTAGATCTACTATCCCCGGTACCATGTCATCAAACGTGGCAGTTGAAAATCCACCAAGTTTGATGATACCGGAGGGGAATTCCCATGATCATTCTACCTTAAATCTCTATGGGAATTTAGGGGAAAGCCCAGAAATAAAGATCAAGTAGGGTTGACCTCCTTCTCACCAAACACATATATTGAGGGTTCTCATATCCCTCTAATGATCAAACCACCTGATCATGATCATGAATTATTTCCCGTGACTTCCGTCCATCACAAAGGGGATATATATATATATATATATTACGTATTGATCATGGTTCATGACGATTCAATGACATGTACATATCAAATGTCTTTGATACGCCACTAAGTTTGGTAGCCTTTTGAAAAGGTACCATATTTGGTTATGACTAACATATATAGCCATGGAAAATCACCATTTTTCATGACGGTAAACCTTTATAAATCTATGGGCCATCTATCCCATGGCTGCCAGGTCTCAGGTCTTGGTGAAGCCATCAAGGTCACCGATGGCTCGGTTCGATGCCATGGCGTGTTGTTCGCCGTGGCAGCAAAGTTTCATGGCCAGTTTCAATACTCAAATGATCTGAAGATGATTATATAACATGGTCTAAAATGGATGAACATGGATTAAAATTGTGTTTTTAAACGATTTTAATATATATATATATCTAAAATATGGATTGGAATGGTTTAATGACTTGGATATCAAGCAACAGATGGTGGTAGAAGCAGCAACATGGGATGGCTGGGCTAAGCATATGACCAAGAATGGCTGAGATATTATATAATCAACTTAAATGGTATGGCTCAAATTGACAGGCCGACATATTCCATGCAAATATCTACAAATCAGTAGAATCTCATTACAATAAATATGGTCACAAATGCACAAACTATGAGGACATATTAGTATTCTCCAATGGGTATTGTCCAGTACCAATGTCGTCCCGCTCACAAAAATGGATGGATAATTCCAACGGTTGCAGGTGGCTTGAGTTCCAGCCAGGAACCCGAAAGATGTTCCTCGATGTTCATGAAGCTCCTGAGAATAGTGCAATCATGTCAGGTCGCATTTTAAGATCAAATCAACTCCACTTCTGCTCGCTTTTCAACAAGCATTCTTTCAATTTTGTGGTGAATGCTACAGTTATGGCCCGAAATACCAGTTTCAAGTCAGCAAGTCACTCAATTTATGGTTAGTAAGTCCCATTTATAGCCATTTACACCTGGTATTTCGCACGTTTTCCCCTTTTTTTTACGGTACAAAACCGGTGCCACGGTCAGGTGGCCGTGACCTTGTGTGGACGACTGGAAGCCGAAGGCCTTGCAGTTATCGATGCGGTGGGGCGACCCGAGACGGCCGGTGGGGCCGTTTTAAGGGTGGCCGGTGGTGGTTGGTTGGTGGCCAAATTTGAGATGCCGGTGGTTGGTTGGTGGCCAAATTTGAACTGGTCAACTGGTCAGTCAGTTATAACTTACATTTGCATTTGCCAGTTACAAGATGTTACAAGTCAGTTTTAACTTATACACTATAACCCAATTGATTGAATGATAACCATTTAAAATTGGTAAAGGGCGTTAACTGTTTGTAGCAATATTTTTGTTTGAGGTAAACCCGAAAATAACAATGGAATTTGGAATGATACTTCTAGGACTATACTAGAGGAATTGGATTGAGAATTAGAGCAATGATGCTGGGATACGTATGTTGTCTTTTCCTATTATGTTCACCTTTATCATTGTTTCTGATCATTTTTGATATGGGATGATATTTCTAGGACATTATAGGAATAATATTGAGATACTGTGATACTGTACTTTGGAGGCTCCCACATCAAGACCGAAGATGTTACAGCAAGTCCCACACGTGATGTTACAGCTTTGTTCTAGGTCAATCTTACATGGATACTTTAATCCTTTAGTCTTTTGGTATCAATGGGAATATCCACTAACCAGCAAAAGAATTTAATTTTTTGCAGGTTATCTAAGATTGGCAATGTGTTAAATAACCAGATGGTAGTACATGTTCTCAATGTGGTAAACTAATGTAAACTAGCAATAATGATGTCATAGACATAGAGATTCAGATATGCCGCCGGACAATGGTCCCAGTGGCCCAAGATCGTCTATGGACATCCAAGCAGCGCTGGTAGGTTGAACCCCTATTTCTATTGTTTCCCGAGAATTGGTGGGAAAAACATGCAAGACAGCCTGAATTTTGTATCTCAAAAATGAAGTTATGTGGATTAAACGGCCAACCTGCCTTGTTTTACCCTCACATCAACTAATTGAGGCGTTTCGTCCCATCCATTCCACGCCTTTCCGCAGCATTTGGTCCTGGCGCTCCGCTTTTTCGGAGCGGAGTTCGATGCCCCCAAGGGGCAAAGCTAAGGCCAAGGCCAGGCAGACCGGGATTCATCCAGCGTCACGGTGACACCTTCAACAATATGCCACGCAAGAATATGGTCAATAACATTCCCAACCTTGGAGGGATAGTTTTATCAGTTTTATCAAGTTTTATCCTTTAGTTTTTGGCTATAAGTGGAAAATGACCATAACATATACCATAACCAGCAAATACCAGCAACATATTGTGTTTTTTGTGGACTATCAAAGATTGACCATGATAGAACGTGTTGGTGGTTGCACCGTTGTTGGTGGTGAATAAGCCCTTGAAGTATAAACTGTAACGGTTGGATATGTGATTGACCTTCATGGGGATGGATGCTCACCAACTTGTAATTGGGGGAACCATTTTGGAAGACTAGATCCTTTCAAAATTTGCCCTTCCCTCCAGATGACTGGTTTTGGAACCGTCATGACTTGTTTACTCTTGTTTTTTTGATTATGGTTGTGCTTTTGGTCGGCAGTTGGTGTTGGTTGTTAGGAGTTAAAAATGGGGTGCTTCTAAAAGTGTTAGGATATTCCTTCAAATAGTATTAAAATGTATTAGATAGTCATAAAGTGACCCATTTTGGATCATTGTCAGGTCCCCCATTTAATGGTTGCCAGCCGTCTAGGCTGCCGCCGGCAGCGGAGTAGATGCGGCGCGAACCCTGCGGGAGAAACCGGAACCGGCGAAGCCGAAGGTAGAGAAGTTCTACCGCGAGGTTGAAGGGATTCCTTGGAAGCTTCGGCTGCCAGCTGGATTTCATGTATAGTTAGTAGTTTTGTGCACCAAAAAAAACTTGGGATTTAGGTATTATTTAGGTAACAAACCATTGGAACTTCACCTAACATGTCAGGTTGAATCAATACAGGGATTTTTATCGAAACATTGGGACGTTCGCATTTTTGGATGCAACCAACCAGGGATGGTCACTGAATCCATTATCTCTCCACTATGTTGCTCCCAGTTTTACGACTTAGATGTGTTTTACATTGTTTTACTATAATCCACATTAAATCACATTATATATAAATGCAATGTAATTATTGGATGTGTTTTTCAACCAATGTGCGGTTTGCATCGGTTTACTTCATTCGCACCTTTCGGCGGGTCGGGAGGTGTATTGAAGAATACTTGAAAACATACCTTAAAAAATGGGTCGATGCGCAGATGCCATGTATAAAACATACACGACATGCACACAGATGTTTATGTGTGTGTGGAATAGTTATTTGATTAATCCCCAAAGACAGCCCAAACGTGGAGCATGTTAACCAGGTAACTCCCAAACTCCCAAGTGTTTTTCCCCAGAAGTTCATTTTTTGGGGCGTTTTTGGCTGCGGCTATTTCCCCGTACAAGGGGATGGTCATCAATCCACTACTAAGGACTTATCCTCTGGTAAACTAACATAGCTATTGAAAATGGTGATTTATAGTGGATTTTCCCATTAAAAATGGTGATTTTCAATAGCTATGTTAGTTTACCAGAGGGTACGGTATATGCCCATTTTCGGGATTTCCATTTTATCGGATGGATAATCATACAAGAATCATGCCATCTATACCAAACCCGACCAATTGTTTGGCCCTCTTAAGGGATCATAACATATATAGTCATATAGTCATCATCAACCTCGTTGGATTGGTTAAAAGTTAAAATCATTTGAAATCCAAATTAAACAAATCATCACGTGCCCAGTCAACCCCGGAATTGTAGGGCTCAATCCACCAATTTTTAACATTGGTTGATTGAACCAATGTGAGGTTTACCACATTCCCATGCATTCTTTCCCAGCAAACTGTCAAACCAAAAATTCCAAAATCCCGAAATCTCAAACCAAACGCAACATAGAAAAAAAATGAAAAAAATAAATCCCCAGATTTTGGGACATGTGATCCCCTGGATGGCGCATAAAAAACCAAGGAGTGTCAAACTAGGCGTCCCTTTGAGTTGTGAAGCGCGGGGCTGTGAGATCCACGACTGCGCGGAGCGCGCTGTAACATTGGTGTCCTGGCAAGCGATGGGGAGATTACCATGTAAAAGATGGTGACATCATATTTTTAATTCCATGGTAATTAGTAATTCCCATTCATTCCCATTCATTCCCATTCATTCCAATTCCCATTCATTCCCATTCATTCCCAATATATAGTCCCCATTAATCCATATTAATCCCCATTAATTGCCATTAGTTCCCATTAAATCCCAATAGTTCCTATTGATTCCCTCTACAATTCCCATTGTTTGTTGATCGAATAGCCTCTGGTTATCATGGCCATGGCTTGCTGGAAAAACAACTATTTAAAATCGATGAGAAATCCCAGCTAGAAACCATTAGAAACCTCTAGAAACTGGGCATTTCCGAGCTAGCCATGTTTGATTGCCGGAGGGTCAGCATCAAACATGGTGATTTATGGGGAGTTCAGCACCAAAGATAGTGTTCTCATGGATTTCAACATTGATTTCAACATATTTATATAAACCAAGTGAAAGTTGAGGGTTGACCCATCAAAGACGGTGTTTAAAGTGGGGTGTTTAGCCACAATTACTTGAATATTGTTAATAAATGTTAATAAATGATACAGTAGTTGGTCGGTTAATATTCGTTTTTTTTTTTCACCTAACCAGTTACTGAACCCAGAATCGAGGGGATACCTATCTACCAACCAGTAGAATGGGATTGTATCGTTTTTTTTATGGCTTAATGGGGAAACCTCACTGCTTGGGGGTATATTGTTGTGTATATGTGGGATCCCCATGTATGGGTTATTTCTGCTTCTTATCAACTTACGATTCCTGGGATGCACATCCAAGTACGACATAATGGGATTCGATGATATAACCATCAACAATGGTGATATATTGCTGATATAAAATACAAACATCAATCAATAGTGGTATAATTCTGGGAAACTTATTTCTCAAGTATCGACCATTTGGTCACGTCCCGATTACAAGTGGTCCTAGGTAGGGGTATACTAATAATGATGAACCACGACTTCGAACTGGCTTATGATGTCTATGGCATTGCGGATCCCACTATACCTGCATACACCCGGTGCATCCTGGTGCTAAACCCATATACGTGGCTTGGATAGTTGTTGAATGGTCCGCATATATTCCCATGATTTCCCATGTAATTTGGATAATCCCATGTTTTCCATGGTTTTCCCATGTCATTTCTCGAGATGATGTGCTTAACATCGTTTTGGGAATGTACAGTGAGGATATGTGATGATCTTGGCCGGTGGCCATCACAGAGATCAGTGTGTGCGGTGTTGGTGAGACTTTTCGCCAGGTTCTTGACAATTTGACTATATAATATAGATACGTTACATATATGACATATATAACTATATACTAATGTATGATATATAGTCACTATATAATAAACATATATATATAACATTTGCTCATGTTAGTGACTCCCAGCAGTTTGCGTTTGCTTGTGAGGGCTGGTTCATGTGGTACTCGCACAGCTGTCACGGAGGATCTGCGGCAAGGTAAGACCTTTCAACATAGATGGCTTGAAGTGACGAAGAGACAGCAGGGCATAATTTTCTTGAAATCCACGTTCGACCGGCTTTTCAATACTTGTTGGTGCAATTGACGTGGTCTTTATGGCTATAGATGGCTATAGTATGCTATATATATATGATTTTCCTCCATTTGCCGGGCAAGTTACCCCTACAGGAAGGGGCCCCCAAGTTATGTTTGTTGGTTTGTATTGGTTTGTAACCTCATCCGACCAGTTCGATATACCCATCGATTTAGGTCATATTAAATCCAATTGGACAGTTATAAACCAACTAACCTACAATAAATCATCATAAATCAGCTATCAATTCCCATGTTTGGTGGTTATATATTATTTATCCCCATTTATGTATTGATAGCTTCCATTTTAACAATTGATCATTATTTTCTTATTTATTCTCCCCCTTTCTGACGGCATCAAAGATGGCTAAGTCTCCCCCTTTTTAGTGAACGGAACTCAGTCGCACCAAGGAGCAGTTGACGGAACTGGCGGCGTATGTGCAAGAAGTGGGTCAGGCAGGTGACCCTTTGTTGGGTATGAACATGATTTTTGATGGGGATATTTCATGGGACAATCATATGAGCAAAGATCTAAAAGGTTCATGCAGAAACCTCTACATGAGAGGTCCTATGGTTGAAAATGTGTTGCAAACCATGGAAATTGATATGGTCTAATCAACAATAGTGGATAATTATGGGAACATAACCGACAGAATGGTTTAATGAACAGTTGGATTCTGGAGATATCCTAAATCATGGACAAATAGTGGGGATTACATAATTAATATGGGGATATCATCCATTATTTATCCACTGATTACTCATCCATTATCTATCATCGAAGGATATTTAGAAGTCAAACTTCCGACTTATGGACAGATGCAGCAACAGTCTTCGGAAGAGTCAGAGAAGAGAGGGTAAGTAGAAAGAAGATGAAAGAAGATCAAAGTGCGCGAACAGGTAGAACAGTCGCGAATCAAGGGTACACAAAATACATCAAAATACAATACAGTTTATCCTGCTTTTATAGAGAGGCAGTTTTGGCATGTTTTGGCTATATCACACACACACAAATTTCTGAACAAACTGATTTTGTGGTTTGTGTTTTCTTGGTTTCTTGACTTGAAGGGCTCAACATTCTCCCATTCTTCCCTCAGTCATCATCGCAGGCATCATTGCTGACGGATCGTGATGGATCAACTGTCACCAGTGACGCTGTGAATCTCTATGTGCCCAGTCACGGACCAGTGCCCACCTAGTGGATCAGAGCTGACCAATACTGGGCTTGTTGTATGTTACTGTAACGTAATCATAAACCAACCGGGGATCGTCTATAGTACCGACTTCAGGCAAAAAGTTTCTGGGTGTTTACGCATTACTGGATTTGAGGACATTTGTGGGATAAAATTTCAAGATATTGAAGACAATGGCAGGCAAGATTGCGTTATTTGAATACATTTGGCTTCATTTCAGGGTTCTCAGCAATGTGGCAAACCATGAACCAAAGAGGGGATTGTTATCGGGTATGCCAATGGATTTTACAGTAGTTGTTTTGCTCCATCCAAGATGAGGATCACGCTACCATCCACTGGAAACTGTTCCAAAACAGGAGTGGCCGGTGAAATTATGGATCCCCAACCGTTTCACCTATACTCAATACTATACTCCATCCATGATATACCTACGTGCTTACGTTTTGTGATCTTGTTGAAGATGTAAAGCATCTGGGTTTGGTAAAAATCCCACGGGTATCGGGACGACTTGTCGAAGCGACAGGTGGAGTTCAACCGCCGGAACATATCGGCATCTCTGAAGATGTTTGGGTCGTTTTCTTTCATCATTGAGGAACATGTCAGTTGGAAAGTGTCAGGTTTTATATCCCATGCATTTACAATATTGGGACATTTACTGACACTTATGGTACAAATATTGGGACATTTACAAATATTATAGTGTATCTACTTACGGTACGGTACATTTAAGGGTCATTTCTTGAGGTATATGTTTGGTGAAATTCATGGAGTGTTTGGTCTCCACTGGTAAGGTGATCAACGATTTGCTTGTGAAACCCTTGACGTCTCTCGGCTGAGGGTTAGGTGCAGTTCACCCGGAAATCATCCAACCCGGTTGCAATACTTCAGTACCACTCTTTGGGTCCAAAGATGGTTGGGGTATCCCCCAATCATCTACGCTACATCAGGAGGAAGAAAGTTTTTTCCCGTTCAGCGTCTTATAAACATCATCATCCTCAGCCGCGGATCAGTTATCCTCATTTCGCGAGGCCTGCGTGGCGGATCGTATTTCTAGTCGAAATAAACTAAAACTCTTTTAAAGCAAACCAGCTGATCCGCGATCAGCCATATGATTCATATGAAACATGTCAGGAGTCTAAGGGGAGAGGGTTGCAGCAGCTAGTCAAGAGGCAAAACTTTTGTGCTGGTGTTGTATTAGATAATGGTATTGAAACCCAAGGGTTTAGGGCATGCAAGACTACCACGCTATATATGTTTGTGCGTTCGATACAGCACTTCAGCGACACCTCGATACGGAAGCTGTGGATGGACGGCCTAAGCTCGTTTTATGTGATGCAGATGCATGACTTATCCATTGTAGCGCAGCTTGTTCCGGAAGAACAAGAAGTTCACGTTTCATGCGAATCTACTTTGGCTTCTTGTCTGTATAAACGGACCCCGTTCTCAAATGCATGCCTGCACCTAGACCATATTTTTTCACAACAAAATTACACAAAATTGTACTGTATTTATCCGTACTGGTACTTACCTCATGATTTTAGCACTTTTATGAATTTCTCATCATTTCTCATTGCGCAATCAAAGACTAATTCAGGCCTCATGCATTCATTTTTTAGGCCTGCAGAGTGAAGAGGCCGTATATAAATAGCGTGCGATTCCAACTTGGAATGGTAGACTTTGACAGGGCAAATCTCATCTTGGTCTTATTGTTTTTATGTTTTTTCGCTGACCTCCGAATCTGTGAAAAAGTGGAAACTTCAGACAAAGAAAACGCAGATGTATCATGATATATCATAATTCTTCCCTATGAGAACTATCGTAACTATGCTTGAACTGGCCCTTTGTCGTGGCAGGTTGTGTCACTCATCCTCTCAGGTTTCCATTCAAATGCTCGTGGGTGGAATTGGTGGCCCCCGCTCCGCAGTTCCTTGGGCAAGTGCATGGTTTGGGCCAAAGCTATATATATATAATATAAATATATCCCTCGCCCCAAAAACATGGATGGTTCATGACTGAGTTATTGTACCCATGTTTCATTCATACTTATGTGTGTATACATAATATAATATATATATATATGAATGGAAAAAATGCAAATTGTTGCCATCTATGGGTAAATATACAAATAGCCACCCAGCCAAAGATTTATATAATTCAAATTATTTTAGATCACCAATTGATGAATGACAATGTCAAAGCTGCGCGGTAGCAATTTCATGGCTTTTGAATGGGAGTAGCGGCAGCGGTGCTTCCATTTCCTCGTTCTGTTGCCATTGACCACCCAAAATCAAGATACTGTAATTCTTTCAAATCAGGACCTTTGATAGCATGTTTCAGGGATCAGAAAGTTCATTTAGCTGCTATCTTGATGTGTACCAGACTCTTGATTCATAGTACCAGACTCTTGATTCATAGCCACATGTCACATATCTATGAAACAATACCATCCCAATAGCAGATGGAATTGTCTGAAAATAGGGCACTCGTAAATTCCAATGGATCGTCATTTTTGAATTTTCTCAAGAATATGGTTATTTTGGAATATATGCAGTACACCCTGTGGGGCAAATCCACATGGGGAGTGGTGCCGCAAGTTATCTGACCCATCTGACCCATGTATCCCATCCATAGTCTCAACGGAGGACGTATTCGCCAATACAGATCTACAACGCAGAACACATGCGAATGTTTCAGCAACGATCCCCTCGTTTCGCCGCAGATCAACCAGGTTACCAAGATGGTTTGTGAGCCACTGGTGGGGCACACCCTTCCCGCAGACCTGTTCCTTGCTCCAGTTCCACACGCAGCAGAGAAATCTGGCAGATTCGCCTTATTGGACACTTGGACAGACTGAGATGATCTAGAAAACATACCTCTCCCAGCAAAACATGGCACGTATTTGATCCGTTATTGTCATAGAATTGGTGAGTTCCCACGATGATAATTGATAATACTGAAGCTTAGATTCCATCAAGTATGTGTAGATCTTACATAATCATACAATATCATATATATATATTATATAAATTATAATTTGAACTTCCAGTTCCGGATGCGATTTTTAGTACTTCTCGTGATCTATTGTTCAACGTCTTTGGATGTTTCAAGGTGTCCACGGTTCACTGAGCCAGAACTGTGACATCTTGGGAGACTCCATGTAGAAGCCATCTAGATACAAGGTTGGGCCCTCCAGTTTTGAGTGTGTTTATAACCCCCATTAAATATAGTCATATAATGTCATATACCCCATCAACCCTCCTTATCCAAGCTATAAGTCAATATTTTGTTTCAACGAATCCAGTATTGGTATCCCACTGGTTGGTTGATCGAGGTGTGACCCCCCCACTTTTCACAAGCACAGTGTGATGATACACGGCATCCAAACCACCCCTGCAACATTTTTCAAAAGGGACATCAGTGATTGCTTTAGAAGTCGGCTTGTAATTTAGTTTAGAAACTTACTTAACTCGTTCGATATATCTACCATAAACCCCAGTCAAATACTATACTTATGAATCAAAATAGGCAACTATGGGAGATCATTTATAATCATCTACCAAAGTTTACCATATTTACACCGCCGCTTACTATAATTTGTCGCGATTTACCATCCCATGCCTCTGCGAGTTGTATATCTACCAAAATCCCTAGTGAAATATTACTATAGATACAAATCAACTTTGTTAACGAACTGCGGCGCCAGCTTGTACAAACCAACTTACCTATCATGGAAAGGCCCATTATCGGTATCCTTATTATGTGTCCTTGCTATACCATGCTATCTCCCTGGTTTTCCCAACCATATCCCATGCCAACACCATACCATCCCAAGTTCTGTTGGTATCCGACTCATTCCTGCCAGGATTTTGGTATATCCCATTCATATGAACCATTGAAACATATTAAAACTATCCTGGTTGATTGATGTGTGTAAGAATCATACTACAGGGGTTATTTTCGTGATTATGAACTGACCCACAGTAGGGAAACCGTTTTCAACCATGTGCGGAAAAATGAGATGGTGAGATGGGATCGGGGTATTGTTAATGGTTCATATGGGTTTGCCTGAAAATGATTCGTATACCATGCCCAATCCCCATCCGATTATGAACTTAGCTAGCCATATGCCATATCCATACAAGGTGCTTATATGATCATACGGCATTAGCTAGAACAATAAGTTGATATTTGATTAATTAATGAATTTAGCCTTTGGTGTCAAACATGGAATGCACCTTTTTTATTCAACCAAATTGGATTTCCCAGGTCCTAGAATGATGTTTGCAGGATCTTTCATGGACGGGAAATCCCGCCATCACCAACTTCTGCCAGGATTTGCACCTTCGCCAACAATCAACACGACCTCAGCGGTCTCTCTGGACAGCTGCGTGACACGCCCTTCGTCAAGGCCATCCTCAGTCCCAGGCGCCCAGTCAAAGCATGGCTGATCACGGCGGAAATGTTACCGGCCAAAATGGTGATGATGGTGATTTCAGCAACAGAAATCGTCGCTGGACCTGCGAAAATGGTCATCTAAACAATAGAATTGTCATCTAAAGCAATAAAACATGTGATTTAAACAGCAAAATGGGTGCAGTGACAAAGAGACCTTTCGCAGAAAACACATCTCCTTTATAGAATTGGCGGAGGGGAAAATCTATATCAAATGTTGATTTGTTGGTGGTAAAACAATGGCTTAATGGTTTCCCGCGGGTCTCCCTTGAACGAATTAATTTGCACATAGCAATTTAAGTTAATTCAATAATAGTGGATTTATTTGTATGTTCCGTTCTTGCATTGACCTTTTTGGGGTAACTCGACTTGATTTTTGCCTCGGCTGGGCGCTGCAACTGTCGTTTTTTGGATCAACTCATCCACCTTTCAGCACGATGATCCTTGGAGTCCGTAGCCAAATTTCGAGGATTTGACCCCCAGGAAAGGTTTATAACGGTTTATATACTGTATGTGGTTTATAATGGGTAAATATAATGGTTTATCATGTTTATATATTATTATTATGGTTTATAATGGGATCCAAATTTGGTTCCATGATGATATAGAACATTCCACCTGTGTCAGGATTACTTGGTGTAAAATATTGCCAAATTGGATTGTTATAATAAATTATTACGTATTATTACAAACATGGGGGATCCCGAAGTCACCACGGGTTTACAGTATCCTAAAATGGTCATCCATGACTTGAATGATTTGGGGGAACACCCATTTTGGGAAACTTCCATATAGACATGACACACATGTGAATTGCATCCGTGTCATGACCCACCTTCCACTTCTTGTGGAGTAAGCCACTGGTCCGGGACTGTGCTGACTGGGAAAAAATGCAGGAAACCCACAAATCCCCGATGAATTTGATAGGACAAACTGATGGTTTCCGGTTTCGATTATCCCTTAAACCAATCCATTGATTAGTGGTTTACACAATTAGGACCCAATTAGTCCCTTTTAAAATCCATGATGGAATCATCACTTATAGATACTTATAATCAGATTTCATATTTTTCTTGGTTATCCAGATCATGTCTCCCATTTTTGGACTTCCCCATTGTTTTGGACACAACACCCATGGCTTTGACGCTTCAGCCATGAACCTGGTAGGTGTGAAGGAACGGTGGCACTCTTGGATTCCAACGTCACCACCTTTGATAGGCGAGCGAGCCGCGCAACGCGCGCGCCACCGGACGCGCGCGCCACCGGAGGGTGAGAAGACCCATAGATTATGGGACTTTTTGTTCGCTATAACTTTGGTTATAACTAATATATAACACAACCATGAATTTGGGATTGTTGAATTTAACCCATGATTTAACATATCCGATTGCATATGGACTATGCAAGAATATACCCAATGTTTATAGTGGTTCGGTGGCCCAGTGAGTAACTTGGATGCATATTGAACAGCTATTCGGCTATCACAAGTCGCTGGGTCCCAGACATATCTTGAGGGATCCTTACACACCTCGAGCCTCAGTTGACCCAGAGAATTGGGTAGAAATACCAGAAGAATGGTTGTAAAGTGTTGTAAATACATGTTTTGAATGCCAAATAATGGTTACAGTATACAATATGTGCATGCATATATACATATTATGTGTATATATATATAATATTCTAAGGTTAATGATGTATTATGTACAGCGATCCCAAAAAAGATGGAAATAGGTGGAAACCCATCGTACATTATGAAGAAAACATCATCTATACATATCTATACCATCCTATACTGCTGGAGGATTTGGTGCGTGCTGGAGAACTTTGTCAGCACTGTTTGGGCACGAGAGGACGACGGAAGGGATCAACAGTGGCTGGTGGGTGAAGTTTGCTTTAAGCAACAAACACTAATGGCAACGCGCAGTTAATCATAAACAAATATCAAGATATGGGTTAAGCAACAAGAGGAAGTAGCAACACCCCATTTACCAAAATGGGATATACTTGTACCATGATATACCAATATATTGCAAAGGGTGAAGGGCATTAGGCTGGTCATAAAAAACAGGAGTTCGGCTAACATATGGTGTTTCACCCGGTTTAAACTAGTTTAACCTTCAAATGTGCGGCTACACCAAGTGGCGAAGAGGATTTCATTACAACTCAACCTGCTACCAAAAAGCAATGCTGGGTAGCTAAGATTGGCCATGGATTTGCCATAGTAAGAATCCAATGAATAGAACACTTTGAATCCTGGAAATTTTCAGGTGCATGATTTTTTAATCATTCAACCATTATTTTAAAACATTATATATATATATGGTCGCCCCCCCCCCTACGACCCCCCAATGTGTCATTTGTATTGTTATTTACAGCATCGACTGGAGAGGCCAGACCTGTCCCCATTGTGGCGCTGGGAGTCTCCAACCTCTGCGCTTCTTCAAAGACAGAAAGGTTTGGGCGCACAAGTGCACAGCCAAGCTTTGCAGAAAATATGTTCAGCCACATGACTTCCATCCCATTTTCCATCATGGACGTGGGGCCAGCTACACTCCCTTGGGGCATCAAGCAGCTGTTCTATGCTGTGCGCTTGCGGGCGTACCAGCAACCTCAGCTCCCGTCATCTTGGGCATGAATCACAAGCCCGTCTCGCGCATCTACAACAACCTTGAGATTGCTCGCAGCCGTCATGTCCTCCAGAAACAGAAGGAAATCCACTTCGGAGCCAGACACAAATGGTGTGATGTTGAGGCGGATGAAGTTGATATCGGCAAGGAAGTTGACTTACAGCACAAAAGGGCCAAGTGGGAGCAGTGGGGTGGCATTGTCGAGCGGGGCCAGCCTAGCACCTTGGTTCTCTTCCGCCTCCCTCCAAAGACTACCGCTGTGCGCTCGCCAGGTCCAGGCCCAATCACCAAGCGAGATTGGAAACCCATTGCTCATAAGTTCTTGGAGAATCGCGATGTGATCTTGCATACTGATGGTGCCAAGACCTACAAGATGAAATTGTCCGGCGTGGTGCATGACAACGTAGTGCACAAGAAGAAGCAGGTGCTCGTGAAGGGAAAGCCTGTGTGGGTGAAGCCTCATTACACCAAAGTGTGGAAACACAAGTTGCCAAATGGCAAACGCGTAACCGTGAAAGCAGGTACGCAAATCATCGACCGCTTCTGGGGCCATCTGCGCGCAGCTTTGAAACATGCTCCGCGTAAGGTCGGGTCCATTGCGCTTGCCCGTAAAGTTCGAGCAGCGCAGTGGACGTACTGGCACCGTTCCCAGAATTTTTGGGATGCCACTGGGCAGATGTTGCAGGATCTGCGCCTTTGATCAAAGACTGGCTGTGCAAAAAAGATTCACCGCTTTGCATTCTTCGCTGCAGTTGCTCTTCTCCTGTCGTCAAACATGAGTTCATATATCTTACTTCCTTAACACAATGGCATTTGACATGTGTCCACCTTTCTCTTCTGTTTCAAGAAGAATCTTCAAAGCTACAACTTACACTGCGCAATCTTCACCAAAAAATTGCATGCCTGCTGTTTAACCGTTAGTTTCTGCTTTTTAACGTCATAGTCTTTTGACAAAAAAACAAAATGTAGTGTAATATAGTGATACGATGTAATACGTATAATTAATCTAATGTACAATAGTTCTCTCTTGCATGCCCCTAGGTTATATGGGGCTGGCGGTGTGTACTGTAGTTTTTTCGCACTAGTCTTCGCGGTCTGGACAAATATCCATAACGCTCGAGCTTTTTGGCTTGTCAGCTGACTTCTCCTGTGCCCTCTTCAATTTCGCCTCGCCTCGACCCAGGATCTGCGCGTTTGATCAAAGACTGGCTATGCAAAAAAGATTCACCGCTTTGCATTCTTCGCTGCAGTTGCTCTTCTCCTGTCGTCAAACATGAGTTCATATATCTTACTTCCTTAACACAATGTCATTTGACATGTGTCCACCTTTCTCTTCTGTTTCAAGAAGAATCTTCAAAGCTACAACTTACACTGCGCAATCTTCACCAAAAAATTGCATGCCTGCTGTTTAACCGTTAGTTTCTGCTTTTTAACGTCATAGTCTTTTGACAAAAAACAAAATGTAGTGTAATATAGTGATACGATGTAATACGTATAATTTGTCTAATGTACAATAGTCCTCTTTGCATGCCCCTAGGTTATATGGGGCTGGCGGTGTGTACTGTAGTTTTTTCGCACTAGTCTTCGCGGTCTGGACAAATATCTATAACGCTCGAGCTTTTTGGCTTGTCAGCTGACTTCTCCTGTGCCCTCTTCAATTTCGCCTCGCCTCGACCCAGGATCTGCGCGTTTGATCAAAGACTGGCTATGCAAAAAAGATTCACCGCTTTGCATGCTTCGCTGCAGTTGCTCTTCTCCTGTCGTCAAACATGAGTTCATATATCTTACTTCCTTAACACAATGGCATTTGACATGTGTCCACCTTTCTCTTCTGTTTCAAGAAGAATCTTCAAAGCTACAACTTACACTGCGCAATCTTCACCAAAAAATTGCATGCCTGCTGTTTAACAGTTAGTTTCTGCTTTTTAACGTCATAGTCTTTTGACAAAAAACAAAATGTAGTGTAATATAGTGATACGATGTAATACGTATAATTTGTCTAATGTACAATAGTCCTCTTTGCATGCCCCTAGGTTATATGGGGCTGGCGGTGTGTACTGTAGTTTTTTCGCACTAGTCTTCGCGGTCTGGACAAATATCTATAACGCTCGAGCTTTTTGGCTTGTCAGCTGACTTCTCCTGTGCCCTCTTCAATTTCGCCTCGCCTCGACCATGTCCAACCAGCAAGTGAGCAGTGGCTCTATTTCAGAACAGGCGACGGAATGTGTTCCAAACCCTGCCCGGCCTGATGGGAGGGCCATCCATTCGGAGATTTCTCGCGTCAGCGTAGTAGTTCACCTCCATTTGTTGGTGTCCGCAACCCTGCGCGCCCCGGGACGGAATGTATTCCAAACCCTGCCCGGCCTGATGGGAGGGCCATCCATTACGGAGATTTCTCGCGTCAGCGTAGTAGTTCACCTCCATTTGTTGGTGTCCGCAACCCTGCGCGCCCCGGAGGTGGTGCCATAGATTATGGCAGTTTTGGGTGTAAGAGTCGCTCCAGGACTCCTCCACCATCCGATCGCACCAATCGTCTGATTGGAGGATAGAAATTCCCGTAAACAAATGCAATGTAAAATATACTAGTCTTTCAAAATTTTAAAAAAAAATGTTAGTAGGAAAGTCTCAAGCGCAAAAATTTTCCTATTAGCGATTGGTGCGTAGAGGCAGTTTTCACAGCAGCATAAGACCTCAGCTTAGCAAAAGTGATGCTGCTGCGGCAGGGGCGACTCGTTGGTGACTTCAACGTGGTTCTGTGCAGACACAAGTCAAGCATAGTGAAGCAGATGGCGGGTTGAGGGGGGTCGTTGGGGGGGGGCTGAGCATATATATATATATATATATCAGGAACATCCTGGACAAACTTGACTTTCGGGCCTGAGGCCTGAAGACTCCCATGCTCGTACCTCCGGTGGCCCAGATGACATATCAGCAAACATACGTATCCAACGTATCTGTTCAAACTTATTTCTTTGCTGATTTGTTGGACACGTTTCGGAGCCAGAAGAGAATAGAGAATTGTGGGGCGATGTTAACAAAATTGTCGCAGTGTTTACAGAAACGGAAAGGGTATATTCATCCTCAATATCCATCAATCGTCACGACTAAAGTATATCAGGATTCCGATCAGGATCAGGATGCAACATAAATGAGTTAAATCAGCAGTTATACCAGGATACAATTAGGATATCAATCATTCACTTTACTTCTATATTCTGTTTGGTTTGCTTCTCAATTGATCCGCTTTGTGGAAATTTGAAGTTTGCACTTGGCAGGAGGAAGCTCACTTCTACGACATTGCATGTGCCGCTGTCTGTTTGGGCAACTTCTAAACGACATGACTCCTTTGTTGAAGATGTTGAAGCCAAATTCCAGTTTTCCCCTTGGATAATGTATTAGCATATATCGGCACTTGGAAAGAGATGTGGGAACATTGTCGGGTCTGGTTGATTTCCCAAACACACAAAAGCAAGCGCAAACTTGGGGCTCATTTGCAGCCGGAACTCCACCTCAACAGGGAGCACCTCCACATGAAAAAGGAACATCCAACATAATAACCCCGAAAAGGATAACGAAACAATAGAAAGTGATGAAAGGTCTAACTTACCACTACTTAGGATTTGATTTCACTTGTCTTTTTTTCCAAAACCGTTTCAAGTTGGTTATTTCATGTTATTTCATGTTATTTTCCTCATGCTGCGTCTGTGGCAATAATCTATCCCTGTGTCATCAATACATCAATATATATATATATACACATGTGTAATGTGTACTATTGTGCACATCCCAAGACATCACCACGAAATGCTTGGAATTATGCCTGCACTTAGATCCATTTAGGACATTTTGACATCGTCTAGGTATCACTCGATATGTTATTTGTTGCTTGAAGACCCCCAAAGGTTGGGTAGTTGGGTATACCCCTCCCATCTTTGCAGCAAAGGAAAGGCCCCCCAGTTGTATTAGATGGTTTGAAACTGCATCCAGCTGACTATACATATATATATATAATATATATATATATACATAGATGGTGGCGCCCTCTAGCTGTTGGTTTATAAACCCACGTAACTAGAGACCCAACAGTTAGAAACCGACTGGGGCACCAACTTGTAGAAACCAACTTGCATACCAAAAAGAACCGATGAAAACCCCAATTGGTTAGTTGGTTAAATCCTAATTGTCCCATATTTCTAGAGGCAACATTCCCATATTCAGAAAATCTTCGCATACCATGTTTTCATCGTACTCCAGACCTGGGTTTTGGTATGTTACTTTGATAGGCATTTCAGCTCAATCTGGAGGGAACAGTTGGGCCACGGCGAATCCACTGAATGCCCCTCCACAGCTTTCTATCCCCTATGTCGTTCCAAAGCAGCTGTGGACGTTGAATGAATTGAAGGCTGCTTTGATAAGGAAGTTTCTTCATTTGTCTACCGAAGAAGGACAGGGTTGTCAAGGGTAACGTTTTTAAAGGTTGGCTGAGTAAAAATTAGAAAGTTTCTTCCCCGGGGCCTCACCCAAGGTGAACTCGGAAAAATAGAACCCACTGGTGTGCCCCTGGAAGTTTGGGCTGGCTTTGGGATTGGAATTTTGGTTCTGGCCCCGAAATTTCCCTATGTGGTCTCTATACCAGCCACGCATACTCGGAATTCTTCGCATTCCACAAATTCTTCGCACTCCAGCGAGGGCATCGCACTCCACAGCTAGGGACGTGCACATACTATAAAATCCACGCACTCTGCAAGATCTTCGCACTCCATAAAATCTTCGTACTCGGTGATTTTTCGTTTTTTGCGTTTTTTTTTTTTCGTTTTTTTTTTGGCTAAAATCGTCTGGAATCACGTTTTCTGGAATATGGGCAAGGTAGCGGTTTCGCGTGAGACGTCTGTAGTTTCACATACTATCGCATTCCAGGCCATTTTGGCCAAAAATGACCAAACAAAAAAAAAAAGAAAAAAAAAGCTCAGCAGGGTGAAATGTGATAATTTTCTGGTATATGATGGAAAAAACTGGTGTTGGATCCATGGGGAAGGTCGAAGGGGGCCACGCATACTGTTTTATTTTCGCATTCCAGAAAATTAGCGCACTCCAGGGGTGGCATCGTACTCTATCGGTGGAATTAGTTTGCACGGAAGAAAACAGGATCGTCGATGATTTGTGTTCCGAGATCCTGTTGTGCAGGGCTCTTTGCGGGGCCACAAAGATGTCAAGAAAGATGGGGATGGCGCTGCTGGTGAAATGCCAGCCAAGCGTGCCAGAACATAAGCTTAAAGCTTATGAATTGGGTTTTGAGATCCTGAAAAGTGTAGATGACAAATTCCCATAAGAACATTATTAATCCATTTTTGGAAAGCTCAACATTATGAATTATGACATTTCCAGAAATTGTTGAAAGTAAGGATCTTCTTTGCGGAAGAACATGTGCAGTCGACAACGTACGTGCCAGAAGAAAAGGAGTACTTGGCAAACTGTATGAAATACAAATTTCACCTGAAAGGGGTCTTCGCAATTCCCTGAAATTTCCCAGCTATTTTGGCATGGAATATGTTCGGCCCTGGAATATGGGCAAGAAATTGCTAGAATATTGTCCCCATTTTTCATGCTTCAGCCAGGTTGGCTGCCCGAGAATTCCGCGTTGCACGGTGGTAAACCGGTACCTGCCAAGCCCACGTTGCGCATGGACAGCGGCGAAGGTGTACACGCACTTGGGCGACAACCAGCACTGTGGTGGGTCCCTGGGTTGGGGGAATTCCACCAAGAATTGGTGGATTTAAGCAAGCAGAATGGTTTTTTTTAACCAACAACATTGGATACTTAACTAACACAACATGGGGATTGAAGCAACTGAAAAAGTGGATCTAAGCAACAGAAATTGAGATTTCTGTCAATCAAATTTGGCATTTTACCAGTAACATAGCACATAGCGACCTCACTGGCCGAGGTCACATTGTTTATTTCTGGTTTGGGGATCATTAGGCACAGATGTTTGGGGATATGTTTTAAACCTGGATAATACATAGACCAAGGTATATCATCATTATAATTATAATCTTATCAGAATCTTCGGAAACACCTTGTGTTCCATGTTTCAACGAACAGACACCACATTGATCCTTGCCAGAAAATACCTACCATAGTCCCTCGTGACTACTGTCGTCTCGTTGTCTCGCGATGTGTTTGAACAAATAGACCTGACTGGTTTGTCAGTGCATTTGAGGCATCGGAGGTGGGTAAGAACATGTAATGACAGTGATGTTTGGTTGGTTTCGAAACCAACAAACATACTGTGGATGAAATGTAATTAGATGGTTTATCCGCTTATAATTTCTTATAATCCCATTATTTACTTTGTTTCATAGTTTCAACATGTTTTAAATTGTTACCGGTGCAGGATGGCTTGTCCATCCACCGATGAGGAAAGCGTTGCAGATGAAGCGACTGGCGGAGCCTTTCCCTTGCGCGTTGCGGTGAAGGGAGTGACCGTGGACATCAGTGCCTTGGAAACTGACCAGATTCGCAGTCGCAGTGGAGGGATGATACCACCCATTTACCATGGTAATAGCCATATGAGCTATGGTCAATACTCATGGTTAATAACCATCAATAGGGGCTAGTCATCCAATGGTTTATAGGGATTTATAATAACCATTATAAGGATCCTTATTATGGATGGGATGACCATCAACCATATAGTGAGTATTGACCATGGCTCATATTACTGTATCCTTACTGTATATCATGAGATATACCGTGAAAAAAAACCAGTATGCGGGTGAAAAAAATACTTTACTTCGTGTGATCCCCACCATGACATTTATACATTTTCTTACTGGCAAATCTTCTGGCATATCTTCTGGCATATCTTCTGGCATTCTATCTGGCAAATCTTCTGGCATTCTATCTGGCATATCTTCTGGCACTCTATCTGACATATCTTCTGGCATTCAATCTGGCATTCTATCTGGCATATCTTCTGGCATATATTCTGACATATCTTCTGGCATTCTATCTGACATATCTTCTGGCATATATTCTATCTTCTGGCATATCTTCTGGCATATCTATCTGGCATATCTTCTGGCATATTTTCTGGCATTCTATCTGGCAAATCTTCTGGCATTCTATCTGGCATTCTATCTGGCATATCTTCTGGCATATTATCTGGCATTCTATCTGGCATATCTTCTGGCATATCTTCTGGCATATCTCTGGCATTCTATCTGGCATTCTATTCTGGCATTCTATCTGGCATATCTTCTGGGCATATCTTCTGACATTCTTTCTGACATTCTTTCTTCTGCACATTCTTTGTCCCATCTCTTCCTACATGAGGTCCGGCAGGGAACACTTGGCGTGGATACTCGGATGGTCGGGTTGAGGTCCGGCAGGGAACACTGGGCGGGGATGGTCGTGGTTGAGGTCCGGCAGGGAACACTGGGCGGGATACTCGCGGTGGAACACTGGGCGTGGATGGTCGTGGTTGAGGTCCGGCAGGGAACACTGGGCGGGGATGGTCGTGGTTGAGGTCCGGCAGGGAACACTGGGCGTGGATGGTCGTGGTTGAGGTCCGACAGAGAACACTGTGGATCGCGGGTCGCAGTTGGACGAGCAGGACGACGAGGAGGACGCCGAGAAGGACGACGAGGAGGAGGAGAGGAGAAGAGGAGAGGAGGAGCAGGCAACTGACATAAAATCTAACAACCCTCACCTGGCAGGTGGGGAACCATCTTCTCATTGAGATGCACCCCTCAAGTAGTGGCTTTCTGAGGGAGAATGGGGATCCCAACCCATAGGCCCATAGGATTGTAGTTGGTGCTTAGTTTGGTACTTTCAAAGCCTTTGATGTGGTAAACTATGGTAAACTCAACAATGAACAATCTCAGAATCTCCAATTTTGACATGGACCATCCCCAAATGGATCCAATTTTGGTTGTTGTTTATGGGGTTGGGTTTGCCACACCCCAGGGCCCCAGGGGCTAATCAGGTCACTCCCCATAACTGAATTGCCAGGACAGAGATGCTGGGTGCGAATTCCCCAAAACCTCATAGGTGAAATGCCAATTGCAGATACGCTTCCGCCGCTACCTGAATCATGGCACTGGGTAGGAACACAATAAAACGCAGATATGTTTGAATAGTGCATCATTCACTAAGTTTGATCAGTCATCCCCATTTAGTTCGATGATTTCCGATTATAAAACCTATAGAAACTTATTGAAATTTTAAACCTATTGAAACCTATTAAAGCCTACTAAAGATTTGGGATTCTCTCCATGCCCTCCCAGCTGCAAGGTAGGGCCAAGGCTTCCCGGGAAGACGACAAGCGGAAGATTCTGCACCTCATTGCGGGTACACCGGAGGAGGTGTGGAAAAATACCAAGATGCTGCTTGAGGCTGACCCGTTGTTTTTTTCCAGTGATCATGACCCATATCGCAATATATCGTAATATATCGTATACATATATTCATAATATTATATATAATAATTTAATAGTAGTCCATATTAGGTATATATTCGTTAAATATTCATACACTGTAAGAGTCGATTCATGTTAGGGGTCCTCCAATCAGCATATTCAGCCGCATCAGCGCCGGAGGACTGGTCGCAGCCTCCGCCCAGCGAGTGTGATGCATTCACCTCCATGTGCGGAGGGTAATTCGGAGGGAGGGTAACCATCAACGTGGTTAAAGCCGATGGTGGATTTAATAGGGACTTTTGGTGGTGAATAGTGGTGAATATTTGTTTTGATCATGGATTATTTAATGGATTATTAAACGGATTTATTAGTTAATAATCAATAGATTTTGATAGGTCTTCTTTGTTTGTATAATTATATGGATCTTTAAACATAGTGGATCATAGTGGTTATGTAATACTGGCTATCGGCTATAGTTCATAATCCTATCCCACTAAGGAATATCGCATAGTATATCCTGCGGATCCAATTACATCAATGGCCATTCCAGGATCCTAAAATGGAGGTACTGTACCATATAAGGCCATATCTTCTGGGGATATCCCCTTACATAGGCCTCAAAAATAGGCCTTATATATGGTAGGTACCTCCAATAAATCGGTTGCTGGAATGGCCATTGATTACAGGATATGACTGATATAACGATCCATTGGGACATGATCGGTTCATCAATGATGATATCCATCAGACCTTGGTAGATACGACTTCACTGACGAACACACTAAAACCAAGTGATGATTAGGAACCACCCCAAAACTGTAAACAGAATCAGGTAGGTGACACAACTTTCTTCACAACTTATCCAGATGGACAGTTTATTGGCTGCTGACCTTCTGACAATTGGCTTCTGACGAGATCTGAAAACCACAGAATTTCCAACACTTTGAAGCGACCGTTTTGTTGGAACCTCTGCGAAATTTGAAAGGATGTTTCCCTATTGAAACCATCCAGTCAAGCAAATGGGTTTGTTGGACCTGGACAATACGGCACCCTCAATTTTATAATATTCTATAATGAATTATTTAAGTGGCCATCTGGGGGTAGATTGTCAATATACCATGGCATACCCCATTTTCAGACATATGGCTCAGAATTTTGGGTACCCCATTTTTATTGGATGGTTAACATTGAAACATACAGAGTCGTGATTAATTGTGATTAATAGTGATTAATAGTGATTAATAGTTATTAGTGATTAATAGTGTATTAATGGTGATTAATGGTGATTAATCTACAAATCATCAAACATCTGTGATTTTACAGGGCAGATTTTCACCATGTTTCGCCCCATTTTCGGATCACCTGGTCACCAGGAACAGCGGTGTGCGGCGGATGTTTGCAGCGGGGGCGCTGTACAAAGCAGCATTGCACAGTGACATCTCGGTACCTGGGATCCGAATCTCCAAGGTGGGGCCCCGTAAAAATCATTCCCTTGAAATGGAACCATGCAAAGACAACACACCACAAAAAGACATAAATTGGGTGACCCAAAGCTACTGGAGACCCCCAAAATTCTGATCAGTTGAGCCCCAAATCATCAAAGGTACTGGGTGAACTTCATTGAGAAACCAAGGATTTGGACTTCCCACCAGGGTGATCCGAAGACCATCTATCCGTTAACCTACGTTGGAAACCAACTAGCTTATAGAGCAACTTTCACATGCGTATGCAATCATCTAAGATATATATATACACAATTATATATATATATACGCATAATTATATGTTATCAGTTTTATTAATGGCGATGTACCCATGAACTCCCAGGTTTTTCCAATCATTTTTGGTTCGCCCGACTCTTCCACTCTGCAAAGGATCTCACCAAGCTTCTGGCCGAATTTCCAGAGGCACAGCGGAACGTCGATGGCGTTGGAACTGAGCGGCGGGTGTGTGGAACGTAGGTTTTCAGTCGAAGCATATGAAAAGCGTTGCTGCACACATACCCATAGGATCCATGGATGGTATATTTACCTACATTTTAGGGTGATTGTTCGGGTAAATGTTGGTAAATATTCCAGCACCATGGAGCATGAAAAGGGTATGCACACATATGAAAGCTTCCCACATCCCAAAACATCCCGAAACTATGTGTTTATCAATGTGCAATGAAGATTTGAATATATCAGTCTACCAGCTGATTTCGCAGAGTATACGAACCCCCCACCGGAAGCTTTTAGTCTGTAGGAATCTATGAAAAATACTCCACTAATTTTTCCAATGCTTATGACAATTCTCCACATTATCCCATTAATGTTTATCCACCGCTTATCGATGATCAACCTTGGGTGTCGCGGTCTGGCGCTCTGCGAGGCCAAGGATGAAGGCATCAGCGATGGTGCCGGTCCAGTCTATGCAGCTGCGATGACACTTGAATTCCAGCAACCCCCCTACAAGGTAGTACCCCCTCAGTTCATAAGCTAAGTTAATTCCAAAAAACGGTCTAAGGGTTTTGAGTGATTCTACATCTATAGGTAGGTAGGTTTATAAACCAAGTAGCTAGGGGCACCTTCCTTTGTGAAAAGGAATCTCACCATGGGGTCTATATAATCCACAAAGTCAGACCACTAAGCAATCACTGGTTGTGGGTTGCAAAAGGACATTGAGGCTCCAGTTGAGGAGGGAGAGAATTGGCTGCGGGTGGCTTTACATCTTGTTACGTGTATAAAATTAAATTCTCAAAGCTGGCCGCAATATTCCATTGACATATTCCATATTTTCCCATATGTTCTATCGCATTATTACGCATGTATGGAATCCAACTGACATGTGATATAGGAGGATCATGGAGGATCCACAAGTCTTAAAAGTTGGTATGGGTCAAATTTAGGTATCCGTAGAAATTGCATGGCTTCATCTGGGCAAAAGCATACGAAAACCAACGTGGATACCAGATGTGATGAAAATCCATCAAAGAGTGACCACTTGGAATGAAACTACAATGGCCCTGTTCTTGCGACAGTTGATCCAGGAAGAACAACGTGGAAGCGTTAAAACTTCTTCTGGAGGTCAGGGGAATCTTGTGGGATCTTGTTGGATCTTTCTAAAGGGTGTACTTGAATGACAGCAACAATGGGGCTGTCTATTTGAGCCAGTCTGAACAAAAACCCTTGGTTTTGAAGGTTCCCCAACTTTTGCGAACTTTAGTCAAAGTGGCACTCCACATGAAGGTCTTGCGATCAAGTGTCAAATGAATGTCCAAGTTCCGCCAAAATTATCCAGTTTGAAACAGCGCTTTGAGTCGGTCACCTACATGGCTAAGAAGTTGGGCATGGCTAATATCACGTAGGTTTACAAGGGAAAGAAATCAGAACATTTTCATCAAAGCAGAGAGTGTACCCCATTACGCCATTCCTTGATCATCATAATATATCATCACATTCTTGTGAATATATGGGTTTGTCTGAAAACAGGATGCCCCTTTCCATCTTTCCATCCACAGGTTCATCAGGTTTCCTATGGTTTCCTACTAAAATGGCTCATGTTGGGAGGGTATACTAGCCATTTCCAGACACACCCACATCAACAGAGGTGATCCCTCATTTCTGGAGAACCCATTGGTATTTCGCTGCTCTGCAGCCGTGACTGTTGAACTCAGAAAACAAAAACAGATGCCATGGAAGTCGCGATATGATCATTTCACCTAAACTTATTGTTCAAATGGTTTCGTGCCTTCCAATCCCTATAATTCCATATAATACCCTGGGGTAAGCATACAAAAAGATGTGGAAAACCCATGGGAAACCCTAGGAAAAGGATCTACGGTATGTAAACAAAAATAAACATGTATAAATGATGTGTTTTCAAACATCTATTGTAAACGTTTACGGGCAGGTATATATAATCACCCTGGGCTCCAGGCTCGAGTTCAAGTGGACAAAGCGAAACGCGATGGCGCCACGGCTGTTGGGGGGCTCAGCCGTCGGTACAAGGTAGGGCCCACGTTGACGATAGCTAGGTTGACTTAGTCCACTTATAACTTGGTCAGGTGATGTTAAGTGATGTTAAGTGTTGGATTTATTAGGGATATACTGATATAACATGATATAACATGTAACTATAGTATACTGTATACTATAGTTATGTGGTGGGGTTTATAAACCAACAAACATCACTAGGGCCACCTTGATGGGTGTTTCTTTTGGGATGGTAACATTGCCTATGAATGGTTTTAATGGGACAATCCTCTATAAATGGTGAGTTGTCCACATTTTCATCCATTGTGGTAGCATGTTATATGAAAAACAGGGATTTTCTATGAGTCATGGCCTCCTGTATAGCGGAAGATCTTAGATCATAATGTATAATTACGCTTGATTGGAGCATGAATGTATCGACTTTGGGACAAACTGTTACTTTGATTTTTCTTTTTCAAATCCCACTGCAAGGTATCAACCCCTCACTGCTTGGATCTTACAGTACATACCCTCTGGTAAACGTTTACAGTTTGCGAACTTGAACATGGCGCATAGAAATAGTGGATTTACCCATTAAAAATGGTGATTTTAGGTGATTTACATATTAAAAATGATGATTTTAGATGATTTACATATGAAAAATGATGATTTTAGATGATTTACCCACTCAAAATGGTGGATCTTTCCATCGTTATGTAAACGTTTACCAGGCCGGGTAAGCATATATTTGTTGCTTGGAACTCCACCCCATTTCTGGCCAGGTTTGTGGGTTGGTTTGCGGCGCAAAGTGCGTTATTCATTGGAGCCCATGATAAAAACCAGACGAGATTGGGCTTTGAAGATGGCAATATCCTCATCTTTTGTCTGATCTTATCTCATCTTACCCTCTGGTAAACGTTTACATAACTATGGAAAATCACCATTTTCAATTGGAAAATCCACTATAAATGGGCCATTTTCAGTAGCTATGTTAAATTACCATTTTATAGCTGGGAAAATCAACCATTTCTACTGGGCCATGTTCAATAGCAAACTGTTAGTCATTACCAGAGGGTATCTCAAAGAAACAGCGCTCTAAATATACACATGGCTATTGAACATGGCCATAGAAATAGTGAGTTTTCCCATTAAAAAATGGTGATTTTCCATAGCTATGTTAGTTTACCAGAGGGTATATATATATATATATATAGTAAATATCCCACATGTACATTGTAACATGGGGATGGTTCAAAACCCTGTTATACCATCTTTCGCAGGAGGAACGTCCATTGAAAGTCCGTTTTGGAATTCACCACCAGAGTTTGGACATGTTTTGACCCAAATCTCAATGATATCCCTACTTTTGGTTGGTTAAACACCATTAAATCCTCATTAAATCCTCATTAAATCTCCGTGAACTCCCCAGTAAATCCCATGAAACCTACATTTAACATCACTAAATATCACTACATCCCCTTATTTTTTTTCATGAATGCATTTTGTTCCCCGTTCCCCACAGCGGCAGTTGCAGGTCTTTATCGCCACACAGTTTGGAAGCACTGACGCCTTGAAGCTAGGCTGGAGGTGTCGCTGGAACGACCTGATCGGTGGGATTTGCGGCGCCCCCTTCGGTGTTTTTGTTTGGCATATGTTATTGTTATAACATGGGTATTTTGATTATGATTATTGGCATAATGGAAATTGATTATGATTCAATTTCCTTATAATATGGGTATGTTATTGTTATTTGGCCCCGTATTTCAGAGAACCAAATCAGCAGGGCTTCCAGCGTAGCAGGGCTATGGGTGGTGAAACACACTTTTTCCACCTGATCACTGATACAAAATAAGAAATAGCCGTTATGTGCGAAAGTACTTGTCCCGTGGTCATGGCAGATGCCCATTTTGTAATTAGGGCGGGAAAAACAAATCTTGCTTCCCTTAGGCTCACTTTTCTGCTTAGTTTCAACTTTTTTGGAATGTGTAGAATGGGAAGAGGCCTCGGACGGTGCAAGGTAAATGATGGTGGACACAACGTTTGGGGGGTCATTAGGCCATCGTCGTCCGCGGGTGTCTTCGAGTCGGCTATGAGCCAGCTAGTTTTTGGCATTGTTCCCGACAGAAGTGGACACAGAAGACAGCGCGGCAAGCTCAGCAGTATATAAATGTATATGTTCATTGATCATGTGGTTGTCCGTGTGTGAGGCCCTGAAAAGGTGTTTAAGCTTTATCTTTCTAGGTGCTGGGAGAAAGGCTTTATTTCTTGCCATCAGCATGTGACGATTTCTTCTTTTGAAGGATTCTTCTTCTCCCGGTGAAAGGATTCCTCCTTCCCGGCGCCGGGTTGGGAGGATTCTCTTTTTCCCGGCGCCGGGTCTCGCTCCCGGTGCCGGGTCTACCTCCCGGCGCCGGCTCTCCTCCCGGCGCCGGCTGAAGCCTTCCTCCTTTCCCAGTGCGGGGTGGAAGCTTTCTTCTCTTGCTGGCAGAAAGACCAGCAACCGCGGCGACATACAGTATGTTTGTTGTTGAGCTCAGGGCGTCAAAGTCTTCATTCCCTTCTAACGGCGCCAGGGTGACGAGGAGAGCGCTTCGATTCAACAATGACACCCGGATACTCGAAATTCAAGGCGCAGATCAGCTTGAGTGTGGAGAGATGTATTTCGGCCATGAGATGAAGGATAATTAAGGAACAGCCACGCTGCTGACTGTTGCTAGCTTTCCGCTTCCGCGCCTACACACCCGTCCTATAGGTTTCTACGGAGCCTCCTGCTATGTCGGCAGCAGACGGATACCCTGCTATTTTGAAAATGTATGTATGTATATCATATATCTGCTAAGAGGCATGTACGCTTTTTAAATAGTCCCTCACAGTCGCACCTGCGCCAAGACGGGGATGAAATAATTTCCGGCCATTGCAGGCACCAGGCGCCAATTTTCAGTGCAAATTTTCATTTTTGAAAACGTTCGAAATCACCTCGCACAGCCCCGATGGCTTGGCTCCACCCACTGCCCCGCTCAAAGGGCTAGCGGCGGCCTTCCTCCGAATGCCCCATTCTAGCTCCTTACTCGTACAAGATTCAAATCTTCCTCCCAAAGCCCCGAACGAACCATTTCCACCCAAAGCCCCGATGAAACCAATCCACCCAAAGCCCCGATGAAAAATTACACGCAAAAACGGTAAAAAAAACAGCAAAAAAAGTGTTTTTCTCGTTTCTGGAGCCTAGGTGCTTCCCAAGTCTCAGCTGAAGGGCCCGCAGCAAGGACTTGCTTGAAAACCCCAAAAGACTGGATGGCGGCATGAAGCAATCTTGAATACTACTTCTACTACATCGGCACTAATGCAAGCCTAAAAGGCTTGAGGTCATGGGGTTTTCCTCATTCCATCCGGTTCTGCTTCTTGCATCAACGCGTCTGCCAGGCATATATGGAAGCAATGCAGAAACAGACTCTGGTCCCTGTTCTGTTCCCGTTTGAGACATGCAAAGTTCAAGGTCCATCGTAGCAATGCTCTTTTTCAACCAGCGTTGTGCAAAGCTTTGGCACCCAAGCCGCTGCTCCTGTTTGCTCTTTGCTGTAGCCTCTGCCTTTCTAGGGCTGGCCTGTTTTAATTTCCCGCTTAGCAGGCTTAGCAAATGAAAATGGAATTGGTAGTGTTCTGCAAGCCGTGCTTGAAACAGCTACAGGACTGAGCATGAGGGTTGAATGAGAGGGCATTGCTGCAGCTTGCTGCTCCCAGTGGCTCGGGCGTGCCTTGACGGCAAGCTTCCCCAAGTTGAGAGCTTTCCCCATGAAGGCAAGGATTCGAACGCCCGTGGTGAGTTGCCATCTTGACGAAGGCAACTGCCGCTAATGCTCTAGGTGTTGCCTGCGTTAGCCTTCTCCGCGGCGTGCCCAGCGCGGGGTCGACTGTGAAATATGGCAAAGGGCGTTTCGCATGCTACTGGCCTGGTTCTCGTCGCAGGAATTCAAGGCAACATTGCGAAAGAAACAGGTGGCCACTGAGATCAGGTTGTACATACGGTTTCATACATGTTGATTTTCACAGGTACATGCTGTTGAAGTAGCCCCCCAAGGACAAGAAGTGCCCAAGCGAAGGCTAAGGATTTGCTAGTGCTCAATTGCATGGGTCTGTCCTGTATTGGCCGTTGCTTGTCATAAAACAAACTTACATTGCAATAGCAGAGGTTGTGGTTGAACCAAACTACATGGGGTCTTGAAATGTGTTCCGGTAGAAGATTCAGTGAACGTTTGCAAGGCTATTTAATCAGAAATATCTGTTCAATGTAGCTGGGTGGGAAACCCCCCCCAAGCCCCGCTCCACCCAGTGCCCTGCAAATTCTTTCCTCCAAGTATTGGCATATGATTATTGGCATATTATGATCCAAACACAATCTGCCTGCAGCTGGGACGGGCGAAGAGACCTGGACTGACGACTGATGAACATTGATGAACAACAGATAGAGCACCGACTCCCACCAGTGATGCTTACGAGTGGAATGGGTTTTGTCTGAAAATACCCCCTCTCCAAAAAAAAATGGTCAGCGTCAGCGTTTTAGAAGATTCAGTTTTTTATATGTGATATGTCTTAAGACACTATTTCGGTTGCCATTTACCAATTTCAGGGAGCACTCCAGATGAGAACCGTACTTGGAGGATCATCCCAGGAACTGGTTGATAACCGTAGTTTATACCCCAGTTATATAATGTTATATATATATATATGTATATGGGATAACCCCACTTAGGGGACTTATTAACATTGATTAACTAGGCTTGTTAACTACTTACTAAGTGGGATGATCTTCCAAGTACTCTCCGGTGCCAAGGAAATTGCTTCTGGCTGCGGACGCCAATCCAAACCTGGCACGTCAAGAAGACGGTGTCTGGCTGATAGCTTTAGCATGCTTTAGCCTTTTTGGATTTGTGTCATGTTCCTTTTTCATCCTTTTTTCCAGATTGTAAAGATGACCCTGGCCGTAAACATACAAAACAACATTTAAAACTCTACTGAAAATTTCTTTAGATCATTTTCCCCACCATTTCAGTAGTTTTGTAAAATCCATACTGAAATCATTTCAGCAAAATGATCTACTGAAATGGTGGGGAAAATCCACATCGACGACGATTCCAATGTGACTCATGTGACTGATACGCAAAGGTGTGGCGCCCGCGTACATGGCGGTGCAAAACGCTCGCATGAAGGCATGAAAAGATATAGCAGTGTGTCAAAACCCTGGTACCTAGTGAACCCCAAAATAGCTGGTAAATGGATGTTCATCCCACTAAAATGTATCTGTAGGTATTGACCCATACCCATGTGAAACGAACAAAGAGTGGCATTCTAAGATTCTAGTCGATAGGTGGAAGTTGGTGAGTCATGTTCCAATATATCTTTTGAGGCCGCAGAAGGTGTAGTTTGCGTGTTTATGGCTTGGCCACTTGATATTTCCAAGCACTGCCGAACATGTTTCAGTTGTAACGGCATGGAGCCCCACATCTGTTGGTTGTTAAACTACTGGAAGACCTACTTCCGCGACAGGAGCTGGCGATGTTGCTTGAAGCCAGAGCCGACCTTAATCAGTTGACGACCAAAGGAGCCCAACTTCGGCTGTGGGAAGTTGGGCAAAGGGGGTCAGATTGACCCCGCTTTGGGCTCACGGTCAAAAGTTTGATTATGACTATACCGACTATACCATTATACCCATGTTAATATATTTTAATCAATATAATATCATTGAGGATGTTCATTGCAACATCAAGAGGGAATGAAAATTCAGATGGCCAATCAAAGAATTCCCAACGGTGGTGACTAACTGGTGGATGTTCCGTTGCCACCAAGAACCGGAGATCAACAAAGCAGGTTTGACACACCGCTGCTATATGTCATGATTTGTTCATATTTCATATGGCATGGGATTAAACTATGTCATTATTCAACTATATTAAACTCATGTATAAGTTTGAGAGTTGGCTTTTGAGAAAAATGACAGGAACCTTCAACAAATTTGGGTGTAAATCCCTGCTGTTTTCCCTGCAATTGGTCGAAAACCAATCCATTCAATCCATTGATCCATTTAGTCAATCCAGGCATCAAGACTTTGGGAATTTAAGCATATTTAAGCGACATTGTTTCGTTCAATTCGAGATTAAAGCTGTTTTTTTCCAAGTTAAAGATGGTTATATAAAGTTTAAATATGTTTAATTGTGTTTCTTATATAAGTTCTATAGTACCTCCCACAGAGACAGAAAAGCTTCAATTTGGCATTATTTTAGGATTGGATGTTGCTAACTTTATCTTTTTTGGACCATGAAATTGCCACATCGGCTCGGAGAAAGGAGCAGCTCCGTTGCATTTGGCCGTGCAGATGGAGAAAGCTGATGCGGTAAAGCTTCTGTTGCAGTACAAGGCGGCCGAATTCCCGAGTTGCAAACCAACTTGCGCCTGCCTGTCCCCTCCAGCAACAGGCCGACCCGAATCTCGAGACGGAACAAGGCAATCGACCTCTGTCCTTGGTCAAAAGTAGCAACTCGGAGTCCAGGAATCTCCCTGGAAAAAACGTAGGCAATCGATGCTGTTCCTACAAAAAGGGTCCCACCAGTTAAGCATCCAGGTATATAATATATATATATATGGTTGTATATGTATATAATATACGTATACGTATACTGTATGTATATATGTATATATTCACTTCATAAATCACAGTTACTGTAGTTATAAATCAACTTGCCTAAGGGATAATGTTGCTGCTACTGAATGCGGGGATTTTCCATTGGCAGTTTGCTTTACGGGAGTTGAATCCGTTACTTTGAATGAAGGGTTTGTTGCCTAAGATGGACAGTGTTGCTCTCAGCTGCACCCCGGAATTTGCCAGTGAAATGGCACCTGACATGTTCAGATGTGGACTACGACCTGGAAGTAATATGTGTGATATATATATATATATAATACAAATATAATTATCACACACCTGTAACAATCCACCCAAACTCCAACAAAATCATTCACCTAGCCCCAAATCCACCAGTTGCAGTTTTCCAGGTTATCCTGGCCACCCAAAAGGCTACCGTAGATCCCAGGCCGCCTTCCCAGGCCAGTTGCGAAAGCTGCTGGCCGACGCCGGTGCCGCGGCCGTGGAGGTAGTGGAGGCGGAGGTGGCACCCAAGGCCAAGGCCAAAGGCAAAGCCAAGGCCAAGGCCAGTTTCGCCACCGCATCTTCCAGCGTGTCTTGCCTTTTGGTAACTTTGGTACATGAAAATATCATTGGAATATCATTGGAATATCATGAGAATATCATGGGAATATCATGGGAATATCATGGGAATATCATAGGAATATCATGGGAATATCATGAGAATATCATGAGAATATCATGGGAATGTCATGGGAATATCATGAGAATATCATGAGAATATCATGGGAATATCATGGGAATATCATGAAAATATCATGGGAATATCATGGGAATATCATGAGAATATCATAGGAATATCATGAGAATATCATGAGAATATCATTGGAATATCATGGGAATATCATGAGAATATCATGAGAATATCATGGGAATATCATGAGAATATCATGAGAATATCATGGGAATATCATGGGAATATCATGACCATATCGTCATCATATATCGAGAATATATCATGGTGGAATATATCATGAGAATATCATGGGAATATCATGAGAATATCATGAGAATATCATTGGAATATCATGGGAATATCATGACCATATCATGGGAATATCATGGGAATGTCATGGGAATATCATGAGAATATCATGGGAATATCATGGGAATATCATGAGAATATCATGGGAATATCATGGGAATATCATGGGAATATCATGAGAATATCATGGGAATATCATGGGAATATCATGAGAATATCATGAGAATATCATGGGAATGTCATGGGAATATCATGAGAATATCATGGGAATATCATGGGAATATCATGAGAATATCATGAGAATATCATTGGAATATCATGGGAATATCATGGGAATATCATGGGAATATCATGAGAATACCATGAGAATATCATGAGAATATCATGGGAATATCATGGGAATATCATGGGAATGTCATGAGAATATCATGGGAATATCATGGGAATACCATGAGAATATCATGGGAAAATCATGGGAATATCATGGGAATATCATGGGAATATCATGGGAAAATCATGGGAATATCATGAGAATATCATTGGAATATCATGGGAATATCATGAGAATACCATGGGAATATCATGGGAATATCATGGGAATATCATGAGAATATCATGAGAATATCATGGGAATACCATGAGAATATCATGAGAATATCATGGGAATATCATGAGAATATCATTGGAATATCATGGGAATATCATGAGAATATCATGGGAATATCATGGGAATATCATGGGAATATCATGAGAATATCATGAGAATATCATGGGAATATCATGGGAATATCATGAGAATATCATGGGAATATCATGGGAATATCATGGGAATATCATGAGAATATCATGGGAATATCATGGGAATACCATGAGAATATCATGGGAAAATCATGGGAATATCATGGGAATATCATGGGAAAATCATGGGAATATCATGAGAATATCATGAGAATATCATTGGAATATCATGGGAATATCATGAGAATACCATGGGAATATCATGGGAATATCATGGGAATATCATGAGAATATCATGAGAATATCATGGGAATATCATGAGAATATCATGAGAATATCATGGGAATATCATGGGAATATCATGACTAGGTTGCCACTTCGCGTTTTTTTATTTTTTTCTGTTTTGCTTAGCCTTTTGCTGCCGCAAGGGTTCAAGGTCCCAGGTCCAAGGTTCATGGGTCCATCCTCCTTCATCAAGCACTCAAGCCTAGCCCTCAGTCCACAACATTCCACTCCTTCAAGGTTCAAGGTATAATTGTTTAGAGTTCACAGTCCAAGGTTCATGGCCCCTAAAAATCCTTGCCCAGGTCTGAAAGCCTTCCTGCCCGTGACTTTCTTTCCCATTCAGGCAGGCAGTCGCAGATCTTGCATCTCCATGATGGGACATTGATGGTGTCTTCATTTTTTCATCCTTTAAAGTGGCATCGTTTTTTCAATTGCCATATCTTTGTTGATGCGAGGCTGCTGCTGCACTTTGGCTGGCAGTTGGCAAATTCTGCTCATAGATTGCCAGCACCTCAGGTGGTAATTAGGCAACTTGAAGTCTCAATTGCATCAGGCATGTCAGTGTGTTGTTCCCTCCATTCAACAAACTGTGCTGCATTTGGTGGGGGGTTGATAATGCTGGTGCACAAGCTTGGGCCGACTATGAAGTTTTTTGGTCCAAGGTCCCCTGGTTCAACGGTCCAGCGGTTCCACGGTCCAGGGTCCACGGTCCAGGGCCCGCAATGGCAGAGCAGCAGCTAGATCTCAACGCTGCTGCAGAAGCTTTGTCCGAAGCTGTGGTGGGCGCTGTTGCGGCAGTTGATGCCCAGGCGCCTGCGGAGCCACCTGCTGTTCCTGCCCCAGGAGTTCAAGAAGTTGTTCCACAAGGCAGCGCCGAGATTGCCAATCAAGTGCTCCCACAAGGCATCCAAATCTCGCCTGCTGTCATTGGCTTGACTTCTGACAGGATTGTGGAGCACTATGGGTGCTTGGGCTGAGAAACAGAGTTTAGTGGCTAGTATCTTTTAAAGCACAGTTAAAGCAAGATTTGGATTGCAGTATTTGATAGTTGATTTTCATTTCAGGGACGGCGACTTCAAACAACATCTCAGGCACACGGCAACTGCGCCACAGTTCATGCGCAGAACTTATGATCCGACTTCTGATTGGACTTGGGCATTTGCCGGCTTCAGTTTTGCCAGGGCATCATTCTTCCCCGAGGGGCGGCGTACGCCAGAAGCAGCTGCTGCCATCTGCGCAAGCTTCATGGCAAACCTGAGCCAGCGGTTTTTCTTGAACGCGTGCTTTTTACCACCTGGGGCACCATGCTGACTTGATTTGTTTTGATTGCCTTTGGGGCTTTGGGGGCCACAGGCTTGACAGTCATTGAGAGTGACGTGGCGATGGCTGCCCAAGATGTGTTGTCCAAGTTGCCGGAGCGCCAGAATGTTCAGCAAGTCTTGCATGGTGCTTCTGGGTTGCAGGGATGCGTGAAGTTTTTGTGGAATCAGTCATAGATGTGTTCAGATTATTAAACTCTAACAAGTTTATCAGTCTTTTTGGTTTGCGCGTTCATGTTTGTCAATATGAATTTACCACTTTTGAACATGCTATCTACGTTGGTGTGCCACAGCCGCGAGCTGTTGCAGCAGTTTATCATGGACGATCCCCGTGGGAACCGCAAGGGCACCTACCATGTGATCATGCATCCGTACACTTTGCATTCAATGGCAAAGGGGCACACGCTCAAGTATTTCGAGCCTCATCTCAAGCTCTCAAGTTTGAAGGTTTGTTGCGCAATGCTTTGTTTTGTTTTTTAATGGTTGTCTTTTTTCTTGGGTTCAGCTTGCTTGCAAGCGGCCAGTGAGGACAGAGATTCACAGTGGAGAGGATGGCCACTTCCTTGGTGCCGTGATGTCGACAACATGCCAGACGTCAAAGCCTATGGGCGAGAGTGCATCGCCTACGTGAAGCTGCTGATGAAAGTGAGTGGGATGTCGAGGGCTGAACCAAGGATGTTGCCCAGCATGGCCCAAGCATCCCAGCTCCGCTCCAGGGAGGACAGGAGAGGGGTTGTCCAGCAGGGTTGACCACCCTGGGCTTTGTCATTAATTGATTTCAAACAGGTTTAGAACTGGGAACCTTTTGGTTTTGCATTGCGGTCTCCTTGTCCTGTCGTTGCTTCATTTTGGCAGGAACTTCTCCTTGCTTGAGAAGTCTTTTTTCACGGAGCGGTTCACGCCTGAGTTTATACGCCAGATGGAAAAGTGTGGTGTGAGGCTGGCCATTGATCATCCATGGCTGCTGCTTCTTGGTTAATTTTCAGCCAGATGGACCCTTCGCTGTGACCTTTTGACCTTTCCCAGCCTCCAAACTTAAAATTCTTCTAGTGAAGGGTATTTTCCTGACGCCCAAGGGTCTGTTTCAAGCTTTGATCATCCTAGGCGCGCGGAGGAGTTTCAATCCACGCGATCTCTCGAGCAAGGCTCCCAGCAGTTTTTTGCCCCACTTCCTGGAGAGCAACTTCCTTGGACTCGCTCACTGTGGTGCACAAGCGACGGCTACTTCTACGCATTCCGCCACGTCGCTGCAGATGTGAGCCACAAGCATTTGTCACTCCAACTCTGGTGATGAAAGCTTCTTGACTTTGCTAATTAATAATCAGTTTGTTGCAGCCTGAAAATGTGGCATTCTTAAAAGGGTTGCCCCTTCCTAGTAAATTCTGCAGCTTGCCTATAGAACAGCTTAGGCCGATGTTCTGAAAGGCGACATGCACGAGGCGTTCTCCGACTGGTTTATGACACACAAACGCGAAGTGACAGTTGGCTGGCATGGCCAGAACAATCAAGATTTCAGGCTTTTCCTCAACGGGTTCTCATTTGCATCTTGGGTGTGACATGCAACTTTTTTTTCCTTCATCTTCCCTCCATGTATTTTTCCTAGCACGTCCTTTCTGTCTCAATTGAAATTGCACCGGCTTCACTGAGGTCCAGGCGATCTGCTACAAGAATAAGACGGTGCCTCTTGTCTTGACATTTGAGCGAGAGCAAGACTGCTCATGGAAACCATTCGAGCTCCACTTGGCCCGAGTTTACAAGTGGGGACCTGGCTTGCAGATGGCGTTGACGACTGGGCGGACGATGGTCCTTCCTGACTGGTCGTTGTGGCAGGGGGAAGTATCGCGGAGGCCCTGGTGGTGGTGGCGCCCAATACACTGGTGGTTGGGGCAGCGGGGGTGCAGATGCTCATGCCCCTTATCAGCAGCAACAGCAGTACCAGCAGCCACAGCACCTCCAGCAGCCCCAGCGGCCACAGCAGCCCCAGCAGCCCCAGCAGCCTGGCGGCTGGGGCCCTGCGCAAGGTGCTGCATATGCTTGCCCTCATGGCGCATTTTAAAATGCTAAGGTAACGTTCAACTGTAACTTATTATTAAGGTCGAAAGTCCATAGTCCAAGGTCCACAGTCCATAGGCAACAGCCCGACCAAGAAAAATCACAGAGACAGCTGCTTGAGGGCTGGGCACGCAGCCGGCAAATTGCATAGCATCGTCGACCGATGGTGCTTCTTCCACCGCCGTTGCATTGGCACATTTTGCGATGGATGTAAAATCAATGGCCATTCCAGGAACCTAAATTGGAGGTACCTACCATATATAAGGCCTATGTAAGGCCTATGTAAGGGAATATTCCCCCAAAATATGGCCTTATATGGTACAGTACCTCCATTTTAGGATCCTGAAATTCCCATTGATAAAAAGGCTCACTAGCTTCAAGAACTGACCCAGAACTGACTAACGTGCATGGCCATTTTATGAGCAAACCCAGCATGAGTAAAAGACATTTCAGAATGCAAATTCTAGTCTCGGCCCAGGCTGGGACGCAGTTCTTTTTGCTTCAGCGAGGTGGGAAGGTGTGCCGGCAATGTGTTTTCCAATTTTTCTTCATGTAAACTATCTGGAGCCAGATGTCTTGCATTGGTGAAGAAATGAAGTCACTAGCAGAATTTCTTCTGGAGGTCTTTTGCTGGCTAGAAGATCGCTGGCTTCCACGAGTCTTTTTTTGAGGCCTGGCAGCTGAGGAAAATAGGGTTTTCGACATCACAGTTGCCCCTATTATTTGTTGTCGTTCTTTTGTTCTTGTAATGCTTTTGCACATCACATATGCGAGCTTCATTCCTGCGAGGTGGTGGGTGGCGACAAACAAGCCCTTCAGCGTGTGACAGGCAGGCGTTGATTTAACATTGGTGACCTAGATTGCAACTGGTCAGCTGCCGCCCTCTTGACCAGGCGTGGCCATCCCATTGCTCCAGCGCGGAGGAGGTGACAAATGTGCTGAATTTGTTGAGTAAGCAGTCTATGTTTCAAACATGGGCTTCTGTAAGCAACTTCAACCAAAGTTTCATCAAAGTCAGTGATTGGGTTGAACGAATGCTGGATTGCTTGGGAATGTCTTCTTGATAGAGGCTTTGCTGGCCGGTGTATGCCTTTCCAAGGCTGCCTTGGCCTTGGCTTCTTCTGAGCGGTGGAGATTTTCATATGAATTAAATTGAGTGTGGTTTGATATGCGCATTGGTGCTGTGTCATTGTTGCCATAGCGCAATCGTTGCTCTTGCTTGGCACCCAGCCTATTCTCTCAGGTGCTCCAAGCTACAGTGGGCAAAAAAGTCAATTGTCAATCATTCAATGAGTGAAGCCTGTGCATTCAACGGTTCCCACTTGAGCTGTTTTGCGGGTTACTTCAATTTGTTTGGATGCTACTTCAGTGCTTAGAGTTGTCCTTCGCTAGAGGTTTGCGTGGGCTGGTCTACATTTACCTGCACTTGCCAAGGCCTGATATGTTTGGGCTTTGTCTGGGCAATGAAGAATGCAGTTGTTTTGATATGTAGACAACCTGTCATTGTTGCCAAGTGCACGGTCACTTTATTTATAATAGTCACTGCTTTTTTGGCCCCCAGTTTACGGTCCACGGTCCAGGGTCCAAGGTCCACAGTCCATCGAGATGAGCCTCGACCCTTTGCCTGCCTCTCTGCTTACGTGGCTGGACGAGTGGGGACAAGGCTTGGAGAAGAGAGTGATGGCAGCACTCCAGCAGCATGGCCTCTCTGGGGCTTTGGCACCGAACATGCTGTGCAATCACTGAGCTTTGCTCCTCACGCTTCGATTCGGCAGCAAGTCCACTGTTCAAATTCTGCAGCCTCATTCGGGCCATTGCTCTGCTGTGCGGAATGCAAGCAGCTGTGTGGAGCAGCTTCCTTGGCCCTAGAAATACAGTCACCATTTGCGCAAATCAAGGGTGTAATAGAGGGGAAAAAATCACTAGCAATACACATTGCCTGTGTCTGCAGAAAAGGCAGCCGAAGAAGAGGGCCAAACTACTCCCAGGTCGGCGCAAACTGGAGGTGTATTAGAAGGTTTTTTTTCCTCATCAATACACTTACGGTTCGTGCAAACCACTCGCCGCGTGCATTCAAGGATGGTTTGCTAACATCCAAGGGTCTAAGAGGCGTTCGAAATTGCTTCCAAGGGTCATGTTCCAACATCCAAGGGTTGAACCACTACTGATATTTCAAGCTCTTGTTGGCACTCTGAAAATGTGGCTTCCCAGCAAAGCCGCAGAATCCTGGTTGGACAAGGACCGCAAGACAGGAATGGCAGGCTTTTGGCAGGTCATAGGAGTGATTCTCCAGGCCGGGTGTCTTGAGACATGGACCGGATAATCCCTTTAATTGTTCTCGGAAATGAATTGTACCGTCCGTTCAATGTTTATTCACAAGCCTGTAAGGCTAGGCTCCTAGCTCCTAGGTTTCTTGTCATTTAGCCTTTGGCATGTGGACAGGTATTCGAATATTCCGAGAAGTTGATTGCAAAGCTCCCCGAGCCCGAACTTTCGAAAGCAAAACTAACTCTTGAAGATTTGCTGTCCCCGGTGCAGTGCTGGGAGAAGTTCCTTCGTGGAGATGAAAATAAGCAGCTGGCGAAGTTGGATTCTTGCACGAGGATGATTTAGAGGAAGAGTGCGTAGTATCGGTGCCAACAGGCCCCATGGCTTTGGTCAAGGAGAGCTTCGACAAAGCAACTGGTGTGCTGCTTGATATCCTGTTGGACCCCGTCTCTGGAAAGCATTTTTCCGATTGTCAGGAGCTTGCTTCCCAAGCTGGTGGAATGATCAAAGCCTTGCAGAACATGGGTGGCCAAGAAGACCTCCAGCTCCTCAAGGAATTGAAGATTGTGACAGACATGTTTGATGGCCATTCCAAATCCATTTCTCCAAGCAATGCTGCACCTGCCCCAAGCCTGCTGACCCCGTTGACTGCCGAAGGGACGCTTGATCATGAGGCCGACGCAGAACGTGACAGGCACTGGAAAATGATCCAATCTGAGAGGAGAAGGCTTGTTAGCTTTGGAATCCCCAAGAATTGGTCCAAAGATGGTCTTCTGGCATCCTTCAGAGCTTCTGGGAAGGTCTTTGCACAGTCTGGGCAGCTCAACAGCAATCACAGATTGTTGTGTGCATTTGCTGATCTTTTTGTTGAGCAGGGCGATGAGCCTTGGGCTACCCCTTCTGTTCCTGAAAGAGATTCTGGCTTTCATGGGCTCCAGCGCCACCGGGCCAGCAGACTTTGCGATGGCATTTGATGGGAGGATGCGTGAAATGCGCCGCCTGAGTGCAGCTTGGCTTGGGCCATCTAGTTAGCCATAGCCATGGGGGTGCATCAACTTTGATTTTAATATGGTTTCCTTGTTGTCAGTTTGATCGTGAGCTCTTGCTTTCTGTTCTTTGCTGCGCCACAGAGCCTGCAAGGAAGATGATCTGCTCAGCCAAGCCCATGCCTGTGAAGGTGCAATTGTTTACACTGGTGGCTGCCCACGGGCCGGAAGATCCCGTAAAGTTCCCTTGTCTGGCAGAAAGTTGGAGACCATGGCCATCAGATGCCCCCTGCAGCGGTCCCGCATCAAGGTATTGAAAAAGGAGACCTTCACCGCGTGCGGTGAAGAAAGCACATACCAGGGCACCTACACAGGTGTTTCGTTTCGAGCCTGCAGTGAAATCCCATTGATTTCCATGCAAGAGAAGTATAAGCTGCTGGGCCCAAACGGCGTCTTGTCAGTGCCTGAGCTCCCAGAGGACTGGAGGGAACGCAATGGAGAAGGTTGTCCGCTGTTTTGGCACGAATCCAAGCCCATTGCCTTGTGGTGTGCCTTGCTTGACCAATGGAAAGTTCATGCAGTTCTGGATTGTATAGCCCTGGAAGTGGTGCCCTAATGGAAGCAGCTCTCACACGTGGCATTGTCTACCATGGCTTCTGCCTTGACCTGAGTTGGCTGTGTCACATGATTTGTTTCTAGCACTTGCTGTCAGCCAATGCCATGCTTGTCCTCGTCCATTACAATCACATCAGGCCAGCGCCTGTTCATCACAGCTAAATGGATGGTCGATGTGACAATTTTTCCAAGGTCTGAACAAAGAGCACCTGCAGTGGCTCCAGGCTATCGCTGACAGAGCAGCGTGCGGACTCATTGCTGCGGAGGGGAGCTCCTTATTTTCCGAGGAGACTGCCACTGCAGTGAAGAAATCATTTCCAGACGTCATTGCTTGTTTGGCAAAGGCCCAGGAAGAAGACGATGCTCAGCCTTTGGAGTTATCAGAAAGCCCAAATGAGTGAGCAATGGTGCCAGCATGGGTAGGGTTGGCTCATGGTCTAAGGTCCAGGGCCCACGGTCCAAAGTTCATTGTGTTCCCTAATCATGAGTTGACTCGATATCAGCAGCTCGTTTCAGCCAGCTCTACTACCTTGCAGGCCTTTAGCAGCAAAAGGCTTTCCAATGGATTTGTTCCATTCAATTTTGATATCGCTTTTGTTCCATTCAATAGGATCAAATTGCAGCAGCTCCTAGACGACAAACCACTATATACCTTGATTCAAAAGGCGTGCTTGCCAGTGGTGAATTTGCAGTCCAGTGTTTTTTTGTTTCTCAGCGGTCTATAGAAAAGCAGCCTTGGATGTCGGCAAATGACCCTTCTAGGTCTCAAATCCACGAAATGCAGCAGTGAAAGGTGATTTGCTTACATTGAAAGGTGTGAGATGCAGGCAGGCGAGTTCTGAGGGTTGAGATGGGTAGGAGCCTTATAGAAAAGCAGCCTTGGATGTCAGCAAATGACCCTTCTAGGTCTCAAATCCAGGAAATGCAGCAGTGAAAGGTGATTTGCTTGCATTGAAAGGTGTGAGATGCAGGCAGGTGAGTTCTGAGGGTTCAACGTCCAACGTCCAAGGTTCGCAGTAGGGGTTCACCAGGGGCGTGGCCAGCAAGTTGCTCCTCATGATTCTGCGTGCTGCCTTCTGTCCACAAATCAGACTGCGATGCAAGACTGCCATTGAAGCAATTGCGAAGACCAAGGGCAAAACAGCCCAGCCTTCCCAGTGCAGCGACCATGTGAAAAAAGGCGGAGCAGCCAAGCCGCAACAAAGTGGCCGCAAGTCCCTTGTGAAGACCAAAGGCAAAACAGCCAAGCCTAGGCAGAGTGCCAGGCGCATGGCAGTGAAGCAAAGTTTGGATCCCAAAGCAAGGAGGGCATTCGCCCTATTTTTGGGTGAGAACACCAAAGTCAAGAAAGGAGCTTCAAAGTCTGAGTATCAAGCAGAGATGCGAAGAGTTGCGGCGCTTTGGAAACAATTGGATGACAAGCAGAAGGCTCCTTTCCACAAAAAAGCCTTGAAGAATTCCAAGTACAAAGGGACGCAATGGGGCGTTTGGGCTTCGATGTTCGGAAGTGCTTGCGGCCGGGCAAGTGCGAGGATCGCGGTGAATCCGAGCTAGCCCCCCGGAATGCTTTGCCCCATGCCCAGCGCAAGTTCTGCATTGGCAGTTACACCGTGGTAGAGGATCAGCTGGGTAGTGGCTCTTATGGAAAGGTATTTTCTTCCTGCTGCCCAAATGGCCGGTCTTGTGCCATCAAAGTCTACCGCAGCCGGCAAGCACATCATGAGGCAGCGTTTGAGCTTGCTACTTACGAGAAGCTCGGGAAGCTGGCAATGCCGCATTGCCAATGGTTTCCTGTGGTCCTGGACTTTGACGCCTCAGGACGATCATGGCCCTGGTTGGCACTGTCCTAAAGTGGGGTTAGTTTGGCAGCCCGCTTGAACGCTGGAGGCCCAATGCCCCAAGACTTGGTTGAACACTTGTTGCTGCAATTGGAGGCTGCAATCTGCGTGTTGCACGATGAGGCCAAACTCTTGCACTTGGACATCAAGCCGGCTAACATTCTGTGGTGCGGTGAGCTGCGAGAGCTGCGGCTGTGTGACTTCGGCATGTCAGAGCCTGCACCTCGCCTTCCAGGTCCACAGTCCACGGTCCACGGTCCATCCAAATCTTCGGCACCGCAGGGAGAACGGGCAACAGTTGCAGGCCCAATACCCACAACCGAGCCACGCTTCACAGAATATGTGACGCCCTTTTACCGACCACCCGAGCTGTGGAATTTGGTGTCTGGACCAGTGGCTTTGCAGGCAGCATTGACCAGGGCAGTGGATTTGTGGAGTTTTGGCTGCGTGGTCTTTGAAGTTGTTACTGGCAAGCCACTCATGAAGCCTCTGGACCGACGGCAGCCGACTTCCAAACAGTGCGTTGCTGAATGGTGCAAAGATTGGCCAGAGCTGATTGCTTCCTCCGCCTGCGTTGCCGGTACTCGGGGATCTTGGAGCTGCTGGCGTGTTCGTATGTGGTCTTGTGGCATGTGGAGCTCTGTGGTGCTGAACGCTTGCTGCCCTGAGCCAAAGTCCAGGAAGTGGATGAAAGATGGTGCTGCCAACATCAACCGCGCTGACTGAGCGGCGTTTGACATTCCAGCAGCCGGAATTCAGAAAAACATGAAAGCTGGCAGGGGTTTGCTTTATTATTGTGCTGTCCTGCCATTGCGCAGGCCCTGATCTGTTGCGGTTCAAAGTCTATGGTCTGCAGGTCCACGATCCACTGTCCATCTTTATTTATTTTGTAAGACCTGACGCTACTATATACGGTTGATGCATGCGCTAGACAAAAAAACCTTGCTTATGTTATGGCCCATGGTTGCGACAGCTACAGTAATAAGTTGTACCTAGAAACAGCCACTGAATGGGGAGCAGGCTATCGAAGGAGCTTATTGGCAAAGAAAAATTGTACCAGCTGGCACTTTCAACATTGGACATTCTCTTTTGCGCAATTTCTTCAGCATTTTTATCGGACAAGAGCCTTTTCATCTTTTTTGTTCTGCTGCTCTGTGCAGGTGAAGGTTGACCGATGAGCTGCTACAATTGCTTTGATAAGCGAGAAAAAATGGCCATAAGACATGACAAGTGTTGGGGGGTACATGCTTGGATTGCGAATTCTAGAAGGGGTCATCATTGTACAGGCACAGGCATGCAACTTGGATTTTAGTGATACACTTGGTCAGCCCACCTCCAGATCCACTAAAACGCACTATATTCTTAAAATTTTTCGGGCCAGTCGAAACACCAACCCAGATGAGAATATCATGGGAATATCATGGGAATATCATGGGAATATCATGAGAATATCATGAGAATATCATGGGAATATCATGGGAATATCATGAGAATATCATGGGAATATCATGGGAATATCATGAGAATACTGAGAAGGTTCATCGGAATATGGGGATATCTTGGGAATACCAACCATGGAACAATATGATTTGGATCCATGGAACTGGGAAGATCAGGGACCAAAGATTTGTCAAAACTAGGACCTATCGAAAAATGTGGTGACTTCACTGTGATATACAGAGATATAACGGGGATGATATTTCACCAACAAATTGTCATCCCGGAAGAAGCTGAAAGATCCTTTAAAGATAAAGGAATAGCATTCGGGAAACAAACAACGCATTTATGAAATCCAGTAGCCATTCACTTGAGTGGTGAACTAGTGACACTTTCCCATTGAGTGTCATGATTGCTGGGTGACTTGCTATGTTGTGAGCTGAAGTTGCCTGTTGACGTGTGTCCGGAACTCAAAGTTTCTCACTTCAAACCACAAAACCGTATGGCACACCCATTGTGCATCCACTTCCAATTTGCAAAACAGCATGGTAAAAAAGGCAAACAATTACAACATAACAAGTTTTGCATCTTTGCTGTATTTTGACGACAAGATCAAAAAATCAATAAGGATGAGTCAGTTCATGTCATGAGGTTATTGATCATTTGGCAATAAGGAACTAACTCCAGCACTAGACTAAAGGTACTAGTTGAGTACCATAGGGCACTAGTACTGACTGATCAGGCAGTTTAACCCTGTTTATGTCCCAATCGCTATGTCAATGAGTTAACAATAAGTGCCTAGTTATAACACAATCTCTTAGTTAATGATTGGTGAACTAACTAATTTCTTAACTAGCCACTTAATTAGTTAACTGTCCCTCCATGGCCAATCGAAATGTTTGCCCAGTTGGACTTCTGGCCCAGGTCACTCAGCAGATTGGCCTCATGAGCGCTTATGAGCTCTTAGAAAATTGAGAAAAAAATGGTGGCATGCTGCGCTGATGGGGTTGACCAATCAACAAAGGCCCGCACCAGGGGCGTTCACCAAGTGAGCTTCTGAGGTTTTGGTGGTTTATAACTATGTCTCCAATGAACACTACAGTTGTATCTGGCAAAAACAACAGTTACTGAAACTATATTTTACCGTTGTTTACCAACTTAGCTATCGTTTGGGGGCCTTCACCTTGTAGGGGAAATCCCTAACATTGGTTCTCGTTGGGTCTAAACATGGGGTAATATCATGGGGATATGAACCAGCAATAACTGGGCTTTTGAACACGGTTCAGTTGGCACTGAACCCAAGCAACCATGAAGCGGAAGATCACCAGCAGGAGGTTCAAGTTGTTTCAGCTAAGAAGTTTCTAGAGGCTTCCCCTGCAGCAAAGGTTGGCCTCCAAAATTGCAGAAGCACTGGCGATCGGTGAATTACTTGAAAATTAGGGGTCTGAAAGAATGCATGGAATGAAGGCTGAAGGCAGACTCTTGCAAGCGATTTCCGAAATCAAAAGCGGACTCCCCAAATTTGGATCAAATGGCAGCAAGACTTGCAGTGGAAGAATACACTTCCATGAAAGTCAAATAATCACTTGCAACTTGAAACAGTCAAAAGTACATCATAGTGTGGAAACAAGAAAGACTGCAAATCTCAAATCGGTGGATGGATACCTAGAATCTACAGTATCCTCTCCATGTTCTTATCTTCATCATGCGCAGCATGAATCATGAAGGTAAACCGAACCTCCCAGCCACCAAAACTCATCCAGACATTGTACTATCCGAATAATTACTAAACAACAAATGCACGACATATAAAAACATACTAATACATATTATATATATATTTATACATGAATCTACCGAATATCACACACCATTCAACCCATCCTTTCTCCGCACCTTTCTCTGCCATGGCGGAAGCACGTCGCAGTCAGCAGACAGCGCTGCTGGATGAAGAACACCTGGAACCATGGGCGCTATTCGCACGCAAGGCGCGCTGGAGGGGCCTTTATCCTTTATTCCTTGATGTGGTTATGGGTCAAAACCTTGGTACCTAGCAAATATGGTAGTATTTCTATGTAGTATTATGTAATAATAGGTTTTAACCCATAACCACGTAACCAAAATTGCATCTGGGGAATTAGTATGCAACTAATTGGGAATCGGGGTATTGTAGTGTCCATGAATAAGGGAAATGATGTCTTTATGGAACCTACCCTTTGGTGTACTCAAACATCGCGGGAAACCCCCGAACTGGTTGACACTCGCCGGAATCCCAATTAACCAATACTTGATGGGTGTCCTACATGAGTGTCTACATCAACCGAGGCAGACACAACAGCAATTAAAAGGGTAAGAATGTATGTGTATATCAATATCTGGTTTCTTTGTGACTGTGTGTGTATGTGTCTTTACATAATTACATATTTAAATATATTTAATACATATATATATATATAATTATATATAATTATATATAATTATATATAATTATATATAATTATATATATATCCTGTATATATATATATCCTGTATACATATATATATACACATGTAACTACGTATAATAATGAGTATAGTAAGTACATGCAGTTGGAACCGTCATCCTTGTCATCGAATCAACCCAATGACTTTCAAAGATCTCCCAGGAGCTAAAGCCCATGTGGGCCCTGGGATGGCCCATCGCTGTGAGCATGTTCCGTGGATCGAAGAGGGAGTAACTCCATGCTTACCCTCTAGACTAACTAACATGTGGACAACTGATGGGGAAAGCCCAGGGAAATGATCAAAGATTGGTTTTCCATGGTTTTCCACATCTATGTTAGTCTACAAATACATACAAATACTGCTTAATAGTCTATCCGGTGCTTATCAGGGAGGCACTTCCGAGCTACGGATATCCATATTTTTCAATGAGCCAAGGAGCTACTCATATAGTTCCCAACCCCATGATGCTAGCAGTTAACAATGGTTGCGAATGGTTAGGCATTGATATAAAATGATCTGCTCTCCAGTAAATGAACAAGATAATACATATGGATACATATGGGCCATATGGGAATCCATCCCATGGTTGTTTCCAGATGGAATGGTGGGTTTTCCATATCTATGTTAGTTGATTGGAGTGCAATCCAGTAAGCGGATATTCATTATCCTAATGTATCCATTCCGGATGCTCAATGTCTGGAAAATGATCAACCTTTGCTGCAACATGAAACACATGTAAGTAGATGTAGGTGCCCGGTTGCATTATATCCCCCCATATACATGTGCATAAGCCGACAACACAGTGAATACTCTATGCAAAACTGGTTCTCCACGATGTTACCTTGTGAAAAAAATAGGAAAACACAATAGTTTCTTGTGTGGTTATTCATTTTTGCGACATCGTGATGTCTAGGTGATGATATCTATAATATAGAATATATATATATAAATAATTATGTATATATTATGCCTCCACTGGTCCAGGGATGAGATTGTGGTTCCACCAGGACGAACAATGTTTGAGAAAGTCCAACCCGTGAAAACTTGCTGTTGTACTGTGTTTTGCAGTGTATTTATTTTGCTCTTTGACATGTTCATGATTGTTCATGCATCACATGGAATCGAGCATTGCCTTGCGGACATATTTTGAGTATGTCCGCGTAAGGTCAGCAATCCCTGATCATGTTCATTTGTGTAATCTTAGTCTAGTGAAATACAGGGGGTCCTAATCCAATCGGGTACCGAGATGCAGCATGCGTTATTCAACTTAGAAGTGGATAGACTTTTGTGAATGGTAAACTTCTGGGTTATTTTTGATATGTTTGTTTGTTGACATGTTAGGAACATACAATAGTGGACAGAAATAAAAATACGGTTCCTTGCATGGTATCTCAAATTTGTCATGAACATGAAATACCACTGAAACATGAAGACCGTCCGTCCGTCCATCCATTCTTCAATTTATTTGCAAGAATAAACCATCAATCAATAGTATTATGTAGTATTATGTAATAATATGTAATAATAGGTGTTAATCCATCAACAAACCATCAATCATCAATAGTTAATTTAAAGAGGACATAGCCTCTATGAGCAGATGGTTGTCCTTCACCAGTCAATCCCGTACTATGATCCCATACTATCACTAACCATCTAGTACTGTTCATCATTATTACTAACCATCCACTACGACCCATCTATACCCAACCACTTACTATTATAATAATTGCTACAAGCTGGCCCCCAGTTATAAGTTGTTTTTCATCCCCAATAATAACTCTATGTACTCGTAGTTATAATCCTAGTCGTGAAATTGGAGTTATGTCCGGCAACCAACTTAGCTATATTGTGGTCCCTACTTTGTATAACCACCATTTTTCCAGCTATGCTCGAGGTTTTGTCGTTTCGCCATGTTCTCCATGGACTCTGCCTGCGTGGGGCACTTGACGTCACGACCCTTGATGGCAACGGAACTCCACGAGGGCGGCGGCGTGGGGTCGGACGTCTCGGAGCCGGCGGTGACGCCGCCTGGATCGGCCTGGATCGGCCTGGTGGGTCGGGTGGGGTTTGGGTCAAAGATTTGGGGCTACACCAAGTCACCAAGTCACGTCATTTTTGATGGTGACAATTTGATCATGTTGGAGGTATCCTGTTTTCAGACAAACCTATTTGTTGTGAACGAAATGTTATATGGACACCGGTTTTTGACCCATAGCCAGTCGAGGACTCAGTTGGATGAATCTCCAAAGACTGAAACCTGTTTTTTTAGTGTTATGACGGGTCAAACCAGCTGGTGAAATCACAACTACTTGGGGATAAATTTGGCCGTGGAATCACTGTCCAGTTCTGAAAACATGAATTCGTTCATGGGCCAAAGCGCCAAAGCACGCCGGCAGGGGTCTAAACTGAAACACACCGCGAGATATACCGATATTAAGCGGACTGAAAATCAATTGGCAAAATATGTGGCCATTTCAAGCACCATTTTGGCTGGTCAAGTCAAATCAGTTTCTTCGTTGAATCCCTTTCATTGTATATTGTTGCTGGGTTTTGGACATTCAGCATCACTTGTTACCAATGATTTGTCGGACATTTCCGAGGATATCCCTTGGTTTTCTACATGTTCTTCAGGTGTTCGCCCGCCCCAATGGCTGCCCCACAACGTAGTTTGCGCCCAGGTATCCCGTGCCCACCCTGCTGAGCGGTTACGAGATGCCCAACGCTTATCCCACCACCCTGGCCATCACATCGCTGGAGAGTCTACAAAACGGCACCGAGATCTACACCTCACGTGGCGCGGCTTCGCGTTTTGGGGTGGAGAAAGGGTAGAAATTGAGTTTGGAGATATATATATATATAACTTAATATGATATTTTATATAAGTATCGTATGGATTCATATGGGATTTAAAATGCATTTACTAGACAAACATGTGTACCTAAGCAAGGAAAACAGAGGATTACCATCTAAAATGGGGAAGTGATGAAAAACATTGGAAAACCATACATGGATGTTTATTCATTAACCAACAACAGTGGTGATATATATATATAATGCTGATCTGGTTGTGGGTAGTAATCCAACATAATCCAACCATCTATGTGGGTCCACTCCGAAGTCCATGGAAGGATTGGGTCCATATTTTCGGTTGAATCCTCCAGAGTATCACCAATATGGGATTGGCATGGATTGGCCAGAAATGGTGACCCGAACATTGCAGTTGTAAGGGGGAAATCTGGGGAAGTGCAACCTACATGGTGCCCTTCACTGGGGGATTGAGACTTCGGGACAAGCTGTTGTGAGATTTGCCCTTTTTGTAGTGCCAAATTGCTGTGTCCTCTTGTTCGCAGCATTGGTTTTTTGAGGAAATTTGCACCAAATCCCTTTGTTTTTGAGGGTCAAAGCCGGTTTCCGATGTTCCCAACCAATCCATTGAGGACAATATTTGGCTGCCTCCAGTCTGTCTGAATCTCGACTGCAGCCAGCAATAAGATGTGTTTTTTTTCGGGGCTTAGTGGTGCAAGAAATCTGCCATTGCTGGTTGGGAGCATGGGTTCATGGCAATTCCGGTTCAGTTGTTTGATTTATAGTATCATAGTGACATTTGGACATTTGGATACATTTGGGTTGATTAGAAAAGTGATCCGAAAGAGATTAACATGGAAAACTGTTGCTTGGCGGCTTCCCGTATTTTCAGAATGCCACCCGACAGGATATGGTGACGAATTTCTTGACCACACCGTTGCTGGCCATGTGTTTCGGCCTCAACCCGTGGCTTGTTCTGCAGAACCCATGGACTTCCCTATAGTCACCACATCGGATTGCGCCACTGATTCCAGGGACATTTTCTGAACGTGTTCCTTAGACACATTGGCTAAACATTGGCTCCTCATGTTTGTTTTTCATGATGTTATTACGTTAGTTTGCAAAGATATCACCACTCTGCGGCATTTGACTTTAGCTCATGTTTCAAATGGATATATGATATATATATATATATTATATAAATATGTAAATAATATATATATATATATGCATATACGCACACATACATATATATATATATATAGTATATACATGATATTGTGGTTTATGTAGTTTCTTTCCACTTTTTGTGGTCTTATTGCACATGTTGAGGCTGATCGCCCAATCCTATGGCTCTGGAAACTTCCACATGGTTGGTACGTGGCTCAAGCCACTCGGACAGCTGAAAACTGGCGCGGAGCGGGGCTGTAAGTGATTGGTAAATGGGCCTATAACGCATTTAAGTTTTATTTATACATGGGATATCATGGGATAACATCATGCATACTGTACTCCACTTGGGGTTAGTAATTATTGTGTAACCGTGTAACCATAGTTAGTTAAACACCATTTATAGATGGGATAATCCACTGAATGGGGACTTATGATCAGGTGTCCTTCATGATTACTTTAACAGCCACTGGCTGGTCTTTTTGGTGGTAAACTGGTAGATCGACTGATGTTTGATTGAGTGAATCACCCAGTCATTGCTGACTGCCAAGCTCTGGTGGGTTTATGATCCGTGTCCAATGGGAGAATCATGCTACTTTTGATGCTTAACCAGGCTGTATTTTTCAAGACTTCCCATTTCAAAGTGAACTTTCAGTGGAGAGGTTATTTGGTTTAACTTCATATTTTAAAACACATTGCTTAGAAACCCTTCAACCCTGACCTCTTACAGACTCGCAGACTCCCTTCCGATGCGGGGTTCCCACGGACCGTGACGCGACCTCAAGGCTGGCTCTCTTTTGCGTCACCTTGGGGACCATTCCCTTCATCACGGGTTTCTTTTTTGTGGATCAGATCTTAGGGGCCTTCCACTTCAAACCTGAGGCGTGGCATGGCCATGTTGCGGTAGTGGATGGTGGTTTTTGCTCCATGTAACCTCCATGAATGATAGATAATTAATTCATATTGGGGTTGTAGAATGCAATAAACCAACTTAGCGATCACCACCTTGTACAGTAAGTGGTTCAGAACTCCTGGATTTTGAGGGTACCCAGGGTACACAATTTTCAGACAAACCCAACAATGATCAATGAGAACGTACAGAAGACATGTCTTTCAAGTTTGGCCATTAGCCACTATAAATATATGAAATATTATGAAATTGTCGGTGACACATGTGAATCTGATTAATATTGATGAAAGTTGTGGTTTCACGTGTGTCTTCTAGGTTCTAATCCATACCTGTTATCCACATATGCTTGCAATTGAATATGACTAGTTTTGAGGGTTTTGCCCCTACTTGGGGGTGCAAACCAGTTCGGAAGTTGGTTTATAACATTGAATCATTATATTTATATCAGAACCCGGTTATATATATATATACATACATATATCATATATATATATATACATTATATCCCCAGTTAGATTCCCAGTCCTGCATCAATTTCATGCCTAGCAGGTGTGTTTCCTCGCCGGGGTCTATGCTCGGCTCCTTCCCCGCAGGGAAACCACTATTTGAAAGCAGTGATCTATTGGGATTCTAATGGGCATCTATATGATTATATGGGATTTATATGTGCATATATAGATATATTACAAGGTATATTACATTATAATTACATGATATTGGTGATTGAATAGGAAACTTGAAATTTGCCCAATTTTGCTGAGTCGATTATTTTTGAGAATACTTTTCCACTAGGAAATCCAATACTTAGAAAATCTATATGGCATATGTCTGTATTTTTTGGAAGGCTTCCTCAAGCAAATACAAGGATTGAAGTGGTTGAAGTGATTCAACAATGTTGAAACGACCATGAATCGCGGGTTGACACTAAGTAACATGCTATTGTGACTGAATCCCTTATTGGAAAATCAACCAATATATGATGGACGAATCATGACAAATCTGGAAAAATATTCCGGGGTCTTGCCCAGCCAAGTGATGTGGTTGGTGGTTTGGTATCCTTAACCGCCACCACCAACAACAACACCAGCAACAACACCAGCAACAACAGCAACATGTGTTACATTATGTTATATGCTGTAGGTGTTTTTTAAATCAACATTTGGATATCTCTAGCCAATAGAATTGATTGTATGTGTTCAAGCGTTAATGAGGCAAAAAAAAGTCCTTTGTGTTCAATCCTAGCTTAGAAGATAACTTCCAATTAGCCAGTTTTGTATTGGCTGAAAGCACCACACTAGTTCAATCTACTGAGTGGCCAGAGCACTTCCATTGATCGTGGTGCCAAGGTACAATGCCATTTGGGTTATTCCCAATTCCTGGTATGTGAGCATGAGGGTCTACTTCCAGGCCCAAGGTGCGGGAACCATTTCATGGAGGTATTGTGGGATGTCTTGGGGTATCATGGGATATGGGTTATAGAACCAACAATATCAGATGGGTTTGTATCAAAATTGGGATTGGCATCAAATTTAGGGCCATCAAATGCGGAAAAAATGACCGTTTCAAAGTTTCAACATGTTTCAACCATCAAAATGATCACATACCCTCTTAGACAAACCCATGTGATGAACCAGGCAGTGCCAGTTCTGGTCCGCCGTGGGTCTAATCCAGCATATGATTTTTCATCTGAATCACTCCCTCCAGCAATCCAACTTGGGAATGTGAAAAGTTCCCCATGGTTTATGAACATATATGAAGCACAATGAACATGGACCACAAATAGAGCGTAACTGGCATAACTATCTGAAGAAACAGCTAGTTTCCATTGCCAGATTGCCAGATTGCCAGGCAAGGCCCGGCCCGCCATGTATTTTGGCCTCATTTTTCTGGTCGTCAACGCGTTCCTTGGCGCCAGGTCAGGTCTGGGTGCAGCAACTCAGCCCCCAGCAGATGGGTGTGTTTGAAAATGGGGGAGATCCCAACATAGCCATTGGAATAGGGAAACTCATGATAAACAGTGATAAACCATCAAGAACTTTGGTTTTTTTCACCCAAAATTGTCATAAATTGGCAGAAACCAAGGGTATGGTCAGCCTATGTCAATCTATTTCATGCAGATGGAGATCATGCTGGGAAAGTTGAGAGCTTCCCCTGGATCGCTTTTCCAGCTGGATTTGTCCATCCCCTTGGCCCCTTTTTTTTGGCGCCATGTGGTGACACGGCCCAGGTTGTTCTTATGGCTCTTGGTCTTTGGAGGACCTCAAGGGACGCTCTTTCGCGCAGCTTGGTCGATGTGAATGACACGCTCGTTCCTTTTGTTCATCATTGGATTGGTTTAAGGCAGTTTAAGGGACATGTTATAGTAAAGCCCCACACTTCTTGGAGTTGCTGGTTGGTGGTTTGGAACATTGTTTTTTTCCCCATATATTGGGAATGTCATCATCCCAACTGACGAACTCCATCATTTTTCAGAGGGGTAGGTCAACCACCAACAAGGTTGTTGTTTAATGATGTTCGTTCCCTTTTTATCAACAAATCATTCCGGTGACTTCAACGATTGGTAGCCACAAGGTAGCGGGACGAGCCCTGGATGTTGGTAGCCGCCACGATTGGATCCGAAAAAACGGTGCCATGATTGGATCAATCCCAGCAATGGATCCAAAGATCTTGGTTTCTTGGTGAAATTCCCCTACTGTTCTATGTATATATATATATATGTGTGTTCTTTTGTTTTTTTATCATACCCAGATCATGTTTATTGTTTATACATCCAATGTAATCCAATATAAATCTGTTCATTTTATTGCTTAGATCTCCATTTGTTGGATCCATCCCACTTCTGGGATCAATCCCAGATGAACATGTCTACCTCTATATCCATATATCCATAATATCTATATCTATATATTTGTGTGTATTTATGATATGGTATATACACATATCAATATCCATATGTATCCATACATTTATCCCAATGTTTGGTAGCTAAATCCCTTTTGGACCAATCCCAGGTAGGCGGTTTGGGTTTCATCGGTGCAGCATTGAGCATCAGCGCCTCGCGCATTGCGCAGAGTTTCTTCTACTGGGTGCAGCTTGGAGCGAGGCTGAGACGAAGGTGTTATGTTAACAAAAGAGGGGAGGTGCAAAGATTATGACAGCAGTGGGATTATATGGGATTATCTTAATCTGGGCAACCCAATGCCATAAACCTACAATTGGGGAATGGTTTTGTTCGCACCCATAAAAATGGTGATGTATTACAAAACAATTATGGGGATTCCATCATAGTATTATGTAGTCCTGTCATTCCTGGGGTTTGTACCAGTACAAGCAGTGGGGATGCAACCAGCAAGCATGAGATATTGAAGAGTGATTTTGGATCCATATCAATAAATATCAGTAGATATTGTGAATATATATATATAATATATATATATATGTATAATATATGCATTAGGATTGTTAATTGAAGCATGTTGAACCTAATGTTCCATGATTAATCATATGTTTTGCCACATTGATCATTGAACTTACCATAAATTCCTATAAATTCACCATTTTCAGAGATGCCCAGGTACATGTTCTTGCTCAAGAAGGAGCCCCCTCAAGGGGGATGGTCGGTTTCCATGGGGAACCCCCCTGGTTTTCACATCCATGGCAGACCATCGATCAGTGTATTTCTGACCCTGTATATACTTGAAGTCGGAAATGGTTGATTATGGCAGATATATCAGATATATCAGATAGCATTTATCAAGATTTAATGGCATTTAATGGAAATACCATGGTAATAATGGGATTACCCTCTGGTTATTTCAAGAGTCTTTTGGGCGCAAGTCTTCCAAAACGAGATCTCATGTCAGATCAATCAGTGCAGTGAACCCATCCCGGAGAATTTGAATCTCACCGTAGAATACATATACATATATATATGATACTCCTATATACTATTATGTAATTATGTTGTTTTTCTACTGACATGAATCCCATCGGAATAGTTGAAATGGGACTAATCATAAGACAAATCTGGGGTTGACATCAACAAAACACATGAAAAAGGCCAGAAAAAGATAGTGTGTCTCCATTTTCTCCATTTGAACATGGATGTTGTGTTGGACAACCGGACTTTTTTTCTCTAGGAGCATCACAAGACATGGCCTGGCATGTCCTGTGACTTTCTCCAGAGGAAGCTTGGTGGAGACCGAGCAGAGACGAACGAAAAAGTGGGGAACGAATCTTTTGCCAATTGCAAGGCTTCAACCATCATCTATAATATCTGTAATATATATATATGTATGAATGTATGATATATGTGTATGATATATATATATATAATTATTATTATTAATATTTATTATTAATAATAATAATTAATGATAATAAATAATATATATATGTATGTATGTGTGTATGAATGTGTGATATATGTGTATGATATATATATAATTATTATTAATAATTATTATTATTAATAATAATTAATGATAATAAATAATATATATATATGTATATATGTATGAATGTATGATATATGTGTATGATATATATATATAATTATTAATAATTTTTATTAATAATAATAATTAATGATAATAAATAATAAATATATATATATATATATATGTATGTGTGTATGAATGTGTGATATATGTGTATGATATATATATATATATAATTATTAATAATTATTATTAATAATAATAATTAAGAATACTAATAATAATTAAGAATATATATATATATACTGTATACTGTATGTAAGTCCCACGCAAAAAAGAAGACACTCGCCGGGGTATCTCTACCAAATAGGTTTACATATCCATGTCTATCAGGTCTTTCATGGTAGGTTATATTGTTAAGCCCCACTAGATGCTTGAATAATGCTGGGAAACCATAAATAAATAGTCCAGTAGTGGGTTGTACTTCGAAACATAACTGGGATCTTTGGCTGCAGCTACAGTTTGGATGATCCTTATCATCCAAGGTTTACTGTATCTAAATGAAGGTTACCCCAAAAAATGGTTTGTCCTGGATTATATATAGTTGATCGTGATAAATTGTCCCATTAAAATCATCAGCTTTGGGATATATTATGATATATTTCATAAAATCCAATGTGTTTTTTCCCCCAAGCCCCAGCCAAATGCTGATCATCACATATCATTACCATTGATCATCATGTTCCACATTAAAACTCATGAACATCATCATGTGCAGGCATAAGTTCCACCCAAATTTGTGGCCGCCATTTTTTGGTCAGGAAATATGTGAAGCCCTACTTCAACCAGGTGCTTCCTCAGGTCGCCACCATGATTCTTCAGCCACCTGAGCTCAGATTGGGCATGGGATCCATGGCCGGGTGTGTAACCAAACAACATCGGATTTGTTTGACCTATGGTTTATTTAAAAAAAATGCAGAAAAGGTTCACGATTTTTACTTGTCCATTTTCTTGGGTCCCTATACACTAAAATGCATGAGTATACATATATACGTATATATATAAACATCAGATATCATATATTGTTGTATATTCCTTTCATCCTAAAATATGTTACTTCCCGAGAATGAAGTATGAAGGAATCCATTAAATTGCAACCGGGCTTCATAAGTGGGAGTATGACAATGTTGGGAGGCCCAGGCAAAGAGAGCTGAGGTTTCTTCAGCCTCGTCATACCATACTTCGATGCAGAAGGGCCATGTTGGATTCATTTGGGCTGTGATAAATAAAAAATCAGAAGAAACAAGTTCCCCTAGTTACATCCCATTAGAGTTTAAACTGAATTTGGTTTATATAATTTCTACATTTGTAGACAAAGCATGACAAACCCAAACGGACCCTATGTTTGGTGAACTCCCCGGTCAACTAATCAGACCTAAATACACCATCTAAACCTGGTTTAACCATTCAATCCTCAAACGTTAGCGCAAAAAACATCAATCTATAACCCATCAACATCCCAAAAAGTGATGGTTGTGGGCCAGTCTCCCTATAGAAGGTCTACAGTTTGTGGATCTGAGTTTGTTCCCAGCTTCAACTTTGGGGCAGTTCCAAATTGTGAGTGGATATTCCCAGTTATGAGCCACTTACCAACTGGGATGCACATCCAAGTAGGAAATTGCTATTTCATCCTCGTTTCAAGTTTCAACAGGAAGGCCCATCCCAATTATGAGTTAGTTTACTATGTTTTTAGTCCCACTTATACAATTGCAGATACTAACTTGACTCACTTCACTTGGCTAACTGTTGGGTTTATGTGGTACACGTATGTGACTAGAGTATTCATGGGCCCAACAGACACAAACCCATGGGGCCCCCCTGGGGCCACGGCCAACCCCAGGTTTTTGATCAGCCAATCCACCACGCTCTTGGTCGGCACCTTGGGCGTGCTGCAAGTCGCTGCCAGCACTGCTGCTACATCAGCTACCGTGCCCATCACGCATCCTGGCCGATTTAGGTTGGGCCTTTATGGCGACACATGATGACACAATAACTGGGGCCCCCCAGTTATAAGCTGGTTTATAACCTCCTAAACCCTATTGACATTGGAGTTGTGTTCACCAACTTCGCTTGGGTCCCAGCGTGGAATCCGTTGCGCCCCCCCCATCGTCCGGTTGTCCCAGGATTTGTTTGCTCATCACGTTCTCCTCACTGACGGCCATTCGCGTGGGCATGAAGTTGGGACAAGGCCATTCGCAGGCCCGCCTGGTGCGGGGCGAGTCGCTGAAGTTCTCACCTCTGGGGATAGTCGCGAGGTTCTTCAACCAACAAAAGATAGGGAGTTATGTTGATTTAAACATGGGAATGTGATGGATAGGTCGCCAATGTAACTGGCTCCGAATATAGTTTATTTTCAATCATAGACATGGGATGATCCCCAATGTCGAGATATTTTTCAGGGGAGCTGAACCACCCACCAGACCTTGACTTTTCCTACGTGTAAGGAGAGGAGATAGGCAACTGTTGAGAAGCCACCGTCAGCCGATGGAGACTTTCTATGAGTTCAACAAACGTCCTCTTGTCATCCGCTGCTCCTACCGAAAACAGAGAACTGCGGAAACCTGGAAGCCTTGGTTGGGTACAAGTTGCCCTCCGGCGATGTTTTTGTTTAGTGAAATCCATTAACTCTACGTAGTTTTATCATGTTTTATCCCTGATGAACCCTAGTTGACCAAGTTAATTCTAAGTCACCTTAGCTAGGGAGCCCCGCCGTGTGAACAACTTTATGTTTGCATCTGAGATCAGCTGCCAGGACGCCTGCCGCACCGCATGGCTATGCCTTTTGTGTCAAGCTGCACTCACCGTTCCTCGGACGCAATTTCTATGCTCGAATAAGGTGTGTATGTGCTGTATGTGTCACAATTTTCACTCACAGATTCGGTCCTTCATGGTTACCCTCCGGTGATTAGAAAAAATGTTTTTTTTTTGCTTGAACATCCACCATTTATGGACGATTCCCCTATTTAAAATGCCTATTCATAGAGGGTTTGGCCACTGACATCGCTGCCGGGATTTGCTTCCAGATGCGTGAGTTGAGCCTATGTGTGCTCCAAGCAGGTATGCCTCAGGTTTTTCGTTGTTTTAATTGGATGCTTTCCCTCCTTTGGTTTGAAAACATGTAACATATGTTATTCAAGATCATGAACAAGACAGCTCTATTTATTTTGGAGTGCTGTAGGCACTTTTAGAATACTAGCTAGCAAAGATACATAATCTATAAGTGTGCAAAGCATTATAAGCCTATCTCAGAGACTTGTACTTATAGATACTTTGGGATCGGATAATCACACTCTCACAATGTATGCACTGAGAGATTTTGACATATGTAGATCATGAATAATCACGATCAATATATATATATATATACGTTCGATTCCTGGGACGCGATCTGACAAATGGGTAAGTCTCATCTCATGAAAATTTACCCACATGCCATGGCAATTCCCAATGGGGAGCATATCAGTGGGATTCAGTGGGTATATGTCCTGATATATATATATATAATATAATACACATAATAATATATATATATATATCTAATTATAATATCAACACATATATATATATATATGCATCTACATTTGCACAAACATCTCAATCATAGTCTTTAATTATCATATATTGTCATGAATCTAATATACAAACTATAGAATACAAGCAATAATTTCTAGCAACAGCATACATGAAGTCTCATTATCTACTGCCGTGAGACAGTATCTATCCCGGTTGCAGTCCCAAGGCCGTCTTTGGCGCCATTGTGCTGCCGCTCCGTAAAGAGCTCATGGCCTTTATGACCAACGACCCCGACGCTGGGCGCAACGATGCGGTTAACGCCACCGTTGCCGCAAACACAAAATGGCGTCCAGGGTAAACTTCGATGTTTATCATGATGTGTATCTACATAATATGTATATATATATATGCACATGTATGCTTATCTACATATACATATATATATTATGTATATTATGTATATTATATATATATATATATATATTATATATTATATATATACACCTACAACTAACCACGCCGGAGCTCGTCTAGATTTCACGGCAGGTTGAGTTGTTCCACTGGACCGCTTCATTGCAGATTCATGCTCCCACGTTGAAGTTCAGCAAGAAAACATACTCAGGTAGTTCAACAATTGGCTTCGGAACTTTTGATTCCAATCGCGCCTTGTCTTTGTACCGGGGCGATGGAACTGACAGATCTGACAGGCCAGACTCTTCGAGTGGCGGAATTGTAAACAATGTAAGCTCGCAGAGGAATATTACTTTTTTTGAATTTGACATCACTAAAAAATAAAAACATATGACAAACTTGGAAGATGAGTGAAAACTTAATGTTCAATTCCCCGGCAAATCATTGTTCCTAGATACTTTGAAATATGCAAGAATTCTTCGTTTCAGGATTCATCGTCTGCAATTTGGGAAAACCAAAAGGTTAAATGTACATATATGTCAAGATATGTGTATAGTGTTGTTCACTCAACTTCAGATTATTCTTCAGGTTTTCCAACGTTTTCTCAACGTCCCTCATTGTTTTTCCCCCGCCGAGGTGCTGAATTTCCTCTTCGCCGGGGTCGTCAGCAGCGCCAACGGCGGCATCTTGGCGTCCCAAGGACGGACCTCGCTGAGTGCCAAGATGGCGACTCGGTGCAGCACGGGCGATGAATGTATAAACATATATTGACTATATAAATAAATATATTATATATATAGATAGATTGTATATATATATATATATATAGAACATAGTTAGGATGAATATATCAACATATATTTTAACATGAATATTGATATATTTTGATAGTGAACATGAGTATATTAACATATATTGACTATAGGATACTATAGGTATATGATTGTAGATGTTCCCCATGTTCTATAGTGATTTGAGGCGATTCAGAATATCTAACATAGCTTCAAAATGGGTATAGCCAATGATCTGGTGGTATCGAAGATGATATGATTGTTTGACGTTGGTCAGGGGCGGTTTCTTTTGAGACTTGGGTTGAGGAAACTTGTTGAAAGGAAAGAAACATATGGATATACAGAAGCAATAGAAGTGGAATCAAAGGTGATGGAGTGGACATCTTTACAGCAACTATACTAAGAATTTGAGCGACAAATTGAAGGTGGGATTGCCTGCGATGCATGTCCAGCAATCCGCGCTAAATGCAACGAAGCCTTCTTGCCTTTTCCCAACTCGTTGCAAGCCGTGGCTATACGGCGCCCCAGAAGAGCCATGGTGATTTCACAACAATATTTTGAGAGGATTTTGTCCCATAAGACTAATAAGAAGTCCCTCTTAGATACTTGCGTGCGCACAGTCAGAGACATGTTCACTCTAATGCGCAAAAAAAAACGACCTCTAATTTGGCAACAGCCATGATGTACAAACATCGTTTGCATTATATCTGTTCTTGCATGTTCCGGCACGTTTGCTTATGCAGTCCCTATGTTTCGTTCGGCCACAATTTGATCACCACAACTCAGCCCAAAGCATTATATTTTATTGATTTTTTACCTGGATTTACCTTGTTCCTAAGACTCTGAGTAGAAATGACCAGCAAGTCACATGACATCAAATTTGAGGGAAGATCTTGGACTCGAGACTCGAGCAGTGTTTTTGCAAGGCCAGTAGGTTGAGGATAAGTACACCAATACCAACCAATGATTTCTGGTTGGTGGTTTCAAACATTTATTTATTCCATCATATATGGGATAATCCTTCCCATTGACTAATATTTTTCAAGATAGTTAAAACCACCAACCAGTTTTCGTTTAAAGTTTAAAGATTGTCCACCTGGATTTGCGGATGCTTCACCAGGTTTCTGTGGACCTGCTGGGAATGTGTGCCCTACTCCGCTTCTTCCAGCAACTATCGTTAGTTCATGTTAGTTCACCCGTTTATAGTTGCAACTATAGATTATAATGATAATGTATTAATATATATATATATATGTATATTTCTTACGTTATTAACATATGTATATATATATATTGATATATAATAATTGATAATCAATTTCTGTAAGCCATTTAGTTTCACCCATTAGGATCGTAAACCGTGGCGAGTAAAAGCCAGCCCTTGAGGTGATGTTCTTCGAGCTGCCGTTTTTGCTCGGGAGCATCTCAGCCTCTGGGACCGAAACGGCGAGACGCCGTGGCAGTAGACACATGACCATAATTTTGTGTGGAATTTGGTGGCCATATCCTCTATTGGTAATATGATGTAATTATATGATGACATATAAAAACAATAGGATTTTATAATGATTTAATCTGATTTAATGGGATATGAATGGGAGATACCCTCTGGTTATGTCAAAATAGCTATTGAATCCATGGCCATAGAAATAGTGCATTTTCCCAGCTAAAAATGGTGGATCTTTCCATAGTTATGTACACATTTACCAGAGGGTAAGATGAGATAAGATCAGACAAAAGATGAGAAAAGATGAGATAAGAAAAGATATGTTTGATTGTTTTCGATGTTAAAACTCTTCACAATTCATTGGAGGTGGCATAGCAACAAGCTTGTATGGAGGGATTGGTCATTTAAATTGAATAACTTAGTTTTGTTGTCTGTGAGTGAAAACACATCTGACTCCCAGTGAATTAATTATACAACAATTTATCCAGAACCATTTGATCTATCTATTTGTCTATCTATCTATCTACGTATCTATCTATCTATCCATCCATCCATCCATCCATCTATCTACCATAGCTATATCAAATTGCCATGTTCGGTATTTGTTGATGCAAGAACCATACATAGATACGGAATGCCAATATCTACTGGTAAAAACTAAACTCATCATACTACAACCATACTATATCCCATTGACTTAATCATACTAAAACAATCTAAAACATACTTAAAACATCTTAAAACCGAACCCGAACTGAGGTTTTAGTGTTGGTGTTCCGAGCAGATGTGCACATTGTCTACTGGGTGTCTCTCGCCTCTACCCGAGTTTCACCAGTGGAGAGGGGGAGCGGATGTGCGGATGTTCAACGGCCGTGGAACATCGTTCTAAGGCTGTTGAACATGTATCGGACATGGCATGAACATACCCAAATTGTTCAGTGGCTGCAGTTTCTTAAATTTAAATCCGTAATATCGGTGGGATTACCGATATTGAGACTGAGATTGATTGAGACCCCAACTTGCATGTTTGTGATGGGAATCAATCACCTGGTATGTTTGAACCTTCAAAAACTAATGATTTGTGTCCTCTAAATAACAGCATATTTGGAGTACCAAAATTGATTTCAAAGTTTTCTTCAAAACCATGATCGATATGATCAATCATGAAATGGCGGATGTTCAGGTTATTTATTGTTGTTTCTTGAACCTCAGCCATTTCATGCTGGCGTACAAAATAGTAAATGTATACACAATTACTTTTGCATTTGTCATTTCATGTTGGCCATAATTCGTATTTTAGGTTTATGTACATATACCCTGATGGTCAAGTACAAGCCCTGCAGTTGCTGAAAGCTACCACTATTATCCCAAGTTTCCTCTGGCACACCGCAGCTCTGTCGTTTTGATGTGTTGCTCGGAGGTTCTCAAACTGGGTATAGCGTTGTGTAATTATATATAAGAACGTAGAAGATATCATAGCGATGTTAGGTTCATTCATAGTTTTGCTGAAAATGAATCGACATTTGAGGTCTCAAACAAACAACATAGTACAGAGCCCATAGAATCACAAAATCTACATAGACGCCATCGGCTAGTTCTGGTTTGGAAAACATGCAAGGTACTGTACCCGACGCTATCCCAATCGCCTTCGGATCCACAGTATTTGAATAATTATATAGATATGGTAAGGAATAATACAGTGTAATACATACCTGGTTGGTGGTTTCATTGTTTTTTTTCCATATATTGGGAATAGTAACCCCAACTGACGAATATTTTTCAGAGGGGTTGAAACCACCAACCAGATACAGATTACCAAGAAAATCGCACTGACTTATTACGCTCATTTTACCCCTTGGTTAGTTGTGGATTATTCACTAATACAGAGGGGAAAATGCGTTATTTGACTTGCAGGGTTAGATATCATTTTGTAATGATTTAGGGGCCGGACCTTCTAACTCCAACTTTCGGGATGTGCATCCCTTGCATCGAACCTCGATCACAAGAAAAGGTTATCTCTCTCCTATAGGTAACTGAAGAAACTAGCCATGATTTCTGTATATATATAGATCACTCACATTCACTCACAATTACTGCTCACATTTTGCTGTTTCAAGGCAAGCACTGGTGACCCTCATTGAATGCTTTGTGATTCTGATCATCGTCAAGCAGAGCGATTGGCCAAAGTATGCCGAGTTGCTCGTCTGGCTGGCAAGCTGGGTAAGGACAATGGTCATAATTATTCCGGACCTCCAAATCTTGCTTAACGTGTATCAATTGCAATTATATATTATATTAGAAAAAATAGATTATATAGATATCTTTTGATATCAATTCATGAAATATCAAACCATGATATAATACATGTACTTTTACATGTTACCAACGGCATTCAATGGCTACGCATGATGAATCATGATGGTCTTTGGTTTGATGTGGGATGGTCACTAGGGCACCAAGCTTTCGACCCCACAGTTTGAGTACAGCTAAGTCGGTTCATGTCGCTTCGTTGATGGAGCAATGCTTAAAAATTGGGCAGTAGTCAGTAGTTCAGCTTTCATTGCAATGACCAAGAAGGCTGCCGGTCCAAACAGGATTAAAAACAAAGAGGCATGAGAAGGATACTCACGTTGGGAGCTCTTCTTGGGATGAAGCGATACATGTTCTAATCCCAGATGCGGTCCATTAATTGAACAACACATCGTTCCTCATTGCACTTCGCCCATTTATCTATGGATCATCCTCCATGTCTCTTGGGAGATCCACAACAAGACTCATTTGAGACAACTTGCGTAGTCCATCATAGCTGATACATTCATTCTCACTGGCCAACGTCACCATGGAAATTGTTGCTAAAGGGAACGGGTGGAACTAAGATCCTTGGGAAATGTGAAGATAGATTGCGGGATCATGAGCATCAATGAGCAGTGAATGCTAGTTTTTCATGTTCGGGAAAGCTATGGCTTATGATTTGATCAACAATCAGTATATCAATAGATTGGAGGGAAATCTAGAGGAAACCATGGTTCTTACTGGTTTTTACCATCAAATATAGGGGTTTTCAGGTTTCCATTTTCCTGTAAAATTGCCCTTAATTAAACCAATCCAATGACTATAAGACTTAAAGATTGAGATCAATATAATTACTGTATGTTATTTTGATTTTTCAGCCATATTTGAAAATATTTGGCACATGGATCTTTTGCTTTTGACTTTAGTTGCAGCAAAAATCCTTTTAAGTCCCTAACTCTGCCCAATGTGGGCTTATCTGAAAATAAGCTACCTTGACACAATTTCAATTCAATGATTTTTCATGCTTTATCATCCTTTGAAAGGTAGTTTCCCCATCTTCAGACAAACGTGCTGCGGACTTTAGTTACTGTAAATCTCGTACTTTGACAGGTTATTCCGATGATATGATGATACAAAAAGCCCTCTTTTGATGGTCAAATTATCTTTCTGTTACAATTGTCAGTTAATACCACCACCCACAAGTTTTTTCCCATCATTGAAATCACCACATATTGTTGCTTGTGTGTATAATATAGTATATATATCGGGAAAACGTGTTTGGTCGCCCCAATGCAGTTGAACACGAACATTATTAGGGGGCTTGTGAAACGTGCGCAACTTCTGTGAAACGTGCACAACTGCTGGGAAACGTGCACAACATCTCTGAAACATGCACATATAGAATACTTGAAAGCACTGGGTGGGGGCGGTGAAACACGTTATGCCAATATATATAAAATGTCACAAAATGGCTGGTTAAGCCCCGAGGCCCCATCAAGTTGTGTAGATATATTATATCCCATGAACTATCACCATGAAATGCTATGGCTGGGAGCTATAATATCGCATTCAATATCCAATTATCTACCATTTTCCTGATTAGCCACCATGTTCGGACACATCAATTCCATCATTTGACTGTTGACAATATGATAAAAACGACCCCGGGCACCAACGGTAAAATCCTAGGTGGGGCCCCTAGAACTATGGGTTGTTGTAGATATATGATATATGTCTATATGATGTTTTTTTTAAAACCAACCTACAGTTAGCAACTGGATTATAACCCCTTAACTTGGAATATCCTCTATATACGTATATATATATATTTATATACGCAGTGTACACATAGCACTGGGGTATTTCATTTGGTTATACACGACACGGATCCTAAGTGGCCTGCAAATTGCCCAAGGGAAGCCCGCGCGCGGAATCGCCCTGCCACTGAGCCGGCGGAAGCTCAGGAGGGGACGAAGGGAGGTGGAGACTGTGTTTTTTTTTATGTTGTTTTTTTTTGGGGGGTGATCTGAGGTGATTTATATGTAGTGTTTTCCAGTGATTTATGGTGATTTATGGTTTCTAGATGTTTCTAGTCATTTATGGTGATTGATAGTGATTTGTGGTGATTTCCAGTGATTTATGGTGATTGATAGTGATTTTAAGTGATTTATGGTGATTGATAGTGATTTGTGGTCATTTGCACGAGGGATCTAAGATAGTTATTGACCTCCATGCATGGTATATGTACATTCACTTGGATTATTTGAGGGTAAATGTTCGAACGTATTCGATACGTATTCATCAAGAGGGGTATATTGACGTGAACCATTCATAGGACCTATGGCACTATGGTTTAAGATTGTGTATTTGCAAGGGCTCGTGGGTATCATCCAAATCCTGGGAAAAATGCTATTGGACTGTATATGTGCACAAAAATCCCCGATCCCACATGGATCCGTGTTTTTTGAAACCAATAGTCCCTCCGACTTGGGATCATTGCGATTACAGCTTCAGTGACAATAGAAGGTCTTTTGCTGACCACTTAGCCTAACATCACGTAATGTTTGTGACGTGCCAAGATATGCCAAGATTCCAGCCAGTGCGTCCATCCGATTTTTGAGTTCAGAGATGGGTTTAGCAGTTTTTGCAGGTACCGTCCAGTAAACGAACATAGCTATGGAAATCATGTGAAATCCATTGCTTTCCCGAAGTGAAATCTACATGGTGGATGTTCCACCTGTTTCATCATTTTTCTGTATATTCCAGCTGTTTGTTCACCCACTTATTCAATACGGGGAATGCTGCGTTCATCCCTTCCGGCTGAGGCCGAGGCTCAGGAGACTGACCCCTAAAAGGTGCGTTGATCTCCGATCTTTCGCGGTCGTTGGACCTGCCATGCTTCGCATATCTTTCGGCGACCCGGTGGGGAGGTGATAAAGTAAAGCATCCTGACAAAAACATCCAGCTGTTGAAGCACGTGTCACTGGCAACCGAAATCGGTACTTACATGGAGAAATATCATGACATATCACGAATATCCCATGGTTCTTGTCCTTTTCAGGAGCAGTTTTTGATGTTGATAAGACCATTGGTTCAACACAGTCGTTCCAGTCTGAATATTCAACTGGAGCACATCCACTGACATCCCCACTGAGCCATGGAAAATCACCATGCTATTAATAGGTAAACCATCTATGGGCCATCTATACCATGGCTATGTTAAATAACCAGAGGGTACCATTTTCTTCACAGAAGGATCAACGTAAACGATGCAATGATTTGCCGAAGCTGCACTGACTGTTTCTGAGCATAGTCAGGCCTCCCACCGCAACAGCCCCCACCATTGAAGGACAGGAATGATGGAAATGAATGGTGGCAGCGCAAATTGGCTGCATATCACCCCCATCTCCCGGTGTTTCAAGGGCTGTTTGTTACACCATTTAAAGGACAGTTGAACAGTGCCCGAAACCACGAGATGTTTGAACAGTTTCCATGGGATTGTAGGGTTCCGGGTTGTAGATAGGATATTAGATGACATTGGTATACTAAAGTTACTATACTTTGTATATGCTTAGTGTACTATACTTTGTATATGCTTGTAGAATCTTGTAGAATCTTGTAGATACTAGGACGAAGTGATTTCACCGGAATGATGCCGTCCAATTTGAGAGCGTATGAATCAACCAGCTCAGTAAGGGATGAAGGTGACACTGCACACTTCGAACTCCCGGCACTCCCGGCGAGATATGTTCATTCTGAACATGTGAGGGCTTAATGGCTTAATGTTGTAACTTCAGCTTGAAAAGTGAATTATATTGTGTTTTTTTCTTTAGGTTTTTTTTATAGGTTGTTGCCTCCTTTCAAGTGGAATTCACCTCACAGTGATCCCACATCCCCATCACCAGGGGTGTCAAGGATCTGCAGGCAATGGATCGCTGCCACCATCCGAAGCCGCAGCGGCGATGCGTTGTACGTGCTGCTGACCGTTTCCGAAAGCATGCAATCGAAGAGATCCATTTCGTAGACAAAGATCTCATATGGAGGTTTCCTAAAATAGGGATACCCCCAAGTCATCCATTTTAGATGGGGATTTTCCATCATAAACGGTCCATTTTTGGGTACCCCAATTCATGGAAACCCCCATATCCTACATTGCAAACATAGATTTGCTAAAGCCGTGTTTTGTTTCTCTTAGGCACAAGTGTTTTACAATGCACCAAGAAACGGGCTGCTGTTAGTACCCGTTAGAAGTCTGCGTTGCCCATTTGCTCAAGCATGTGGTGCTTTTCAGAACACTACTGGCTGGTGGTTTCATACAGTTGTTAGTAAGGGTCCTATTGGGAACCCCCAAACAAGTGAGCGCTACTATTTACCAAAAATAAACATATATATATCATAACTATAACATATCCAAATCATTCCAAATCGGTTTGTTGGCCATGTTGAATTTGACTGTTTTGAGGCTACAGGCTACATATATATATATAATATATATATATACACATGTATTTTTTGTGGATATCCCAACCACCATTCATATTTCTTTTGAACAGTTGATACTACCAACCAAGCAACAGTGGAAGTTGTGAGCCCGTTGAAAAGGTCGCTCCTGCGCTTCGCCAGACATGTAGCTTCACTCAAAAGCAGAAGTCTTGGACTTGGGATTTCGTTGTACCATTGACTTTCCACAACACCATACAACACCTGTTTCCTAACCATTGCGAATACATTAAGAGTATATAATTTTCCCACTTCGGGCTCGAAATCGCCACATTACTCCCTCACATATTGGACTTCTGTTCACAGGTTGCGCAAGTATAGCAAACTGTGGCAGGCATTCTCACTTACGGAGATGCCCCATGCTGGAATATTTTAGCACCATTTACAGTACCCCAGAAATTGCCAATTTTTGTAGGTAAAAAGACCAGCACTATCCAGCACTTGCCTTTGGCTGAAACAGCTTCCAAAAATGAAATCAGACAATAACCCTAAGATAAGATAACATAAACAACACATAGAAACACATAAGAAATTACCACTGCAGGTTCGGACTTTCAGGCTTCGTCAAAAGTACGCCTGAGGTAGAGACGCACTACCGGGAGATGGACTCCAGTTTCTCTCCTCAGATGCTGATCCACCTCAGGCGCGCCTTAGCATCACATCTCACCACGTGCTGTCCACCTTCCAAACATGATGGTCACCATCCACAATCTTTTGTTAGGGAAACTTCACCACCATCTAAACCAAAGATGGTGTTTTTCCCATTGTTTCCCCAGGGTGACCGATGGTGGTGAAGTTTCCCGTTTCCAAAACACCGTTTGCCCAGCTCGACTCGAGGCGACCAACACTTGTGTCACTTGAAGCACCCGCAGGTCCGGATGTCACGACTTGGGATTTGAACCAAAAATGGGAACTCAAAATTGAACCAAAACTACAGAAAATTGAACTCCAACGAGTCCTATAATGTTTGGGTATGTTTGACATGGGCTCAGTTCAGATTGCCGTTGTCAAACTTTAGAGGCTCACTTAACAGAGTGATTCCACATGCCGGGAAGACAAGCCATGTGTCCTGAATGGCTGATGCAGGTGGATTGTCGATCCTGACTTGGAATTTGGCGGCCATCAACAACAATCCTTTTGAGTTCGGATGCCCGAGACATCGAGACCGGGTGTTCCTCCGTTGAAGGGAAGCGATCATGGTATATGGGTTATTTGATTGCGACATGTGAAACCAAAAGTCTCAGAGCTTTTCAAACCGTTGAAGATTCGATTCAGACAGGGCATGTTTATTTTTCGGCATCTAAATTGACACCACATTGACCAGGCATGTGGGTCCTGGTAGCTGGTAGTGAGTTGATGTAGTTTCTAAAGGAGTAGTGGACACGGCTGGAAAGTCCCTTCCGATGATCATTCCATTGAAACCAGAGTTTATTTTCAATGCCAGCTTGATGTAGGCAAGAGGATATTAACTCAAGCAATTAAATGACCATCATGTAGTTCTGGTTACATGTGTTGTGCTTACGTTATCATAGTGGATTATATTGTTATATGACCATGTATCTTGATTGTGGCGACACGGGTATCCACACAGTATAAACATGTAAACTATAACAACCTATAGTCGACTATATACATGTTTATACATATGATATTCCAGTATTCCAGAACATGCACATATGCAAGAGTTGCGCATCTCATGCTTCTCATTGGCCACATCCAGGTTATACCTTAACAGCTCCACCGCCCTCAAAACACGCTCGATGGCTTCCAGGTATTGGATCAGCCACTCTGATGCAGCCTACGCCAAGCTGATGGATCAGGTCAGTGTGTAGCAGACTGCCGAGATTTGTTGGGATATAAGCGACAGAAATAGATGGATTTATAGACCAAGGGTCTCTAGTAAGGTGGTTATAGATGGGCCAATCCAAATTGTTTGTTTCTTGCTTTTAGTTGCATTACCATTTCCAGATATGGTTGAAATCTTTAGGAAGCTGCCATCATTGGACGAGGAAGACAAACTTGTGGTTTCGTTTACTACAACGATCATAGTTTTCCGATATGTCCTAAGGACTTTTGCGGCTTGCCCCATAGTTAGAGGGATCGAAGGGTGTTGTTGATTTTTTGATTTTCTTTGGGGCGCCAAACCCTGGCTTCTTGAGAATAATTGTGCAATTGCAATAATTAGTTCACTTCCAGATATTTGATCATGCAACGAATCTGCTAGTTAAATTCCATAGGTGCCACATGATCATATCTTGTCACATGCCACAAGGATGCGCAACCCTTACCAACCACCGCACATGCATTTGGCAGGTGGAGGCGTTTATCGATGATCCACAGGATCGAGATGTGATTTGGTTGCCACAGGGGTGCTGGTGACCGAGACAACTTGGGGTATACCATGGCCAACAAAATAAGGATTAAATGATTAACCCTTTTTTTTATTAACAATATAATACATGGGGTATAAATATATAAAATATACAGCTATAAGCACTTGGGATATGCCATGGAAATGCTTTAGTTTCATTTTCCAGCATTATTCTTGAATCGTAGCAACTGTGTCATGTTTTTTCACTAAGGGATTTGCATAGATGTCCCAGTGTCTTCTAAATCAGACTGTTTTAATGCTGGATGTTGCTGAGGCCTCTGTCAGCGCAGGACTAGTAGGGGTTAATGTTGGACGATGTTGGACGGGTAGTTTTGCAATGACGATTGTGCTTTTGCTTACATGGAGTACATCAACCTTTTTGAGCAAGGTTTCTAACATTGGTCATAAAATGTCATAAATAGGTTAACTATTCCTCTAGTTGTTGTTTGTATCAGCAGCATTGTTGGCGTTGTCATGACGATTCTTCGTGACATGTCATGTTCAAATTTGATTGGGTAGTTTTGCATTTTGTTGACAACATGTCCATGTTTTTGCTGAACATCCTTCGTATTCCTTTGTTTTCATTGCTCATGGTCAAGTTCCAAACGTGTTTCATAGGGGACGTGTATTTCCTTCGCATCCAAACCTTGAAGCCATGGAGATGTCCAGCGAACCTCATCGGAGAATTTCTCAGCCCAGTTGATTTTCAAGGTCCCGGTGGTGGATGTGTTCACCCCGGAACTTTTTGCAGAGCTCATACAGCAGATGAAGGCGGGGGATGACTCTACTGAAGTGATGGCAAATTATATGACTAAGTGGGTTTTGGCCTCGATTGAGGCCCTTAGAAGATCTTAGTGAGAGCAAGTATTGATCATCACTGGATATGATGGGCTAAGACTTTAAGAAATGATAAGAATGGGTTGTAATGGGATACAGCAATATTGATACCGTTACAACTGGGACATCAGTCGGAAGTTTGGGCTACACCTCCCAAAAGTTCACAGATTGGTGGCGGGAACTCGGTGCTGGCCGCAGGCCCTTGAATGGCAAGGCCTTGATTCTGTTGAAGAGCAGGGAACCCAGAAAGATCCCGTTGATGGTGGACGCATCACCAAGTACAGGGTGATTTATCAACTGTGGATATACCACTTAATGGATAAATTTATATTAAGGGCATCAAGGGTGTATACCACTTAATGGGTAAATTGATTATAAGATACTTCACTAATCAAACATGGCAATTGGAGCTCCCCTAGAAAAGGGGCATCTTAATGGGAGAATCATCTATATATGGGACATTTTCCGGCTAGCCATGTTTGTTTACCAGAGGATAATATGGGATATAGTGGATATTAATGGGATATCACCGACTTTGGGAAGGTTCACCAAATATCTTCAGGTCAACTGCTTGGTGTTTCCAACGGCTTATCATCCGCAGGTCGTCTGATTAAAAATTTTGGTGAGCTATGATAGATGTGGAAAACCCATGAAAACCCACGGTTTCCAATGATCCAGAAATGCTGGGTTTCTACATCTATGTTAAACGTAGTGACTACAGGAGAGTACATCAAATGCTGTACGGAAGATGACCCTGAGTCAGATTTTGAAAGATGATCCTGGATGTGTATTTAAGCAACTTTGTTTGGACCCCATTCTCGAAGTGTCAATAAGAGTACCTCTGGATTTTGCAATTTCGTTGTATCCTTTTCCGAATTGATCTTTTGCTCATCTCCACCTGGTTTCAAGGCTGTACAGACAACTGATAAAGTCGTGCCTCGTTTTTGGGAATTACCAGAATTAGCTTGGGAAACGGTTAACGTAAAAGTCGTGCCTCGACCCTAAAACGCAAGCGAACTCTGACTTCAAAATAAGTTGTATTTTTGATCACCAACTTCCGATGACTGGATAGTACCATGGTGTTTGGTGGATTTTTGATATGTACGATTGCTTTGTGCTGCTGTGCACATTTGTCATGCATTCGAATGCCGGCATTTCGCCGCTGTTTCGTGTTCTGCCCATGTTCCAATCATTTGGATACCCGCTAGGTATGCGCTAGTTACTTTGCACATGCATGTTCAAAGATTTGTGTATGTGTTGCCGACTGCTTGTTATTTCAACATGGAAAAAAAACTAAGATGTAACACTTAGCGCCTTAAACCTAAAGATGTCTTAGTGAATTTCTGTGCTACTCAACCTCATTTTAGACCATTTTCCAATATGTTTAAGATTTTAAGGTTGTCGTTCAATTTTGCGAATTTGTACGTAATTTTACCCGCTAGATCCCCGCTAGCAATGCGCTAGCAAAAGTTGCAAAAAACGGCTTTGGCTGACCCATGACCCAGCCGCCGCCAGAGAACTTGTAGTTTATCCTTTCTGTTTCACAAAAGCAACAGTGCCAGCAAAGGCAACGACAAGCCTTGCAGCAGATGAACAATTCTTGAATATCCATGACTAATAACTAGCACACCCAGTCCATATAGACATGTGTTAGCATTTCCTGCAAGTTTTAGCTGCGGTTTCAAACATGAAAGATAAAATTCAATGTTTCAGACTATTTAGACAAGTCATAGTTTTTTTCAGACCAAACATGAAGCGGCAAGCCTGGAATCACGGTTTATCAACCAAAACAGACATTTTGACATTTCGACAAACCGTCATATACATAGATCATAGATATACTGGCTGGTGGTTTCAAACCTTTTTTATTTTCCATTTCATATATGATATATATGGGATAATTAATCCTTCCCATTGACTCAGATTTTTCAGAGGGGCGGGCTCAACCACCAAGCAGATGGGATCTGATAGTCACGATCCCACCAGGATGTGGAAGTCCATCCAGCAGCGGAAAATTGTCTCAGGGCTCCTCAAGGTGGCTAGTCAGAAGCGAATTTTTGAGCGGTCTACTACTATGATCTAAAATGGATGTATAAACCATTAAGGGTGATATCATGGGCATTTTTTTTCGGTGATCAATTACTATTGCTGGGATCTGATTTATAACAGTCTTTGGGTCTGTCTGAAGTTGGAGGGTACCCCTATAATCATTGCAATTTGAGGAGGGAAAATGGTGATCAAGCATTGGATGGAATGAGGTACCCTCTGGTAAACTAACATGACTATTGAAAATGGCCATTTATAGCTGATTTACCCATTAAAAATGGTGATGTTCCATAGTTATGTTAGTTTACCAGAGGGTATCATATGTTCAGACAAACCCATATAATGGGTGTGTAATGGCGTGGAATTGTACATAATGGGATACAATTGGAATAGAATGGGCATACTATGGCTGGTATCTTGACCCGCAATTGGACATACCCGATATATTTTTCATAAATACCTACACTGAATAGAAAGTAAAGATTTAGATTTAGATCCCAGGTGTTGGGCTGAACATGGACTAAGATATTGTAGCCCAGTGATGATCATGGGATTTTTATACCCCAGGCTCTGTAATTTATGTATATATATAATATAAGTGTAATTTTGCAGGTTATATTAGCTCCTCACGAACTGGGATGCATACGCAAGTGGATACCTTGAAGAGATGTAACATAGCATTTAGCAAGTGGAGAAAATGCATCAAATCACCATTCCGAGAAAAAAAAACAGTGCAAATGAATGGGAACATGTCCATTGCCAATTTAGATTACCACAGGGTAGATGATGTAGCTTGGCAGAGCTGCTCGCTTGCATTTCCCGTGGGTATACATTGATCCAGGCTTTTGATGTTGTATGAGATATGACTGAATATGGATCAATTCTGAATCCCTTCAGATATGTATGGTTTGACATTGACAGGTACATTTTCGAGGGTATGTCACTGTCACGGTATGGCCGGTTAAACCTGTGCTCTCCTCAAGTAACAAGAGTAGTGGTGGCAACTCTGGCACATCTGAGGGATTTTTGTCTGGCAATTTGATCTGGCAACTGTCATCCAATTTTTGCATGTCAAATAGTTTGCTCATTTTTGAATCATCTACAATTATAGCCCACCAGCTATAATTCAGTGAGTCACCCCATTTATGGAATGATAACCCCATTTACCCTCTGGTAGTGGCAATTGGACATCATCCATTTAGTTGGATGATTTTCCCATGAAGACTTGAATTCACGGAGGATTTTCCAGCCACGGTTGATAACCAGAGGGTATAACTGATAAATAAACATCTTTGAATATCTTTGAACTCATTCAACTGGCTGTTTCATGATGTTCAATCTTGGAACTATAAATATACAACTGATAAAGGGCCACGGTGCATCCTAAAGCACCCAGCCATCCCTCGTTCCACGCTGTCAGGACAAAGACCTTGGAGCCAAGAGGCTGATGTCGATGCCAGCACAGGGACCCAAGCACTGGGTTTTCGTATGTTTTTCGTGGGAAAAACCATGGGCAAAACCATCATCATCATCAGCATCAGCATGATCATCCCCTATGTTCATGGAGGTTTATAGCTGTTTTTAAAAACAGCAAGAAAATCTCCGTTCAGTTCGGGGATTTCCATGGATTTCCTAGCCAGCCATATTTAAGAGTACCGGAGGGTATCATAGTTTTCTCATTCACGTGACCATTTAGGCTACACCTGCATTCTCAGACACACTCACATGCAATCAAGACAGCTCAAAACCATGTCACGAAAGGTAGCGTCAGCTACCTGAGTTCTCCGTGCTTCAGCACAATCATAGGGGGTATTGGGGGGCCAGCCCGTGCAAAACGTAGACTTCTCGACGTTATGTATTAGATATCAATTATAAGGGGGCCCCCCCCCTCTAAAATGGTCATGGGTTCAATTCCCACGGGTGACGCGGTCACGGTCCGCCACAGTAGAGGCACACTCTCCATGAGGGAGATGTCCCTGTAGTCCAGCATAATTGGTTTGCTTCAGCCTCAATAACAGTTGCTACAAGGGGTCTTAAAAAGGAGGTTTTAATAAACCCCTTTTCGTGCATCATTTCACGCTGCACAAGACACCGTATCATGCAGTCATGCTCTGGATAAAATCATCTTAGACTGCGCAAAAAAGTTTTTGGTGTATCATCTTGACACCACTCCTCTCCCACTACACTACCTTTCGTCCGCCTCCGCCTGCTCTCAAGTTCTATCGGCAGCTCAAGGAATAGCAGCACGAGGACTTACTGTATATATGAGTGGCTATAACTCACCATGAACGACTGTGTGGTTGAGTTCTTGCTTACTCCAAATTAATGTAGCAAACTGATATCTGGTTGGTGGTTTCAAACATTTTTTATTGTTCATAATATCTGGGATAATCCTTCCCATTGACTAATATGTTTCAAGATGGTTAAAACCACCAACCAGATATACTCTCTGGTAATTTAAGAACATGCACCCTGGAAGATCTTTTTGGGTAAAGGATCACAACACAGCTATCCAACAAATATCCCAATGGTAAATTCATCGGGCATCCCAATGGGCATCTCCCAACCGTTTCCCGAAAAAAACATCGCGCTCAGGATCGCTTTACCAACACCATCAACTTAGCTTCAGGCATCTCCGATTTGTTCTGTTTCGATGAAGTGGTTTAAAATAAATTGACAGGAAACCATATGTAGAGGGCAAATTTAAATTATGATTGTGTTTAGATAACAGAAACTCTGAAAAAGACGATTTGCTGCAAACCTACACTTGCTATTCAAAATCAAAGCTCCCGGAGCCACTGCCCGCACACAGCGCACAGCACAGAAAGGGACTTGCACACGGTGGAAGGTCCAGTTTCAAAGACAGTGATATTGTGTGGAAGATAAGATGTTTTAATAATCTTCAATACATGTCATTGATCATATGAAAATATGGTACTCCCCAATTCCAATGGCTCGCTCACTTCTCATTGGATATCTCATATTCTCTCCATCGAATTGGGAGCAGGTGCTATGGCCTTCAGACCTACAGTGATCAACCACTGTTCGAGCAAGCCGGAGTGCCCATCTCGAGGAGGGAAGTGTGAATAACCCGCAAAAGAAAAACATGGAGAAAGTTCTATTTCTCATTAGTTCGCCAGACATTTACCTTTTCAGTAGTTTTTTGGTGTATGCATATATATATATATTTATACATATCCCTTTAACCAACCAGAACTAGCTGAAATACTGGAGATACAATCGGTTTGCAAAGGATTTTTCGTGTACACACACACACGCATATATATATATATATATACATTTATGATATGTATTACAGACTTTAAGCATCATGATCATGGTGGGAATCATGTCCATCATACTCGCGTGTGTATCATACGTATATCTAGTATACTATGTATATATTTATATAATTATTTATGTATGATTATATGATTATATATATATATACATGTGATAATATATATATACACAGAAATGTAACATATATATATATGCATGCATTATTCATATTTATACATATACATTATATATATATATACATGATATATATATATATATATGTATGTATGCATGATATATATATATACATGGTACATACATGGTACATACATACATACATACATACATACATACATACATACATACATACATACATACATACATACATACATACATACATACATACATACATACATACACACATACACACATACACACATACACACATACACACATACACACATACACATAATATATGTATATATATATACATATGCAATATTTATATGTACATGACAATGACATTCATATTGTGTTCCGCTATCTAGTGCCATCTCTCGTACTTCGCTGTCCTTTTCCGCGCAAAAAGCAGGCTCTCCTCAGTGGCGGAATGGTGGCCGCAGTGGCGGCGCTTCATGTTTGAGGTGGCCGCATTTTGGGATGGGCGGGTTTCCCTTCTATCCATTGGGATTGATTTATCCATTGATTATTAGGATAAATTCATAGGTGGCCGATTTTTGGGATAGTCATGCCCCCCTTTTAATCAATGGATAAATCAATGGATAAGGATAGGAAAACATGGTTGGACGGTTCATTTATGAAGTACCATGGTTTTGTAATGGACTAATTGGGTAAACCACTCATCCATGGATTGGTCTTGTTATGTCTTGTTGGGAAGATCCAAACTGGAAACCATGAATTTTCCCTTGACATCTGGGTGGGTTCCTGTCATTGTTCCTTTAAACCAATCCACTGAGTTACCCTCTGGCAAACGTTTACATAACTATGGAAAGATCCACCGGTTTTAATGGGTAAATTCACTATTTCTATGGCCATTTTCCAGTTCGCAAACTGTGGCTGTTTACCAGAGGGTAACACCAATCCGTAGGAGATGGGATTGGTCATGTCCCGGAATTGGTTCAAGGGACAATTGACCGGAAACCTTTCTATTTGGGGTTTGGGGATCTTGGGGTTAAAAACCTAGAACTTCAAACGGGGGATCCCCAAAACCCTGGGTTTCAAAACTTGTGTAATTTCGAATCATTTGCGGTACCCCAACAATTTTGGGAGATATAAATCGTCCCCCTGATCAGCCAGGGTTTACATTCATAATTTGTGCTTGAAATTGCTGCTGCTTCAGTTCTTTTCAATTTTCATCAAATTTTGGTAACCTAAACTACTGATGCTGGAACCGAAACCAAAACTGAATAGGTAAGTTATAGTGAGTTGATCTGATTGGCCTGAAACCATGAATGGTACACTTTTGCACCAAGGCTTTCAAAGCCATTGAAATATTTTTTTGGGGGGAGAGGATATATATAAATCATTTGCAAAGGGTCCATTTGTTCATAGCTACGTTAGATAGCCACATGGTAATTTTAAGTTGGTTGTGTTCTTGTTCAGACAGGGCCTTTTCGAGACAGGTGGTGCTGGGTCAGAGGTGCAACCGCTACTGTGTAAAGGTTATGATAGTCCTTCAGAAATTTCCAAGTTTAAGTAGATTGTCAATTCTAGTTCTCCAAAACCACTACACCACCATTTATGGTTCAGAGAGATAGACAATGAATAAACCAATACATATTTTGTTTGATGTATAGACAACAGAAATACATACGTACATACGTACATGTGTCTATATGTATGACTGGGTCAGAGTTGGAATATGTTTCTTGCCCACCTATCACCTACAATAAGCCAATAAACTATTCCTCACCGTGCAGCAGGAAGAGCTGGAGTTGAAAACTGGCAAGAACGGAGACACAAAGAGGACGCCGCGTGAGTCGCCACGTGAGTCACATCTCATTCCCATGGCTGGGCAGAATTTTCGGGGTTTCACCGAGAAAAAATGCGATTTCAATGGGATTTCATCAACAAGTTGGTGCCCCCGATCTTGAGCTAAGCTAGGTTAGTTCAGTAGGTTGACTCGATTTTTTTTTGTTGAAATACAAGTGGATTAATAAATCAAACAGACCACGAGAAAAACACCAGCTGGTTTTTACCAGAATCCGGGCTGCCCGAGGGTGAACCAACTGGATGGGCACCCCCGAAGGGGACAGATCTAAGAAACTATAAATGGAAACATATTCAATACTAAGCGAATAAATGCGAACAATATAATTTGGAGAATATCTAAGATGGAAAAGTCTTCTGAAACATTAGGTAAACTGATGGATCCAAGGGGTGAATGCTTTGTAAATGGCGGCAACACGAACACAATGTGAAATTTGTGTGTGTTTTTTTTCCAGTGCCAATAAACATGGAGGGATATCTCATATCATATCAGACAAAGAGTAGTGCTATACACATATACCTGGACCCTCCAAGTACCTGAAAAATAGGCCACGACCAAGATACTCATTATTATTTTTTGTTCCTGTTTTTCTCGGTACTAGAGGGTCTGGGTGTATGCAATCATGAATTCATTGAAGACGTGTGGTTTTTGAGGTTTGCCATCAGGCTGTAATTTTATATTATTTTGATTTATATATTATATATATACAGATGCATCACTAGCGTTGTTGATAGTCTACTATGATTATCATTCCTATTATTTGTATTTATTTATACAGATAGTCATATATATATATAATTATATAGTAATATTAATATTCTACAGTATATATTTCTATTTATTTATCACTTCAATGATATCACGGGAGGTGACAGCGTCCCATATCACTTCAGTAACATATTACATGTCCCATATCACGGGAGGTGACAGCGTCTCAATTTGCCTGTTTTGTCAGAGCTACATGGATATGTGTTGCCTGCTGAAACTGTCAGGATCCGGCCCTGCCAGATGCTTTCAACGATCAAGAAGGTCAGTGGTCGAAAGTGGTTTCGGAGCGTATCGACCCAGGTTTGGGTTCCAAAGGTTGTTACCCGCCATACCAACTGTACATCCGAGCAGAGACTCGTAATGACTCATGTTACCCTGTCATGGATTCTCAGTGCTTTGGTTGGCCCCAAGAAGCCCTGCACAGAGGTGTTCCCAGCCGCAGGCCAAATATCCGGCCATCTCGGAGGTGGAAGAGGTGCGCTTCGCAGCCCAGTGGATCCATTGGAACCCCAACGTATCCCAGAATGGCAACGAAAATGGGGAACCCTATATACATCCCGATATCTGGAGGGTAATTCAGGTCACAAGTATGGGAAAGTTCACCAACAAGTTATAGATCACTACAAGAAATATGATATACTTGTATAAGATATGTGGAATTCTGTGGAATATATATATATATATTATACACATATATATATATATTATATGGTATATAATGATATACTGTGAAGTACAAAGCCTTGCTTTCTGCCAGGCGGTGTCTATCCCTTTGCAGTGCCTTTGCCTAGCTCTTTTCGATGCAGTGCTGGTGCACATGCTGCAGGTGCGGTGTCTATCCCTATCCAGGCCATGAGGACTTGTTAAGGGCTTATCAACTACCCTCTGGTAATTTAACTTAGCTATTGAAAATGGCCATTAATAGTGGATTTTCCCATTAAAAATGGTGATTGGCTTACCCTCTGGTAAACTAACATAGCTATGGAAAATGACCATTTCTAATGGGAGAACTCACTATAAATGGTGATTTTTCAGTTCGCTATGTTAGTTTACCAGAGGGTATCAACTACCAACAACCACGTTTTAGTTCAGGGCGAAACTTAAGCATCTATTAGATTGGAGGGCTCACCGGACCGAGAGTTGAATTTTTGTGAATGTTGAGCGACTCAGCCTCTACTGCTTGTGAAGAGTTCTACAGTGATGGGGCTCCCAGACAGTGCGTGTTTTTTTTCCTGTTCTTGAAGATCTTCCAGTAAAAACGGATAAAAATGGTTTATTAAAAACTCATGATTACAACTTGTCAACTTCTGACAATCCCAGCAAGAAGTCCAACACTTTGTTTCGAAAAAGAGGCACTTGAATTTAGAGCGGTGTCCACCTTTTGAGACACCAAACAGCATGCATGAATGAACCCCCAAACACCGTCCCCCAAAAAGAAAAACATGCCAGGCTTCCAAAAGACTTACTTCTTTGTAGGTCAGGTGATTCTGACTAAGTTGGATAGGCGTTCTGTAGGTTTATCCCACGGTCCCCCGGTGATTCTCGAACCTTGTAAGCCTGTCCCTACGAAAGCGGCTTTTCAGGTGTTGTCTCCTGACGGCCACTGGCAAGACATCAAAGCTTCCATTTGTGAGGCGCCAAAGCACGGCTTTTTGCGCGGGGATCATCCCATGGGCGATTCCGCTTGGGGATTTGAACCAGCGATTCCGCTTGGGGATGAATGGATGGTTTTTTACCATCTGGGTATGTGTTGCAGTGGGCTATGGTAGTATAGATGGCACATAGTTAAATAGGTGATAGTGATAAAGACGCTTAAACATTGTGGTTTTCCATAGCGGAGGGGAATCATCCAAGTTGCATAAATGACATGTTGTCAGGTTGGAGATTTACTAGAATTCAGCCAGGATATGTTCATCACATTCCACAACTGACATCAGCCAGGTGACCGGTCAGTCGTAGATATGTCGATGATCAACGTGTGAATGCAGCTGCAGTCTGAACTGCCCGTAGTTCCCCGGTCTCGACAGAGGGGTACCAGCACAGAATACCATGTCTCGATGCCAGGCGACCTTCAGAAAAAAGAACCGCTTGACTTTCAGGATACTGCAAAGTTATAGCGTCTTGGATTGCATCCCATAGGATCCATGGTGCTGGTATATATACTAACATAAAGGGGGTATATTGATGGTAAATGATGGGATCCATGTTACTATATATAGCAGCATCATGGATCCTATGGGCATGGCTGTTGCAATCTTTTCATGTTCTGTTCTGGTTGGCCAGCTTCATGTCGTGGCCGTCGTTGTTTCAAAGAGCCAATCTCGGGAATCAACCCCCTGAATTCCCGATGGGCAAGAAAATGCAAGAAACGCAGCAATCCAGTTCTAGTGTAATTCTTTTGATTGGGATAGTGTATCTACTCTAGCATACTCTAGCAAAATGTCAATTTTAATTAAGATATTGACATATCATGAAATATCATGAACTATTGGGGTTACCTTGACTTCATAGAAACCCGTTAGTTGTGTGATGAGGTGCGAGGGATTTCCTGGAACATGCCAAAGAAAGCAAGCTATGATAAGCCAACTCCTCCAATATTCTGAGCAATTAAAATCCCTGTTTGTTGATGATTAGTTCAGGGCTTCTACAAGGCCCAATCTATTTTTTGGGTAATACTATACTATATCTGAATATTATATACTACGTATGTATATATATATATACATAGATATTGGGGATTACTATACTCGAATATCTGAATCCCGTTTACGTAGCAAGGGTCATGATCCTGAGATGTCGACGCCGTCAACGACTAAGGCGAGGCTACGGTGATTTGCTTGCAGGAAGCATCTGTAACTTGACAAATCAAGGTCAAGGGGTGATGTTTTTGGCTGGATAATGTGCTAAACTCAATGTCATAGAATATAATAAACCTCTAATAATAATAATAATAATAATAATATATATAGTTTTTATATATACATAATATTGTTACTATATATACATGTATAATTATGGATGTAGTTTATGTTGTTGGGTTTACTATGGGTTTTCCACATTATTTGGGATTCCCACTGGTAGCTTTGTGGACAAAGTGGATGATTTCCACTTGATGATCCAAAAAGGTGCGGACTTCACGAGCGTTGGGCAGACAGCTGGCCCAGGTTTACTATGGTTTACTGTGTTAATTGATATTCATTCTTTAAGTGAACATTGAATAATCAAGATAAAATAAGTTCCCTAATTTCACGGAATAAGAAGTAATAAGAAGTCACCAAGTCACCTTTATTGGACCTCTCAAAAGGACTTTTCCAGTTTGGAGGTGGAACAGACCTACCCTCCATTCACTGGCTGTGCATCAGACATGTCAACGATGCTTCATGCGTTAAAGTTGCGGGGTAAAAACACAATTTGACATGTCAGTTTCACTCCTTTTTTCAAGGTGTATATATATATAGTTATATACGTATAATTATATGTGTTATATATATATACATATACATATGTATTTATATATAATTATATATATATGTGTGTATGTGTATATACAGTGTATATATATATGATGTGAATCAGTGAGGTGACTGATGATGATGATGATGATGATGATGATGATGATGATGGTGATTTACTGTAAATCATTTGGCTATGGTACATGATGGTCCCCCGAATGATCAAACTTGGGATCATTTTGGATTTCCCAGAATAATTTCGACGATCCCTGACATGAAATTCCGCTTTTCTGCCCGGGACCCAGGCAGCATTCCTCTTCAGCCTCCGCAACAGCACCTTGACGCGGACGCATCACGTGATCGCGCCAAGCAAGGCGCCAGGGAAGAGTTCTGGAGGACGTTTGGGATCAAAAAACAAATTGTGATTCAACTGGGGATACAACCATCGTGAAATGAGGGTAGCCAAATACGATCAAATAATTTCAACATTTGGGACCCCGATTCAGGAGTATATAGATGCAATCTAGAATTGGGGGAGTAAAGAAGCCATCCACAATTTGCGGTGTGTTTATATGTTTACTATTACTATTGGTAACATTGGGATGATGTAAACTGACCCTCCAAGTTGGTTACTGGGATGGTTTATTATTGGGTTTACCGTTTACCACATTATTGGTGTTCAGTTCCATCTTAGAAATTACTATCCTTTGCCCAGATTTGTTGGTGTTTTGAAGGACATCAAGCTGCGGATTGGCGAAATGGTGTGTACCTAGACCCTCCAAGCACCTAGACGGGGGAATATACTATACGCATGATGACTTGGACTTTTACCGTTCTTCTAGGTACTTGGGAGGGTGCAGGGGTCAAGGTTGAGGACACCTGGAAAGTCAAATACATGTCCCTCTCCCAGAAGCATTTATGTTGAACTTGGCTTGTCATCCCAGCCCCTGATATTAAACACACCCCATAAACCAGGCTTGAGATTTGGGATCATAGATTGGGGTGTTTTTGATATTAGGGGGATGGGACCTTGTACTTCTCTCTTGGCTTGAGGTGCTTCCATGCCTGTGGTGATTCTAATTCACGTTCATATCTAGGACAAGCCCTCTGGCCCAGGAAAGATCCCTTGGGTCGCACCAAAAATTGCTGAACTTGTTAGCATCAATTTTGTTACCGTCACTTTGGCCAGATTTGTTCCAGGCAATTCTTTGTTGCTCCTGAAGTATCCTGATGGTGAACACCCCACCGGAATCCCATTTTGATTGGTGAAAATCTTGTTCTTGCAGATTGACGAGCAGCGGGATCAGAACTCCGCCATTTTGCTCAGCAAGGGAAGCCCAGGGATGGCATTGCCATAGCTGGGTGAAGTGGAAGGGTGGCTTCGTGTAACTTCAGTGTTTGCTTTACATGGCTGGTATCCTGGTGAACCCCAAGATAGCTCAGATTGCCGGGTGTTCATCTCCCCCAAATCTGCTATTATATAGATGGTGCGATCCATTGTCAAATGCACAAGTATTGACCTACCTAAGTTTGACCAAGACAAAAGCCCTGTGCATCACTGTGCATCCCCGTCAATTTCGTGAATGGACAATTACCCATTGAGAGCTGGTTGGTGGTTTGGAACATGTTTTATTTTTCCATATATTGGGAATCGTCACCCCAACTGACTTTCATATTTTTCAGAGGGGTGGATCAACCACCAACCAGTATATATATATAATTATATATATATATATATCAACATGATATCCCCATCATAACCCAAACAAAGCATTTTCCTTGGAAATCTTCGCCAATAGGGTGATTATTGATTATCCTCAGAACTGGGGGAAAACCCATGGTCATGAACCGCCTACTAAGTGGAATGCACAGGATTGAACAACTAAATGAATCACAACTTGGGGACGTTTTTCGGAACCGTCAGGGGGATATGATATGAATTGATATGATATATAGCCACCCGGAAACAGGACTTATACCAGCCCCTTTTAGCCTGAAAAGTTTCCTCTGTCCGACTCGGAGAATCCGATTAAGTGCTCTCCGGGGACCTGAACATCGCCAAAGTCAGTTCCATTCATCATATTTAAAGTACCTCCGTATCAAGAAAGATCGGAAAGCACATTTTTTTCATCTATAACTGGTAAACCCTCTAACAGAGCGAAAATCACAAGTTTTAAAGGAAAATCCACTACAATTGGCCATGGATTCAATAGCAAACTGTTAAATTACCAGGTATATCCCATCCATATCCCGTTCATATCCCATTAAATCACTCTAAAATCTCATATGGGGATGGATCAATACCTATTAATACCATTTTTAGGGGGATGAACATCCATTTACCAGCTATTTTGATGTGAACTACAGGGGTACAAGGTTTTGACACACTGCCATATGCAAAGAAGACTCGCTATCTGGTAGTTGGTCGCAGATCTCTAGGAGAGCCCCGCCCAGGACGAGACGCCTTTCCCACGGGCTCCGAAGAGGCGTCCTGGCACCGGGCGAGGGATTTCGTATGGGAACTTAATGGTGATGTTTCCCAATGGGGCTATCATATAGATGTAATATGATATAATATGATATAATGGAATATAATGAACATCATCTTTGTTTGAGCAATTTGTTTGATTTGTGCGCTCTGTTGATTCCCCAAGTGGCAGGTTAGATGATGCGTATTGACACACACTGCTTACACTTGTTGGATGTTAAGAACTGAACGACATGTTTTACCGGTTTTCCTGTACAATTTCCTTGAAACCACATATGAGGTTTAAGGAAAGTTACTGGAAACCCCACGCAATTTGGGTAGTTAAAGGATATGCAGGATTGTGGTGGGCAAACATAGGGCAAACGCAGCGAACATAGCGAACATGTTAAGACACTTTCAAACCCTAACAAAAAGATACAAAAGGCCTCAGACCAAGAAAGTTACAGATTTTTTAGGCAATTTATGTATAGTTAAAACATGTTAAAACATGTTGAATCCATGTTAAAACATGTTCGCGCCAAACCCTACTTTCGCCCAGCTCCAAATAACACACGAAGACACTATTTCAAGATTTGTCACCAGAGGACATGGGGTCAAAACCAGCTATAACTTAGGGTACCATCCGGGTTACCATCGTTTTGACTCATAGCCACATGGAGGTGTCCTAAAATATGGGTGCCCCAAACTCTCAAAGCATTGGTTTTGCCATTGATCATAAGCAATCACTTGGACAACTTGGGGTACCCCCATGACTGGATGGAAACCTCCACATAGCCATAATATGTATGATATGATATTATATATGTATATATATATATTGTCAGAATATCATTGATCCTATACATATACATCACATGTGTATATATATGTATATATATATATATATATGTATATATACATCACATCCGTTTCCTGCAACCTTTCCCGGGAAACTCACAGGAGTTGACGGACTCGGTGATCTCCTGCTTGGAGGGTGTGGCTCTGGAGGCAGAAATGGGAGGATTTAACAAACCTGGCTCTGTTTGAATGGGATGTTCATGCCCATAGGATCCATGTATGGTGTATATGGTAACATTTACCATCAATATACCCCCAATGTTAGCATATATACCATACATGGATCCTATGGGATGGGAAAATTTAGAGGTTTCATGGAAAATGTCTAAAGTATATAGTATTTAATGGGAACATTGGGATTTAAAAACGCTTTTTAATAGGTCAGTTGGTGAACATAACAAAGCAAACTGTTGGATTTTAGGGTGAATCTATTGGTGGGGTTGTACATCCACGAACAGAATTGTAGAGCCCCTTCCTGTAGCAATATTGATTGCTTTCATGATGAACATATTTTTGGGGATTTCACCAAGAATGCGGATGTTCTTCCAAAAACATCTCAATGTTTGGAATTTATCCGAGAAAAAGTGATGTAGGCTGTAGGCAGGAAAAACTGTACATGATTAGTTTATAGGTGTATAATTTTATAAACATATGGATCTTGCAGCAAAAATGTGTTTCCCCAGCAAGGATTTAACCAAACAAAATAGGTTTAAATCGGCCAACATAGACCTCTTCATGAGCAGCACACTGCGAGTTTTACACAGCACACATTAAAGTTGTTTCAAAGCAAAACAGCGATATAAAAAAGGTTATCAAGAATTCAGAATTAGGAGTTAGAAAGGCAAAATGCGATCTTTTGATCAAAAGATGCGGATATTTACCAACCAAAGGTGCGTAATTAATATAATTCGACCAACAAATTGCAGATCAGTCGCGACCGTGACCCGACTCACCTATCCCCAAATGGATTGCCAGATATCGAGGGCAACATTATTTTGGATGGTTTTTCAATTATTGCACGTTGGGTGTCCAGACACATTCAATTCTGAATTTTGTCCAGCTAGATCCCAATGATCCCAAAAAAATGTGCTGATTGAGCTCACACATGTTGCTGACGAAATCGCGAATGGTTGCTGGCTGTATCTATATGTTTGCTGGTTGTATCTTGCCCAGATTATCCATGGTGCTGGAATATTTACCAACAATTACTAAACAAAATTTATCCTAAGTATCCCGGAATGTAGGTAAATACACTAGCACCACCATTTGTGTTGCGAATTGGGTTTCTGGTGGATAGGCTACTATATCCATAGCTCCCAAAAAGATAGAAAAGTCATTTATCACTATTTTATGAGGATTTTTACATACTATTCCATCTTTTTGGGGACTGCCGAAAAAGTTGGATGGGTTAACAAAGCTGCTTGGGGGTGAAGTTCCACTTAGAGGTGGATTAATATACCCATGAAATCCCATGAATAACCCCTTTTGCACCCCAAAGTAGTGGACATGTGATATGTGGATAGAATGTGATAGAATCTGATTGAATAGGGAATATCATGGGGATATAGATTTGATGATCATATTCCCAATTTCATTTAGAAGGGGCGGAGACCTTCCCTGCCTGTTCCCCAGGCGGGTGACCTTATAGCCATTCGTGCCAGCTGCTGGACGGCAGTGGATGGTTTTTAAATGGGGCGTTCAGCGGGAGGATTTTGGAAGGTGAGACTGGGGTAGGTTTGCATCAAAATATGACCGCACAATTCAATTCAGAAACAAAATCAGAGGTTTAACATCGTTTAACCCTGTTTACCCAAGGAAATATGCTTGTTTTTCCGCATCCAAACTAGGGGTAAACTAGTGGCATGGGCAATACGAACTAATCGTTTGCAATGGGGATATACTATTCTAACCAGCTAGAAAAAAATCTGCCACTTGGCAAGATACCTAAAATTGGCAATGAACAAGTGATAAGACACGCGTAGTTGGTTTATAGTCTGGATTACATGGTTAATATGGTTAAGTGGATGATGTTATTGATAATAATCCCAGTCGGAATTGTGGGACACAAGATTATATCGATGTAATGGCCTTCTGGCTGGCCGTTTCTTGCTGTTTTTTGACTCCTATCCCTTGGATGATGACCCTGATTATGATCAACCTGCAACCAGCTTGATTAATTTTAGGGATGTCATGGCCTTCATAGTTGGCACTTTTTGTGGGATGCACTGCTGACTTCAGAGATCGTCCCAGCTGTCTTGCACGCTCCTTGAGTGGCCAAACCGAAAGGGAATCAACAGGAATCCAGCGTAGGGATGACATTTTTCTATTTTGGCTTCATGTCATTTTCGTTTCATATGTGTGTGTGTGTGTGTGTGTCATTTGTTCGGAATCTTATTTGGAAATAATTCAGTCATCTGAAATTGAGGGTGGTGGGCCTCTATTGTGAAAAGTGTTTTCCCAGCCGGAAAAAATGGGGTAAAAAAAATCACAACACCTTTCTCACCATTTTTTGGGTAAAGCTGTTGCAATTACTTTTGAAAGCCATATATCCATTTCGAATCCTTGTCAAACTCCAACTAAAACCCAGCACCCAGACAATTTTTCACGGGGGTAGCCCACGACTGACCAATTGATCTTCAATAGTAGGTTTGTTTTGGGGGGTTGGCATTTTGTCCTACTTTTTCTTGGCTGGAAATGTTCATACCTTCTTTTTGGTATAGCTATTGCAAGCTACTTAGTTTTCTTCTTGAAATCCTTAGTAATCCTTATGTACATGTTTATGAGGTTTAAAGGGAAACTCAATTCAAAGTAACTATATAGATTGAATTCACTTGCCCTCCCTTACTTTTTCTCGGATTTTGGTTTAGGTTACAAAAGCCTATATGCAAAAAAGTTAAAAGCAGATTGATATGAATTAAAATCCTTACTTACCCTTAGATTTCTTTTGGGCTATAAAGGAAAATGAATTGAACACAATTATATGAATTATTATGAATTAAAATCCTTACGTATCCTTAGATCTATTTTAGACTAAAAAGAAAAATTAATTGAAAGTAGATGGATATGAACTGAGATCCTCAGATCTTTCTTAGGTTTAAACATAAAATCAAGTAGATTCAAATGAATTGAACTCCTTACGAATACTTAGATGTTTGTTTACTTAAAAAAAAGAAAATCAATTGAAAATATATTCGCATCAATTGACATCTTTACTTAAGTTGATCATCCTGAGTTCCGCAGACCTGGTCTCAAGATTTTGTTTGAATTATAGAGTAGTATACCTTAACTGTTTGGGGGGAGCGTACACTAATCATCGTCCAACATCGGCATGTTTGTATTTATAAATGGTTTGAGTGTTAGGGGTAATTCAGGTAATTCCTCTTACAGAGAGTTCCAAATTAACATTCTCCATAGATGCTAGCGTCTGTGGAAGAGATGAGATTTGCAGCCGTCATGTTTGTTTACCAGAAGTTAACCTGCCAAGTATCTTCGAATGAGTTCATGGCTGCTCACACCCAGCTGTAAGCCAAAATTCGAGGCCAAAATTGAGGTACACCTCGAGTAAGTTGGATGGTTACAAGGTGGTGCCACAATTGGCAAAGCTGGTGTATAAATAGATATGATATGTATCTATTATATTGTTTTTCTCTATATTCATGTATGCTATCAATGTTTATTTATCATTATTTATCTACCTATATATATATATATGTATATATAAGTCTATACAATAGTAGATGTAAATATGTAGGTTATTTATACACAGTTATAAACCAACTTATAACGGGGATCCCCACCTTGTGATCCTAGAAGTTATGGCTCCTTTTTCGTCCAAAACGCATGTCCTCTCAGTGGTTTCGGCCAGTTACCTTCCAATGTTGTGGCAATGGGACAGGGTCCAAAAACCTGGAGCATGACCGGCTTTTCATCCCCAGTGCTCTATGGCTATTGGGTGCAATAGCATATTCGATTGTCCTCCTTGACATGGTAGGGGCATTTTGAGAGAGAACTTGTTCTTTTTGGTTAGGCGTGTTTGAAGGATGAATCATGTAATTTCAGTGCCCCAGGTAACGCCCAAGAATAGAGCGTTTAATGTTTAATAAGTTCCTCATAGGTCTCGGTGATGTCCCTTATTTTAAGGCCTGTTTAACAAAGACCTTCCCTTAGGTCGGATGCGCAGATCATCTATCCGGCAGGTCATGCACCTTCAGGACGAAGTTTCCTGATCGTTTCCTTCCATGGCGATACCAATGGACAGGTGCAGCGCAGGGGTAGCGATTCCAGGGATGTGTTTTCGATGTTTAAGGCGCGTGTGTTGCGCATAGTGACTATAGTGCTGATTAAGATTGATGAGAATTGAAAGATTAAAAGGATGAGGGTATTGTATGGTCTTGTTGTTTTTGTTCACTCCATTGGTATCTACTTTGTGTATTCTGTAGAATATATTGATTTGCGTCCGAAGTGCTGCTCCAATGCTGCAACTTTTCACGCTTCACGGAATGCCTTGAATGATGGGTACCATGTGTGGTTTGGCTGAGGTGTTTGGCAATTTGGATAAGTTGATAACCAATATAAAATGCTTCATGTCAGCTCCAGAAAACCCAGCGCTGAGATTTAATTCCAAGATTCATGCACATCAGAGTCATCAGAAGTTCAAGTTGGAGTTGGAAGTAGTTCCTACATATGCCCGATGCCCCTAGAAACCCAGATGCTCGATGTATAAATGGATTGTATTGGATTTGACAATAGATGTCCAAACAATGACCCATTTTGGTAGGTAATTTTATACCATACTACACTACTACACCATGTGTGTTTTTGTCATATAATATACCCGTACCTGGTATATTACAAGTAATATCGGGTCTGAAATTAGCGAATACCAAAAAACAAACACTATTTGGAATATCATGTACTGTGTATATGATTATCATGTACAGGCGCCGGCGAACCTAGTGATAAGTTGGTTTCTAAGCACAATGAACATCTATATATATATATATAATTAATGGTGTGTATATACAGTATGTATATATATATATACACACCATATATCTATCCATTAGCCATTGTGATCCCGTATGATCCCCATTTTTTCATGGTGCGAACAGATGGTCCCGAGGCCACTGCTCCATTGATGAGGCGGGTGAAAAAAAAACCACTGGACGCGCCGGGTTTTTTTTTCGGCGATGTTCTGACAGGTGTTGATGTGTTTTTTTTGCATATCATAGGATATTCATAGGATATTCATAGGATATTCATGGGATATTCATGGGACATTCATGGGATATTCATGGGATATTCATGGGATATTCATGGTGATTGATTATTAATGGTTCATAACGATGATGTTATTGTTTCTTGGGCAATGTTTGGGTAAACCAAACTGGATGGATAGTTTAGTAATGATTGTTTATTTTTTACTGACATGTACTGACTGATTTTGTGGTCTATGAAGTGGATCGGCTGCTAGTCAGCAAAGGAAAAGGCAGGACATCTAAGATGGCCACGATTCTGATTGAGATAGAAACCATGTGCTATCCACGAGTTACATCTCATAACTGAGATTTGTTTATATATATATTATATATACATTATACATAGTATACATATTGGGATATCTCAGCTAAATCGGTATTCTCGTTCCCCGAACGATAACTCCCTATATAGTTCCCAAACATGAACAGATCCTCTTGTAGACTAGGGTTGTTAGACAGAGTACTGGATGAATTATGTGCGAGCCATGACATGTTGTGGAAGTATGGTCCAGTAAAGCGATTCAAATGAAGGATTAGCTGAGGCTAAGCAACGCATGGGTTAAAGCAAACGCCACGAGAATATTGACCAAAATTAATTCACGGTTGGATAGCATCTTCTGTACGTTGAGGAATGGACATGAGTGGCGATTTCAATCAAGTATGCCTATGCCATCCATAAATGATCGTACATGGCATACTTCCGAACACTTACCCCACAGAGGCTCAAACAGACTAGTAACTACATTCGTACAGCAACCCCTTCAGGGATAGTTTTGGAACTTTCATGTTTTCCTCGAAGCTGAAGGGGAGCCTACCGCCATCGCTCTACCTGTGGCAGGGCTTTGCGGAAGGTTGCCAAGGGAGAGATGCTGGTGGGGATGGACGTTTCTCGCCCGGTAGAGTTGGCTGAAATGGATGGGATTGCGATGAAGCCGGTAACTGAACTTCCAAGTCTGTGGGATTGTTATCAGGTGCATAAAGCAGAGCGGGCCCTTGGGTGACATAGATGTGAAAATCCATGGTTTCACTAGGAGCATGTTCTGCAAATGGTGGGTCTTCCACATCTATGTTAGTTTACAGGAGGGTAACCAACAAAAACATGGATTATCATCGATTTATGTACAGTAACATACAGTAACCATTGATTTGATGGACATTGATCAACACCCATATGAAGTTTATCATTGGGTCTAGCATTTTTCCCCTTATGGATCCTTATGGCACCATGGAAAAAACGTGGCCCTTCGTCAGAAATGGTTGACCACCAGCACTTCTTCAGGGGGCTCACTGCCCCCTGGTTGCTGGGTAAACCGACTAACTAGATGAGTAGCTTGGTGTGATTTATTTGTTGACTATTCTAGACTATGATTAACTAGGGATATGTGTTAACTTTCTGCAGGAGAACTAAGGTTGCCCATGATTCTTGGCGGCAAGTGTAGAGAATTGCAACTCACCCAGCACGGACATCATGCCCGATTACCTGATCATGGAAATATATAGATATTCTGAATTCCCATTGGTTATAAACACTGACCATACCCACATATATAGATGAAACTTCATGAAACCATGAATTTCATGGCCTTTTATTTTTTAGTAGCTGAATCCCATCTTAATCCCATCTCCCCTATGCCCCAAAACCATTGAGGCGAACACATACCTACAGGGCAACTCGACCTTCTATGGCGTCCAGGACGAAACTCGAATTGGAACGTCAGATTTCACTTAGCCCAATAGAATAGACTCTAGACATCAAACTTAAGTGATAAATGACTTTTTTCTTTTTTTCAAACTAGTTGGACCGAAGACATCCGCAGTTTTCCAAGCATCGGTGGTTTGTGGATCCCGCTGGTTTTGTTGGTTGTTATGTACCAATAATATCCAATAATCATCTGGAAAAATCATATAGAAACATACCAATAATCATCTGGAAAATCATAGAAACATACCAATAATCATAGAAAAATATAGAAAAAATCATAAAGCTGGAATGACTTCTGGATTTTTTCAAACCGGGCCACAGTGGCAGCCACCGATTTCTCCAGGACTTCCTGGAGGTGTGCAAAGGCACCAAAAGGATGATCCATGGTGTTATAATCTCCCGCAACCAGGACTATACTGTATAGATCTCTAGCTTTTTTTTGCTCACTTAAATTTCTTGGCAAGAAATTTGGGGTATGGGTATGGTTTGATATATCGTAAGAACTGATGCAACCCTACAAATTTACTGGCTTTGACTGGCCATCTCTGATGTAAAACCATGGAAATGCTCGGGAAAACCAATGCTGACCCACAGCCATCTCAATGTCAGAACATCTATGCGGACGATCAGCATGGGGAGCGGAGGGCATTTTCTCCGGCATTTTCCAGTGGTGTGGGCACGAGCGTGACATGACTCACGCAGTCAACACATGGCCACCGAACACAATTGAAATTGTTTGAAACCAACCAAACCATCCCCCAAATGTTGCGGACACGATGTTGTGGTTCATGTTGACAATTTGGAATCCCAATGCATTGTTCTGAATTCTTGCTTAAATCTCCATTTTAATCCATTTTATGCCAGGCATACAAATGACTGGGAAATGGTCTAAATTGGGACGGAATCCTACCGAGAGTGATCAAGAGTGAACAAAGTGAACTGACCATTTGAGGTCCAGGGATCTTCGATTTGACTGCCCGTGTAGATCTCATCTATCATCATCACCCTATGGGTTAGTTGTATTTCTTTCATATATTGGATATCCATGGATATCCAAATATCCATCCATGTTGTCCATTTTGTTGTGGATGATTCGTGAAAAATAAACCACTCAGTGAGTTTTTATAGGTTTTGCTGATTCGTCAAACGGCAGGTCTGGGCTTGAGAAGTTGCTTTGAGGCGCCAGCTGTTGCTACATTGCAACAGCCACATCCCCCTTGCTGAGATCCTGAAGAACGTTGTATAATGTTATAGTTATATAATGTTATATGTAGTCTATAGTTATATATTACATATGTTTCAGGTGAAATCATATGAATTCTTCAGAACTAAACTGGACGCATCTTCTATGCACTGAAGTGAACACTTCAAGGAAACCCCGGAAAGCCCTACATTTCTTTGGACAAACAGCAAAACAACTGGCCTGGAAGGCAGCAATTGTCATGAATTTTCCCTTCAAACGATACATTGGCATCTGCAGCTGCGTTGTCAGGGAGACATGGCCAAGTGTCTAACGACCTGCAATGCTCGAACCTTTCTCCAGCCGCAGCTCAATAAGGCGCAAAGAAGAAGATGGCAGGGCAGACCTGCTTTCTACCCGCTGGTAATCAGACATTCCAATGAAAGATACACCATTCAGAGATGATTTTCCCATTAAGACCTCCATTTACAGGAGGAATTTCCATTCATTCCATTTGCCATGTTTGATTACCGGAAGATAAATGGGGAGTTTTACCATCAAACATGGGAATCTTACAAACCACAATAGGATTTAAACGGCTTCATAATTCAGCATGAGAAATTGGACGAAATCGGATCCAAGCATTTTTGATCGGTACATAATTGCATAAATATGGGATATACATGGATATATATATATTTATACAACAAACAATCTGATAATATATATATATTATTATATATAATCTACCAATTTTCATTGATTTTACCCAAGTTAATTCTGGATTTGACAACACCAATGAACTCCAGCCTGAGGCGTGCAAAAGCACTGCGAAGCTCGAGAAAGGCGATGTGAACCCCAAGGACTCGGCCGATGAGAAAATCCCCTGGGGACGTGTCATACAGGTGCGATACATTGGGCTTAAGCAACAACAATGAGTTTTAATAAGGTGATCTTTATTGGATATATGTAGCTTATTAATGATCTATGGATATACATGATATATGTTATATATCTATGGTTTTAACTATGATCTATATGGATATATGTTCTATAGGTATAGCTGATTTACTGTCATAGTGTCACAAGTGAATAGAGGATAGTTGGTGAATATATCACGAGCTGTTTATACTGTAAATGGGAGTTAAGCTTGTTCGTGACTGATGGACGGAATGTTAGCAACTTGCCACAATGTCATAAACGGAGTGATTACTACCTAGAATTGTACCATAGGGATCCATACTTGTTACCATGATGATGTTGTTAGTTTTACCACATTATTAAATTAGCATTATTGTACTCTACCGTTGCAAGGATACACACTGCGTTGTGGCATTGTTGTGCACAGCTGGCAACCACCAGTCTTATCAAAGTTTGAAGGTTGCAGACTTCGTGGGGGCTTTGACTAGGAAGCCTCTCAACACTTTTCGGTTTCCAAAGCATTGCTCAATACAGTAAAGAACAAGCTAAGTTGAATTTGAGCGCCCCAATCTTCAGAACTATCTATTCGTCCTAGAATTGGAATCCTGCCAATGTTTGATGGCGAAGTCCTCAAGTTTGATGGTTGAATTGGTTGAATCCCCTATGTTCTGTTGGTAAAAATATGTAAAAATCATGTTAAATCATGCTAAATCATGTTAAATCATCTTAAATCATCTTAAAACATGTTGAATCACGTTAAATTCCATATATTTGATGGTTCTTCCAAGTGCATGGTCAGGGTTTTCCAAGCTGGTTTTGAGGTCTCCCGATGTCACTTGATCTGCCATAATTTGATCACCCTCCGCCCTGTCATCAAACATGTCACGCTGGGAAATCCCCAATAAAGGGCATCTCTAAACGGGTAAATGATCTCCAAACGGGAAACTGAAGAAACAATGGTGATTCGGAGATTTTGATGGATTTATATCCGGAAACTGTATATATATATATATATGTGAAATCTCCAATAAAGGGCATTGCCAAATTTTGATTGTGGAGATTTTTGACAGAAATCGGAAACATCAATGATCAAGGATGCTGATGATCGTTTCACCCTGTTGGTCCGATACAGCAACCATTGGCAATCACCTCTATAAAACAATTATCTTGGATCTGGTTTGGGATTGATTGTGAATTGTTCAGATTGCTTGACTTCAGCTGCTGTTCCCAGTATTTATTGGTGGAGTTCACATGTTTAGTTGCCCCAGGATCACATCGTGTTTGGTCTCAGCTGCTTTGAGCCCATTCAAGTCATGAAGGACCAGCATCTCGTGACGCCTGGTGGGAGAGCAACGGAAGCTGCCCTATGGTTTACCAAGGAAAACATGTCGGATATCATTTCAAAGCTAGCTGTGCTATTGTGACTCAGATTTTTAAAAAAAGAACACTTGGTCAGGAATTGCTTGCTTCTTTGGATAGGACTGCATAGGCAGAAAGGCATTACATGAAAGGTCTACTCTGTGCAACAGATTTTCCCCCATTTACAGATGATTGACACATTGAATGAACATCAAGATCTCCTTGACTGATCAATTGTTTCACTGGTGAAAGCTTAAGCGTTGTTTTTTTCAGAAGCCATAAAAATATACAAAAATGTATCTTATGGTGATCATGTTTTTTTCCACTGATCAGTTGTTTTGAAGATCCATTGGTTGACATTTTGGGATGCAGGGATCATTTTGGTTGATGAAAATGTTCATAAGTTCCGTGATTTACCTGCAACAACGGTGATTTCCCTGGGAACAATATATAATGTATAATCTCCAGATATTCATTGTATAGGATGTTTAATCAGACGTTTAATATACAACAATAATGTTCATTTATCAAAGGAAGTTGGGAAGCAATACTTCCGTGTTACGGACAAATAGAATTCAGCGACTTGAAATGATGCAGGGTGGTAGATCACATAACAATACATAACAAAAGAATAAGAAGCAGTTAATGACGGGTGGTGACGAAGGGAAGTGGTGACAAAGGGAAGTGGTGACGAAGGGAAGTGGTGACGAAGGGAAGTGGTGAGGAAGGGAAGTGGTGAAGAAGGAAAGTGGTGACGAAGGGAAGCGGTGAAGAAGGGAAGTGATGATGAAGGGGAGTGGTGACGAAGGGAAGTGGTGACGAAGGGAAGTGGTGAAGAAGGGAAGTGGTGACGAAGGGAAGTGGTGACGATGGGAAGTGGTGACGAAGGGAAGTGGTGAAGTGGTGAATGGGAAGTGGTGACGAAGGGAAGTGGTGACGAAGGGAAGTGGTGGAAGTGGTGACGAAGGGAAGTGGTGACGAAGGGAAGTGGTGACGAAGGGAAGTGGTGACGATGGGAAGTGGTGAGGAAGGGAAGTAGTGAGGAAGGGAAGCGGTGACGAAGGGAGGTGGTGACGATGGGAAGTGGTGACGATGGGAAGTGGTGAGGAAGGGAAGTGATGAGTTGGGGAGGAAGCCGGAGCACGAAACCTTGTGTTTTTCCGTGTAAAGTGGCTGCAGCCGGCGATGAAAGGTACCTCGTCTGTGCGGCGGGTGCGGCTGCGGTCGGTTGGTCGTTTTTTTTTTGCCGCAGTGTAACGGTGGCTTCAAGCTGCTTTGGGTGTGCTTGTGTGTGCGTAGTTATAGGGTGTTTTGGAATCTGTGCTTGCAGATCGCATTGGAATGGCTGCATGATGTTGCAAGGGCTCTGTTTTGGGGAGGAAGCCGGAGCACGAAACCTTGTGTTTTTCCGTGTAAAGTGGCTGCAGGCGACGATGAAAGGTACCTCGTGTGTGCGACGGTTGCGGCTGCGGTCGGTTTATCGTTTTTTTTTGCCGCAGTGTCACGGTGGCTTCAAGCTGCTTTGGGTGTGGTTGTGTGTGCGTAGTTATAGGGTGTTTTGGAATCTCCGGTTGCAGATCGCATTGGAATGGCTGCATGATGTTGCAAGGGCTCTGTTTTGGGGAGGAAGCCGGAGCACGAAACCTTGTGTTTTTCCGTGTAAAGTGGCTGCAGCCGGCGATGAAAGGTACCTCGTCTGTGCGGCGGGTGCGGCTGCGGTCGGTTTGTCTTTGTTTTTTGCCGCATTGTAACGGTGGCTTCAAGCTGCTTTCGGTGTGCTTGTGTGTGGATAATCATAGGGTGTTTTGGAATCTGTGCTTGCAGATCGTATTGGAATGGCTGCATGATGTTGCATGGGCTATGTCTTAGGGAGGAAGGCGGGGCACGAAACGTTGTGTTTCTCCGTGTAAAGTGGCTGCAGCCGGCGATGAAAGGTACCTTGTCTGTACGTCGGGTGCGGCTGCGGTCGGTTTGCCTTTTTTTTTGCCGCATTGTAACGGTGGCTTCAAGCTGCTTTGGGTGTGCTTGTGTGTGCGTAGTTATAGGGTGTTTTGGAATCCGTGCTTGCAGATCGCATTGGAATGGTTGCATGATGTTGCAAGGGCTCTGTTTTGGGGAGGAAGCCGGAGCACGAAACCTTGTGTTTTTCCGTGTAAAGTGGCTGCAGGCGACGATGAAAGGTACCTCGTGTGTGCGACGGTTGCGGCTGCGGTCGGTGTATCGTTTTTTTTTGGCCGCAGTGTCACGGTGGCTTCAAGCTGCTTTGGGTGTGCTTGTGTGTGCGTAGTTATAGGGTGTTTTGGAATCTGTGCTTGTAGATCGCATTGGAATGGCTGCATGATCTTGCATGGGCTATGTTTTGGGGAGGAAGACGGAGCACGAAACCTTGTGTTTTTCCGTGTAAAGTGGCTGCAGGCGACGATGAAAGGTACCTCGTGTGTGCGACGGTTGCGGCTGCGGTCGGTTTATCGTTTTTTTTTTGCCGCAGTGTCACGGTGGCTTCAAGCTGCTTTGGGTGTGCTTGTGTGTGCGTAGTTATAGGGTGTTTTGGAATCTGTGCTTGCAGATCGCATTGGAATGGCTGCATGATCTTGCATGGGCTATGTTTTGGGGAGGAAGCCGGAGCACGAAACCTTGTGTTTTTCCGTGTAAAGTGGCTGCAGCCGGCGATGAAAGGTACCTCGTGTGTGCGACGGGTGCGGCTGGGGTCGGTTGGTCGTTTTTTTTTGCCGCAGTGTAACGGTGGCTTGAAGCTGCTTTGGGTGTGGTTGTGTGTGCGTATTTATAGGGTGTTTTGGAATCTGTGGTTGCAGATCCCATTGGAATGGCTGCATGATGTTGCATGGGCTATGTTTTGGGGAGGAAGCCGGAGCACGAAACCTTGTGTTTTTCCGTGTAAAGTGGCTGCAGGTGACGATGAAAGGTACCTCGTGTGTGCGACGGTTGCGGCTGCGGTCGGTTTATCGTTTTTTTTTTTGCCGCAGTGTCACGGTGGCTTCAAGCTGCTTTGGGTGTGCTTGTGTGTGTGCGTAGTTATAGGGTGTTTTGGAATCTGTATTGGAGTGGCTGCATCAAGGCTGCGAAAGTGATTTGTCAGGAGATTTTCTCAATTTTGGCGCTAATAATTTTCCTTTTAAAATTCCTTTTAAAAAATGCTTCAAAATCGTCTTTTTGTCGCTTTGGCGTCGAGATCCGGTTTTGGAGCTGCAATTTCCGACGCCATTGCACGTAGTTCTATTGTGTTTTGCAACTCGGTCTCTGCAGATCGCATTGTAGTGGCTGCGTCAAGGTTGCTTGGTGCAGCGGCTGCATGCGTAATACTATTCTCTTTTGCAGCTGAAGATCGTAAATCGTATTGGAATGGCTGCATCAAGGCTGCGAAAGTGATTTGTCAGCAGATATTCTCAATTTTGGCGCTAATAATTTTCCTTTTAAAATTCCTTTTAAAAAGTGCTTCAAAATCGTCTTTTTGTCGCTTTGGCGTCGAGATCCAGTTCCTTAGTAGTAGTAGCAGGAAATGATTCATGAAAGCTTAGATGACATATGAGAAGAGATGAGATGAGAAGAGATGAGCTGGGATAAGGTGAGAAGAGCTCAGATGAGATGAAGTGTGGAGTGTGAAGGGTGCAGTGTGAAGTGTGGGGCGTGAAGAGTGCAGTGTGAAGTGTGGAGTGTTAAGTGTGAAGTGTGGACTGTTAAGTGTGGACTGTGAAGTGTGAAGTGTGGACTGTGAAGTGTGAAGTGTGGAGTGCGAAGTGTGAAGTGTGGACTGTGAAGTGTGAAGTGTGGAGTGCGAAGTGTGAAGTGTGGACTGTGAAGTGTGAAGTGTGGAGTGCGAAGTGTGAAGTGTGGAGTGTGCAGTGGGAAGCGTGCAGTGTGAAGTGTGGAGTGTGAAGTGTGGAGTGTGGAGTGTGAAGTGTGGAGTGTGCAGTGCGCAGAGTGCAGTGTGAAGAGTGCAGTGTGTAGTGTGGAGTGTGAAGACTGTCAGGTGTGAAGTGTGACGTGGAGCTTCAAATGTGACATGAGAAACAAGACACCAGTTTCGCAGAGTGCACGCACGCACGGGCTTCGCTGGCGCACGGCGCATGCAAGTTCTATAGATGAGAAAGGTCTTATATATATCTTTAAGGCAACTTCCGCCCCGCCTCGTGCGGGTACTACTGGTAGTTGATTCACCATGATTTATTGATGAAAAACACCATGAAAGTGTCCAAGTTGTCCATGTCCCACAGTGGTCGTGGGATTTTCGCATTTTGCCAGGATAATACTGGAAAGGGCGAGTACATTGAGGGGATGTGCCTGGACCTGGCGAAAAGAAACCGAGAAACCATGAGAAACTGAGAAACCGCTGAATTTGGTTCCGAAGGCTGTCATTGTTTCCTAGGCCCCGAAGGAAATCGCTGAATTATAAATGTTTGTCTATTTCACTATAGGCTAAGTGTTGGGATTCTGGTGTATATATATATATACAGTATATATGCATACATACATTACTGATCATTACTGTATACCGAACAAATTATGTTGAATTGTTCATCGGGCTGGTGAACATTAGAATTCTGGAATCAGAATCTGGGTCATGTTGCGGCCAGATGCTTTCATATGTTTTCAGGAATTGCTGAATGTGATGATGCATAGAGAGATGATGAGCAAAAAAAAGGGGGGTTGATTTACAGTAGTATTGTGCGATCCTTCGGTCAGAATTCCAGGCACTGCCGCAGCTATTTCTGTTGTTTTTGATACGTTTGGAATGTGCCATTTAGTTGGGGAATGACCCTCTGAACGACATCCAGAACGACATTGGAACGACCTCCTAAATATACGAATATAAGTATATATTTACAGGTCTAGATGCATTTAGAACAAATCAGCAGCCAAATTACACCCGGAACCACCCTAAATGCATTTTTTGGGGCTGGCAAATTGCATCTGGCACCGTCTTTGTAATCTCTGCAACGAGACCCTAGCCTGAGTGGTTTCCCTCTTGAACCATGTCTTTACGAGCCCGAGACTCTTCCCCGTGCTGTGCCACCAATGCACGTGCACAAAACAAGTTTGGAGACATGGCCATTTTATAAGAAATTATCCTGGGCGCACCCAAGCCAGTAAGCAGAAGTGCATGTCCACTAGAAACACAGAGGACCCTACCCGTTCTGGGGAATTCAGACAGGGATTTGATTTTCAGATTGTATACTTACTGTGTATTCAAGGGCCATTATTCAGCCAGTTTTCTCGGCTCCCAAACGACCTCTGAACGACCTCTGAACGACATCAGGATTTCAGTCAGAATGACCAATTGTCCACAAAAAACCACAGACTGCAGACCATTCATCCCATGTGCGCTGCGTTCCAAGTCATTGACCTGATAGCAATCTGTTCCACACATGGGTTCATTTTCCCAGTAACACTGTCAAACTTTTCCGCCATGTTTCAATATGGCCCCGCCATGGGATTGTGAAAAAGATGCTGTTCCCTGAAAAAAAACTGCTGAACGAAACTTTCTCTACGGATATGATGTAGCTGAAAGCAGCTCTGATGTAGTTGCAACAAGCTCTAGTTCAAACAGTTCAGAATCAAGCGCCGAGAGATAAATATGAAGACACCCGCTTGGAAATCACATGATTCGCTTTTGGGATCAGGATTTACATACCTTATTTTTCAGCTCATGTGATGATGATGATGATGATGATGATGATGGTGATGATGATGACAATGATGATGATGATGATGATGATGGCAATTTGATGATGATGGTATTTTGATGATGATGGTTTTTTGATGATGATGATGATGATGATGATGATGATGATGACATGATGATGACCCAAAAAACTTGAAATTTGTTGTTTGTTTTCTGTTGATTACTTGCAAATCCTCTAGCGATTGGGGATGCACTGCATCCTCCTGTTGTAGAATTCACGTGTTGCATGAACGCACTCAAGCGAATGTGCAGTCTTCTTGTTGAGGTGCTTCGTTCGAATTGGATGGTGCAATTTCAAATTTATGGTCATCACCCACTGTAGTTTTTGAGTATGATGATGGAACGAGAGACAGGACTCCAGGAAACCAGGATGGTCTCAATCTTCTCTGGGCCAAAATTTGGTTCTGGGATGTACCCCACGATGGACCAAGATCGGGCGATGGATTTGGGGAGGATTTGTGGCCCTTTAGACTAGGTCCAAGACGTGGTTTGCTGTTGGAAAGTCTAGTCATGTCTCATCAGTCTATTCCACAATCCGGTACTGTGTTAATTATTCTTTCTGATTTAGCGACGTTCCCGTCGCAATGACCACCTCAACTTCTCGCATCGTTCGTGGCGATGAGGTGTTTCCCATCGCTGAGTTTTCCATCGGATCATGGCCTTGTCTCTGCGGTTCTGAAGCCATGCGCGTAGCAGATCTGGAGCCCATGGGGTGGACATTTTGCCAGAATCCAAGCAGTTGTTGATGGATGATGAAACGAAACATTTTATGGAAATACTGAGATACTGTACATCATGAAACATAAATCATAAGGGGTATATAGCCCATTATAGCCCATTATAGCCCATTATAGCCCATAACATGGCGATATGACATACCCCGCGAATCCAATCATCTGCCACGATTTTACCTTCTCAAACAAACGGCCATTTTATATCGGTTTATTCCCCCATTTCTGGAGGAATACTGAGAAACACACCGTTGACACACCGTTGATAGATAATTGTCCGATCGATCAGTGGGATTTTCGATCATTACTTCATGTTGCCAAAGGTAAGATTCCTAACAGGCAAATCAGGGTTGCATGTTTCGTACACAAGTCAAACCATCAGTAGATGTTCTTTACACCCAATTCCTTTCCCCTCATCTTAAAATATATTAAAATATGACATATCAAACACATGTTTGAACCGGATGTCATGTTTTTTAATATAATTTGTAATTTGGATATATTTGGATATTTTATTGTCCATATATTTATATATTTGTTTTGTAAATTTCCCAAGTCATGAAACAAAAGAGGGATGGAATTCGTTTCGTTGACATCTCCGTTAACCGGTGAAGTCTAGAGCGCCAGAGCCTGGTGTTTTCACCAGCGATGAAAAATCACCAGTGATCTAAGTTGCAGAAAACTTGTATTATAATGATTGAAACTAATAATTGTATCTATATAATTATTGTATCTATATAATTATTGTATCTCAATTTGCTGACTTATTGGCGTAATAATGCTTGATATATGCTTCAAGTTACTGTCATAAATTTGTATCGTGTGCTTTTGATACTCCAGACCTCAAACAATCGACGCAGGGTGTGTTAGTCTCCAATTTTGCACCATCACAGAGGGTCACTCCAGCCGCTTTTTGCAGGGTAAATCAACCATTTGACCTCCATATTATTTAGAATATGTCCCCTTCAAACGGACCTGGGTTGGTCAGGAGCAACTGAGTCACACTGGAAAGCTGTTTTGGCACAAGACCTTGGCTTTTCATTCTCCAAGTGCTAGATCAACCAATATCAGACCATGCCATTTGGATTGAATCTCAACAGTTGGGTTTAGTATGGTTTGGAATCAAATTTGGTGGATAGTTTGATACTTAGCCCAAATTTATGTATATATATATATATGTGCGTGTGTGTGTGTGTGTGTTCGTTAATCTTTCATTTATCAGCCAGACTCAGACAAGATTTCTTAATATTTGATATCATTATATATATATAGAGATTGATTGATTAACCATTATAGATGGTTGCTAACATCTATTAACGTTTATTAGCTATGAAAGCAACCTTAATAACCAATATTGTTTGATAGCATTTTCCCATGCCAAGCTCATGGCCAGCCATGTTAAACTTAGGAGCTGTAGTCTGCTTAGGGGGTGGAGTATTGATATTTCCGCTTTGAAGAAGACTCCTGGGAAAGTGAATTGACAAACGCCAGGCTCTTTTGCTTTCAAATACAATGGTGTATCTCACGCCAGATGAATCGTTTTCTACCAATGCACAGGTACCCGCTGCGAATCCCATAGCTGGTACCGAAAATTATTCGATTGGGGAAAAAAAAAGGACGAGAACGGCGCAGCACTCCCGAAAGAAAAGGCCAGTGAAACAATCCGAAAGGGAAGTGTTTGGCCTCCACATGGTATGTCCCAATTCCTCAAATGTGTTCTTTTTGAACAGGATTATCATGCCTTGTTTGTTTTGGCAATTTACATTGCATGTTTGAGTGACACGCTGTTTGTTTCAAAGTTTCATTATATCAAAGTTAAAGTATTTATATATTGTATATATCTGCACTGATGTATGCAGGGAAGATCATGTCTATGCCTATGCTTGTACAGCGATCAAGCATCCATGAGTGCATTTTTTTCGCAAAGAAACTCCAAAGAAATCTCTTCCATTCTTTATCCTGAGATGTTTGCCGGGGTCCAAAAATCGGGGATATCCACCAGGCATCCGGTGTCGAAGCCTGGTGAACTCAGATGCACGAAAAAAAGCTGGATGAAAACATCATGGAACTTGGACAGTCTTGAAGGTGCTTATATTATGACCTTATATGCTATATAATTATAGAAATATTGTTCATGTGGGAGCTTGTGAACGGGGGGATACCCACAATTGGGACTTTTGATGCTTAAAAAAACACAAAATCAAGATTATCGGTACCGCCATTTTAGGAAGCACCTATGATCTACGTAACTATATTTGTTACAATATATTCAGTGTGTAGCTAAAGTGAATGGAAACTGAAGAGTGTCTCAGAATGGTTTACCTTTTTTGCATGGACAACTAGGCAGACACAAACGTATGTGGCTGGGTGGATCATTCCTTTCCCTATTAAATTGTTCATTTTTTTGTTTGGCTCATTTTGAGACAAACACACACATATCATTTTGTGCCTTAAGTTGGGGTTTGTTATCTCTCTGTGTCAACATGATATTCCTATTGTAATGTAGCGATATACAGTGTAGTATGGCCTTATTGCACAGCACCAGCCCTTCGCCGTTCGCCAGGTGAGCCAAGTCGACTTGGAGGGCGGGTGCCCAGGAGAGTGGCGGCTGATCTCGTGGAAGCGCGCCCAGGATGTTTGTTTCACACCTCGTTTTGCATCCCAAAACAATGGAGAGCCGTGCTGCGCTGGGTGTAAACTGTTGAAAACCTCCAATGGATAGATGAGAAACTTAAGGGAAATTCTGGGATCAGAACTTTTGGGCAAGATCACGTGGTACTATGAAGAGAAGGCATCCCATGGTTGGAATCTTCTCCAAGGTCTGAGATGTTTGACCCTCCAAAGACAAGGGATCAAAGAGGACAGCAACATAGGCCAAAGTGAATGCTAAGTCTTGGTCCACTCATAATTTGAGCCTGCATAGGTCATCCCATGTGTCATTTGACACGTCTTTGACAGTAAGTTTGGAATGGACTATTATAGCACACTATATTTCAGTGTTTTCATGTGTATAATTACAGCACCAGTTTTTTCACACTTGTTTTCTGTGAATTGTTATCGTTGTTGGGCTGGAAAGTGCCAAGATTTCACAGATTTCAGAGCTGAACGCGCCCAAGGCTGACAAGGCGGAAAACGCAGAACGCGCCCATGTTGAAACATGGTTTGTTTAATGGGTTCCCCAATAGCTGGATGGTTTATAAGGAGGATTTGGGCTCAGGCTTCACGTGCCAATCCTGTCTTAGTTTCTGAGACTAAGCGAATGAGCCATGTCGTATGAGAAGATCCTGGAAGATTATGATGTTTTGGGAACGAAAGGATGTTTGCCATTCAAGCGAAGAAACAACCTGTTGATCACTGTTGATGAAGTGTATCCTCAGTTTGGAAAGTTTGCATTTCAATTCACCCAAATCGCTCCAGAAGGATTAGGCATTGGAACTTTCAACATGGACATGCTTGAAATCCCAGCTGACTGTAACTTGGAGAGCCAGCAACTGTTGATTTGGAAAGCTACTGAGCCACCCAAACTGCATGTGCCTATTTGGATTTTTGATGTGCAAGAACACTTGTCCTATCGGGACCAGTTCATATATACCGACATCTACGATCATGCATCCTCATGGGCTCCGCTACCATCACCTGACCAAGATCAGCCATTTCGAGTGGCTGAGTTGTTTGCAGGAGGTTTTGGGGGTTGGAAAGCAGCCGGTAGTGTCGTCCGCCAATACTGTGAGGTCCAGAGTCAGTTTATAAGTGTTGAACATTGTTTGCCAACAGCCATCGCGTTTGCAATCACCCACAAGACTGGTTTCATCCCTGGTACTGAGTTTTTGCATGCAGGATCGTTTGATAACAAGAAGAATTGGATTGTTTTGGCCGATGTTTTTGACACACGCCTGAGACTTCCATTGGCCACATGGGCACCACACATGATCACCATCTCTGCACCATGCCCTCCATGGAGTGGAGCAGCCCATGCACCCGGACTGAATAGCGAGGATGGCCAAATGCTGATGAAGGCAATTCTTGAGTGCCGATGGTATCGACCACACATGATACTTATTGAACAGGTACTGGGATTCAATCACCACCCTCACAAAAAAGAAATCATCAGGACTTTGCATCATGTCGGTTTTCGGTTGATCATGCAGAAAACTTTGGACTTGCAGGATCTGACATACACTTCACGTGTGAGGTGGTTGGGGCTGGCTATTCGGGTCCATTCCAATCTGCCGTTTTGTCCTTTGCAGAATTGGCCAAAGATAGAACACAACCAGCATCCGTTTCCGAAAATGACCTTGCCAGCCGAAATGGTCAATCAAACTGCTGTCACAGAACCTGTCAAACAGGTTGCATCCGATGTCCGATTTGCCAAGAACATGCCAGGGAAATCATCAACCGAGGTATTGAAATCACGCATTTATCAAGCAGGTGACATATTGCCCACCTTCATGGCCAGATATGGTTCACAGCACTGCATTGATTCAAGTCTTTTGCAAAGCCATGGATATTTTGGCCATTTTGTTGCGGATGGGAATGCCCCAAATGGTTTTCGATTTTGGCATGCTGCTGAAATTGCGATGATCCACGGTGTTTTTGAGGGATGTTTTTTGCCCACAAATCAAGCTGAAGCCAATCAACTCTTGGGCAACATGATTTCGACTCAACATGCCCTTGTGCTATTGGTCAATGGAATGAACAGAATTTTGCAGTCACCAATTGATTTGAAGAAGGTTTGCGCATTTTTCCATGCATCCCAGGTTGTTCCATCAGCATGTCAGATGATTGATATGGCCAATGGATACTACCTTACACACCGTGACACACTCATGTTACACAGCTTTCAAACGCATGTGGAATTGTTGCATAGATGGGCCTTCCAACACGACACCATGCATGTGTGGTTGCCAGATCATGGACTGCTCCTACATGACCAGATTCCTGAAGCCATTGCACGTAGGATTG